TCGCCACAATCTTCTCGTTTTCCAGGAGCCCGAAACTGCCGCTTGGGATGTTGCGGTGTTACGAGGATGAACTGTAATCAAATTACACCCTGCATGATCTGATGACATGAAATTTGCATATTATGCATATGCGATGGAGGATAAAGCAGTGGCGTCTGTGTACCGTGCCTGTAGATGTGGGGATGATTCGTAAGGATGTGTGGACCCTTGCAAACGTTTCACATCGTGCATTCAGTCAGAGAGGTGAGGTGAGGTGAAATTGGGTTTAACGTCGTGCTTGAGAATATTTCGCTCATATGACGACGTGCATGCGTGTGTATGTGTATGTGCGGCTGCTTGTACTAGCCCAAACTGAAGCTGGTTTTATAGTGCTAACCCACTGAGATACCACGCCGCAGTGAAGCATGAATACCCCACTCAGACACATTATACTGCCTCCGAGCCGACCAGTCCTTGTTGTACCCATTAATCCCGAGCGCCAGACAGGGACCAACAAGTACCATATTTTAACGTCTTTTTGGTATGACGCGGTCGGGGATCAAACCCGCGACCTTCCGCTCTCCGGGCGGACGCTCTAACCACTACACCACGGAGGCGGTCCATTCAGAGAGTGTATTTTGGTTCTGAGTGAATTTGTAAACAGACGAATATTCACTTAGTAGCTCAGGGGCTGGGAACGGATCTTTGTCGAATGAATCATCACGTTTACTAGAGAAAAATGTCCCTGTCGTCAGTCGATCAATGAAACCACTTGTCAAATTCATCTCACAATGGACAGAAACTGACGATATCGTTTCAGGCATGTTTGCAAGACGATACATGACACTTGTTCCATCTCTCGAGTAAATGTTCGTACATGTTCGTACAAGAGGAAACCGCACCGGCAATATTCACAGGTATCACTGATTTGTTTTGAGTCAGTTTGAATTCATGACTAAGAAAGACTGTCAACACCACCAGCTAATGGAGTCTTTGGCGGCTTCGATAAGTTCATTGCATTTATAGGCATGTAGACAAAGGAGTATCGCGAAGGAAATTTAAACAATTTATTCAGTGTGATAGAAGACGAATTTACTAACAAATACTTCTTGTCAAAGGTAGTAACGTAAAATGTTGAAGTTGTTACATTCAATAATATTAATAAAAAATAATCAGAGCTTATCTGGAAAATATTTAAGCAAAAGGTAGTGAGCGAATCCTAGATATGTCATATTACCATTTTAAGCAATTCACTTTACCTAGCACGTCATTAGCCTATTTCATTGTGTATGTATGACATAGCACGTTACATAGAAATACAGTGGCCTTAAATGTTTGAAAATACACATTTTCTTTTCAATCCAACTGTTTGCTAAAGATTTCTTTGAAGCACCAAAGCCTCATTGTTAATTGGAAGCATCAGTGTGAGCCGGGCTTTATAATGGAATACAATAGAATCTGTGTGGGAGAACTGTTATTTACTGGCCACCAGATTCACCATGAAAGCAGAGCCCCTTGGCGTGTCTCCGATGTTGTTCTTTTTTCTGAAATAGCAGAAGGATCAATATCTTAACAATCTTAACAGCCATGATTTTGTGAGTGTAATTGGTTTTGCTTTTCACGGCATCTCAGTCTTATCACGGCGTGTAAGTGATCATGATCTTAGAATGGTGTCCATCGCTTCCCTTAAGTTCACAAGAACCGGTGTGGTGCTGACAAATCTAGACATATTCTCAGAGTAGATCTGCAAGCGCACGATCAGAATCTGACATAACGTCAGCGAGTGAGTTTAGTTTTACGCCGCACTCACCAATATTCCAGCTACATGGCGGCGGTCTGTAAATAATCGAGTCTGGGTCAGACAATCCAGTGATCAACTGCATGAGCATCGATGCGCACAATTTGGATATGATGACATGTGTCAACCAAATCAGCGAGACAGACCACCTGATCCGTGTGTCGCTTCTTACGACAAGCATGGATTACTGAAGATCAATTCTAACCCGGACCTTTGCGGGTTCTGACATAACGAATCGTGGGACCTGAGACAAATGGGCCGCCCATGCCCCACTTACAAGTCATAGCGTGCTATTTATGCGTACATGTTATTATATAAGATTGTATAACTGAATCATGCATATCAAGTTTAAAGGGAACTTCATATAATTACTGGAATGAGCTAGTGCAGAACCAAACACTCACTTTCCGTATTTGCAGAAGCAAAACCCTGCAATGGCACCCGCAGCTAAGAGGAAGCCACCAATCACTGCTCCTATTATCCACAGTGGAAAGGGTGTAGAGGTGTCTGTGGTAGTCGCTGTACATGCAGCATCTATGTTACAGAGATATATTAACAAGTCAGCTGTCAGAGATTTAATGAGTTAAAGTGCCGATAATCCGTCTAGATCATCGTCTCGAGGTACATATAATCCTAAAGACCACTTAAATTATCACAGAAGGATCTAAATGCAAAGTCCACCGTACGACCTCGACTATATCGTGAGTATGTGTTTACAAATCAGGATCAAATAGGGACGCTTAACGCCGCATCAGAAAAGATGACTGTATCCTGTCCCACCGATGGCGACCGTCATATGCAAATCAAGTGTTCCAGAACAAACACGGGAATATATGTTACGGTACAGTGTAATCTGTCTATTACGGACTGGCCTGGGACCGACTCATTTGTCATGATTGTAAAGCACGCTTTAATAATAAAATAAGAATAGTTTTGCCGGGACCCAGCAGAGAGTAGTCCGGATTATGGAGAAAACCGGATTACAGAGAGGCCGGATTTGACAGATTCCACTGTAATTTATTTTCCGAAAAGCAGACACATAAGGCTGGTGCTGCTAGAATATTGCTCAACATGAAAGTTGACCATAATTTGGAAAGTCACCCCGCTAGTCATATCTCAAACTCTCCAGTGATATATTTTGCACGCTATCAGTGACAGAATGTAGAAATAGCACGTTGCTCACCATGTGCGTTCAACACTAGGGCTGCGCAATATAACCGGTTTACTGGTATTTACCGGTTCAGACATGAAACCGATACGTATTGCGATACGCTGATCGAAAACCGGTTTTTTGACTTGCATTCGTAAAACTTCGTAACACTCGGAAATCTTCGGATATTTCTTTTTTTCATTTGTGCCAAATATTATTCATATTTTTATTTTTAATCATGAATAAAAGTTGTTATTAAAGCTTAATCAAGCATAGTGATTTTGTTGTGTATTTGCTCTATCAATCAAGCATTACCTCGATTGTAAGTAGTTTTTTGTTTAAAAATACTTCATGCAATACATATCGCAATACATGCTTTCGCATCGCAATATATCGCAATATGAAAATTCTCTGCAATACCCACCCCTACCCAACACTTACTAAATGTCATATATTTCAGTATGGAAATCTTTCATTATCGTTTTCAATTTAGGAACATGTGGTCGCTCAGTTGTTTTGTAATTTGGTCCCTTGATGAGAGCATACTCATTAGCATGATGCCATTTCATAAAGTCATTTCGAACTGTACCATTAGATACGCATTTTGCAGCTGAACCGACAGTTTTAGCCCCAGCAAAGACATTTTGGGTATGCATAGTATTCTCTATGATGCAGCAATGCAAGGGCGTGTGGTGTCAGCTAATGAATCATCTATAGGAACTGCTAAACGGTGATGATATTAAAAGGAGAATACCAGTGAACTGCAATAATTAGCTCGGTGAAAGATAAAGTCATCAGAAACATATTCCCAAATTTTCAATTAAAAATTATGTGTAATTATGTTTTAATCGCGAAAACAGTTTCTGTAAATCTCAGCTTCGGCCATTATTCATATTTCGCTGCAACCCACGTGACCTTTCCGCTCGTGACCTCAAATGTGCCTGGAGTCCGCCATATTGCCAAAGGCCAAGCGCTACAGTAGTACAAATTGTGTTGTTTCTGTCGTTCTTTTAAATGGCACGATGGTGTATTGCGTTGCCTGGGGATGCACGGCATCATCGAACATGGGAAAGAACCACCATTTCTTCCGTTTTCCAAGTGAAATGTCAGATTTCGGCAGGAGAAATGCGCCGATCATTCCGATGCTTTTAATTTTCGTAAATATGTAATTCATACGTCATATGTTTACACACGTCTTTAAATCTGTAGATCGGCTACTGGAATGCCACAAACGAGGCAGAGTTTACTATGTATTTCCTGCCTCAACAATAATCATCTCCAGCTACAAATTAATCTTGGTTGTTGCATGTTTAAGCATAAATGTATTAAATGAGCGTTCTTAATATTAATGTACGTCTTATCTTACCGCTTTTCAGTCTCCACTTTCGGACTGAACTGGAAGCATCACAAACGTAGCATGGGTTGTCAGGGTGACTGTCGCCATGGCTGACACACACTCCTTTGGCTATGCATGACTGGCTCTGAAATTATCCGAGATCTTCACGATTCACTATTTACCCTCGATCGGGTACAAAGATTACCACTAGAAACACTGGTCATCATTACAGATGAACATTCTTCTAAAACTGCAAATTTGTAACTTTTCAACAGCAAGGCTTGCTAAACAGTAAAACAATATATAGTAATAAACTAATCCCTATAAGCTGGCAATTTCAGCTTTTTCACTATACACGTTCGAATTGCTATATCATATATGTTTACAGAAATCTACTCCAAAACATACAACTGCGACTATAGACGTCCCATGCATGATACCAACAATACACGAATCAACATATCACGTAGCAGTAATTGACAAGCAGAATGCTAACCACATGACACGGAAACAGTTCCATGATGAAGTACATGTACAAACTGGGACTCAAATTCCTGATTAAATCTACACCTTAAGTTACGAGATGTGTCAGATCAGTACAGTCTGTTCTTACATCGAAAATATTCACAGGAAACTCACCGTGAAAACGCAAACAACAGCTTTTCCAGTCACATTGCAGGACTGACACAGGGAGTTGTAAAGTACCAGGACGCTATCATCGCTGAAGACATCACCATAGTTAGCTACAGATATTCTGAACCCAGAACCTAACTCGGCTTCAGGGGTTTGAACGCTGAGGGAGCGCTTCTTTCGTTGTTTTGGAAAGATACAAATGACTTCTGTAAAGCTCTCGACTTCGGGTTTGGAGTAGCTGACTATGCCGGTCTTTTGTGTTCCATCAGCACGTATCTGGGATAAAATTTATTCTAAATGACATAAATGAGGAGCCAATTTTTGGGTGGATACGTCTGATTACAAGATTGCAATTACGAAATGACAATAAACGCTTGGAGGGCTGAAGGAGGGCTAGTGCCATTGTTTGCTAACGTCGATAAAAACTAAAGTCCAGGGGCTCATTTCACGAAGCAGCCTTTACTAAGGTTAGCCTTAACTCCCATTCTTTAACATTGCACTAAGGTTACCTTAGTGACTTACGATCACCTTAGTGCTTTGTGAAAGGAGGCCCTGCTCAATACAGCAACTGTGCTTACAGTGAAGGGTACAAATCGACACCGAATTTGTCCATATTCGTCAAAATATGGCCCAAACAGCGACGTCTCATTGCAGATGTCTGACGCCAGATCGCAGTGCCCGTCACCGCTGATGCCACTGATGACGGGAGGTTGGGTCTTGTCAACGGAACAGTCATCTCCCCCAGGCCCTCGTTACAGGAGCATCGACCTAATATACACGCATAAGTGATGACATGTTACTTTCTTGTTTCAAAATACAAAAACAATATTGATGCAATAGACATATATGTTTTAGAAATGCAGTAAAACCGTTCGTTTCGTTTTGTTTGTGCTGCGCTCTGCGGTATACAAGACAAATGACTGTAGAACATTTCACGCAAAAGTTGAACCAAAGAATTAGGCAAAACGATACATCGCTGTTCTGTCTACAAAACAATCATCCATTGCCTACGGAAACTTTCCAAGTCAATTTCGCTCAACCATACTTTTTTTTAAATTTCGGCTGAATATTCCTACCATCGCCAGCGGCTAAAGGGATGGTGTAAATCTAGCTAGGCTCCATGCAGGTGGCAAAGGTAATGTAAGTCCCCATGGTTTCTATTATGATGATCTACCTTCCGTTGTTGGCGATCTATAGCCCGTGTTTTATATAATTGTACAGTCTGCTTTAATTAAAATGTTTTAGTTTTCCATGCTAGTTTTATATCCATATCTGTGATACTCTAGTTATTTTACAGTCCGCCGATGACTGGTTATTTACCTACGTGTATTTATTGTGTATGCCCAACATTTCTCGTCACTATATGGCTGAAATATTGCCGAGGTGACGTTAAATTGTAACTCATTCACTCACTCCATTGCCTACGTACCATTTTGACATATCCCTTTACCAGAGCAATCGTTAGTACATGTCATGGCCGACAAAGTGCTTAGGAAGGATGGTACACCAGATGCTGTCTTTGTTTGAAACGTTGAATTCATCTCCACTTCGTGAATGCATTCAGATTTGGCTGCTTCGAGCGAATGGCTTGCGAAGTCTACAGCATTGATTGCCTTTGAGAAACAGGAATGAGTGAATGAATGTCAAATTGTCAATTCTACACCACAGTCAACAATATTATTTCATGTCTTGTCTGAAAAATACAAAGTATTGGCACAATGCATGTGCATTCTGACACACACCACATCAGTCTAATTATCTGATCTTCACTAGAAACTCTTACGAAATGCGTGGTACCAGTTCGCAAAACTCCGGTCAGATCAAGGTTGGGAGTATATAATCGAAAGGCAAAGATAGCGTTTATAGAATACCTACAGTTATATCCATGATGCAGTTGTTTTCGTGTTCTCGTATCATATCAGACAAGCTGTCCACAGTTCTGCAAGCAGCTATTGGAGAGGAATTGTTGAACAGTTCATGACAGTAGGTTGTGGCTGCTGCTGTTGTCCATGTTGTCACTGCTGCTGTTGTCCATGTTGTCACTGCTGCAGTGTCCTCCTTTTAACACATATATAGTGGACTAATCAGAAAGAACAATGTCTGTTCCATAAATTTATCCTCAGAATAGACAATAATGAATTCCTGAACAAACAGCTGTTGTGTTGTCCGCAAACATTACAATATCAGCTCATTTTCCCGATCTATGATTCATGTACTAATTTGGATTGTCGTTAACACTTAAATGCAAATTCCAGAATTCCAAAATATGTGTCAGATAGAATCTAATCTCCTTACCGCATCTCTTTTTTCAACGTAAATCTGACGATGAACAGCGGACCGCTTTTTTCTGTTGGTTTCAACTGCGCATTGCCTGAAGGACGAGGGTAGCGGCAGAAAGAGTTCGTTGAAGTTACACACATCTTTGTTCAATTCCGATGAACATGTTACTGTTTCCATCAGTTTTTGCGGGAACCTGTTGTGATAGACACATGTGCAAAGCATCATGGGAGACGTCCATTGTTTCAGTCTATGGAAATCGTCATGGTTGAAAAGATTCACATCGGCCCTGAAATACAATCACATGTAACGGATATTGCACAAGCATTACGTTGTCAGAAAGAGTCTGGTTTTATGGCGCTTTTAAAAATAATCCAGCAATACCACGATTGAGATGAAGGGGAGGGGGTTGGGTGGTGTATAGATATCAATAATTGGCCTCACACATAGTGCATGCTGGAATTCCGTGAGGTGAACAGGTAAATCTCATTAAATGCTAGGCTACACAACCGCCCGCAATTTTTTGTAACATTTGATTACATAACATGGATAATTATGTACAAACCTGGAAACATATATTTGCCTTCTAATCTAGTATTATTTCAGAATTTACCTCCAACTGGACGTGAAGCTGTCAAATCTGTCTGCGCTGTTTCCATTTGCACATGCATGTTTGGCTTTGGGGTCCGTTTCGAAGGTTCCATCGCGTTTCTTGAAATCATCTTCACATTTATTGGTAAAAGTTCCGCACAGTCCAGCCACCTTTCCAAGATCGTTATATGAAGGATACATGGTAATATCGAAGAACTTGGACGTAGGAATAATGTTGATATCCAGATAGGATCCAGTTGGCAAATATATCTGTAAAATATATACGTTACAGGTATGAATACTATTTATAATGATAAAAATATGTATATCAGCTTGTGAATTATTTCGCTTGAATATAAATTGTCGCGATAACAATGCAATGTTTGTATGTTAAACTCAACATTCCAGTTATCTAAGCCAAACTGAAGCAGGACTTAAAGCCCAAGACAAGAAGTCAGTATTGACAATATAACAAATACCCACGCTATCAGGCTATGATAACATGTTCTCAACCAGTCACTAAGGCTGAACAACCCGGATGCATTTTGTCGCCTCTAACAAACAGCAATGCATTTTCAAACGCAAACTCAAAACCATAGGCCCCCACTGCAGATCAGAAAATTGATAAACCAAGCCGCGGTTTACTATCCAGCCCCCTTTCGATATAGTATGTAACGATTCATCACAGAAATACGGGTACATGATCGAAAACCGACCGACGCGCACATATCAAAGAATATATCGTATTTTAAAGGTCTCAACGGTATCAAAAGCTTTTGTCCATATTTTCGATGTGTAAGTTGGGGAATGTACATATGGTTTCCGCGGGGATACATTTGTTGTCTTTTAAATTGCCAAAGACTGAGCTGCTGTGCCGGAAGTATCCGGTTTTCTGACCCGCAGTGGGGTGGGGGGTGGTGGGGGGCTATGCTCAAACCCCATCTTTTCCCTCATACCTGTTAGCGCTTTGAGCACGCAATACATGGTGTTTAAGCGCAATACAAGCAGACAATATTATCATTAATGTATACTAGGGAATTATTTCAAGATTGAATTAACATGAGGTCTAAAATGTACAGGTATAATTTATAGTGAGAAAACAATGACGTTACACTCATATTACTGTTAGAATCCAGCATGTGACTGTTACCATGAACAACAGAATGCAAAGAAAGGTGTATTAAAAAAAATTGTGAACATTAGATGGATGTACACAGACCTTGTAGTGGGAGCCACTCTTTAAGACTTTGATGAGGTCTTTACCATCCTTGCAGGACACGAAGTCAATACTCCAGTCTGGTCTGTTACATTTATCGATATGGAATATGGTCTGTCCAGCTCGAACTGCTATACCACAGGGGCATTGGACGGTGTGCGATGGAAAACAGACAGACACTTGCATTTGAACCTGTAAAATATAATCGCATGATTATCATTGTCTCTATAGATGTAAAAAGATAATGCAAAAGCTGTTTAAATTATATTATACAGGAGCGGACATTCAATAAATAAGGTGTCAGAGTCAAAACTATTGACATTTCATACCTTCAATCAGACAACCAGATTAGCTGTGCAAAAGGGTCATCTGACTGAGATTTGCATTAGTCATTGAATAGATAGATATTGTTCGATGACTGGTCAAAGTGCCTTCCGCCCATCACGTTATTTAGCACGAAAAGACATCTATCCACGTTCGAGGGCGCGAACGCCTACTACGCTTTTTCCCTACTACGTTTGACCATTTTTTTTCTGTTGTTTCTTTGTTCAAAATTGTAGCATCTGTACATAATGTTCTGAACTAAACTTTATAATATGATCAGACGAATACGTATGTAAGCAAAACTGTTTTGTTCAGTTCTAGTGTTAATATACAATAGTTATATTATTAAATTAAGTTGACAGTCCAGAAATTGAACGTGAAATCAAAAACATGATATCTTCAGGTTTGTTCAATATTTTGGAGTCATATGGATTGAATACAATCCTTTTTCTAATTAGGTCGTTTGTTCGTTAATTATCATTAGGTATTGCACAATATGCCTTCAGTTTATTGGGTTCCGGTAGTCTAGCCCTGGATTGCTTATTTTATTTATTAATGGTTGTTGTAATCATATGGACAGTTTTCCCAGAAAGTATTCTGGAGATACTTTCGCTCGGTCAGATACCATAGGAAGGACACTTGTTTCGTATAATTCGTATGTAAAGAGACCTCGTGAAGTATTCTCTATGTATCATTCTGGTACCAGTCATCTGTCAGATGGGCTGCCCGCAATCTTTGCGTCATTAATTGAGGTGTGCATTTTAGGGCTGTGGTAAGGGTATACGACACTCAAAAGAGTGTTATATCAATACTTTGATGTACAAAAAGTAATCTGTAAAGAATTCCCCGGGCTATCTACGGCCCTTGTCTTGAGACGGTCCATGAACGACGTCGGGGATGCATGTTCCATCTTTGCAGCCGAATCAGCTATCCACTCACCCAAATAGGTGTAGCTCTGTGAAGCTCATCTCAGTTTGAGATGCACGTTGACCGCAGTTTCGTAACACAGCCGTTCTGACGAAACGGCCTTTTTGCGCTAGTTAATGTCCTTGGACGATCAGATCGACGTCTGTCATCAACGTTATTTTACGTGATTCATTCCTGATTGAGAGTCTAGAATACTAGAGTTAGCACGTAGTCTTGTGGAGCACTGGTGTTTAGCAGTCTTCTTTGTGAGTTTAGTTTTACGACGCACTTAGCAATATGGCGGCGGTGTGTAAATAATCGAGTCTGGACAAGATTATCCAGTGATCAACAGCATGAGCATCGATCTACGCAATTGGGATACGATTACATGTGTCAACCAAGTCAGGGAGCCTGACCACCCGATCCCGTCAGTGGCTTACCTCCAATTCCAGTTCATCGTGTTTATATAATACAAACACCCCAGGCTGATGAAATTCATAATACCTGAAAAAAATGATGAATGTTTTCATCTTTAGACTTAAAATGTTTATGTAACGCTATCATGGTAACATTAGTTCTCTCTTTTAATATTCCATCTGGAACATTTAAAGTTAACTTCAGGTACAGTTTCTTGATGGCAATGTATTCAATCTGCGATCACGACCAAACTCGACCACCAATATTGTTATCTCCATAAACATGTATGCTGAGAAATACCCTGGACCCACTGAATCAATGTGTTCCTCACCTTCCGTCAAAGGTTCTCATGTGTGGATCCTGCACAGCATGGCAGATGCTTAGCTTGTTGACAACAACATCCTTTTCGACTTGAACCTTTAAAAATAAAACTTCGAATCTATTGTAAGTGAGATATTAGATTATAAGTTAACGACATAATGGCAATATTCAAGCAATATTATGGCAGAGCAAACTAGATATAAAATGCTGTTTAAAATGCTTGTTTGATGTTTATCGTCCCACTCGGATATACAAAGGCGGTCAGTAAATAATCCAGTCTGGACAAGACAATCCAGACGTCATGCGCATTGACACACGCAAATGAAATACCATGAAGATCATCAACCAGATCCGTGAAGATCCGGGTTAAAACTGACCTACAGTAATCCATGCTTGTCGTAAGAGACGACTAACAGGATCCGGTGGTCAGGCTCGCTGGTTTGGTTGACACATGTCATCATAGATCGATGCTCATGCTGTTGATCTCTGGATTGTCTGGTTCAGACTCGAATACTTACAGACCGCCGCCATACAGCTGGAATATTGCTGAGTGCGGCGTAAACCTAAAGTAGCATTACATACCGTCACGCTTCCAATATCGTAGTTCGACCAGAAAGGATGAGTTATCACGAGGTTATCTGTCTTCAAGTACAACTTTATCAACACTGTTTTGGCATTGTAGCCCGTGGTCAATTTCCCTTGAATTTCTAGATGACGAACTGTGCGCCACGAAGACCCCTTGACGGTTAGCCCACACTGAGTCCTGATGAAGGCAGATGGGTCACACGCCCCTGGTTGGTTCCTGGCTACCACAAATACTTCCATGGAACAGTCATGCAGTGGTCCACATCCAAGTGGGGCAGTTAAGGTGAGGTTCAACATCACAGTTTCTCCTTCTTTCACAGCGACAGTGCCACTTGGAATCTATAGGATAATATACTTGTGTATCCCGTTGCGTGCTATGGCTTATAAAACATTATCAGTTTTGTTCAATTGAATGGACACATGCATGACAAATACTTGAAATTCACTATACAGAGTTGCGTCCCTTTGGCGTGTCAGAACCCAATGGTCATCCGTTCGAGTCCCACGCTATGTTTCTGTGGGTGTGCTGAGACCATCGCCAGATTATTAACCAGACGACCTGCATCAACTTTGGTTTCCCCAACATCCGCTGGATTAACATGTGTAAATAAAAGCAGTTGAAAACGTTGCCTTTTCACTAACTAAAATAAATTATGTGTATGTGACAGATAACTCTGGATCCTATCCTTGGATATAAACATTTGTACAACGATCTTGAAAAAGTGGCTGAGCTGTATGAAACCATTAGAATAATTGTGTGGATATTAAGGAAAAGGATGAGGACTGTGGTTAACGCCTAAGACCTGCATACTTCAAACTTTCGAGGTCATTCTGACACGCCACCATTGTTAGTGTAATCATGTTCAAAGCGTCGCTTAACCTAAGCCACCGGCCCACATATACTAACATCCGATGTGCGAACTTCATACCGGTGTAGCAGCCCAGAATAACCCCCCACCAGATTATACCCCGGGGTAAACTATAGGCTAGCCCAGTTTATACCCCGGGGGTATATTCTGGACCAGGCCAAAGTATACCCCTCCAGCCCAGACTATACCCCTAAAAAATTATGTTGACAATTCACTCAATATGAGTGTGTGACTCGGGCAATAGTCTTGGTGTCATTTAAAGGAATTTGTTGGTGCATTTCATTTACATTACTGCATAATCCAAAATATATTAAGTATTTGTTGAGTGCCTCTCTACAATATGATATTTTCGACTTTGCATAACCCAGCCATGCTGATATATCAAGGTTAGTAGTTAGTTATTTGCTTTATTTAGCGTCGGACACACAACTAAGGTATTTCGGCAACGGGGTAGTACAACATGAACAGATTAACTACGGGCACACTCTACTCATCAATCTTATTAGAGCTGTACCATTATGGAGGTGGGTGTTGTCTTAATTAATACCCTACTCCACTGTCTAACAACTGGCTGTCTAACTAATGGGAGATAGCCTGTGTGAGAAGGGGCTGGTGATGGTGTTAGTAGGGGCTGGTGATGGTGTGAGTAGGGGCTGGTGATGGTGTGAGTAGGGGCTGGTATTTATTTATTAATATGAACAAGTGACTCTGGAGACTGATCTCACTGATCGGAAGATCAACAGACTTGACAGCACCCCGACGGACATACAGAACCAAAGGCGATGGCAACTGCTACTTCCACTGCATCAGTTACAGCCTGACAGGATCTGAAGACAGTCACAGCACTTTCCGAGATCGAGTGGTTCAGCATATGAACAATGACATTAATGATGAACCAAAATGTCAAAGAGTTCATCACTAATTCAGGAATTTGACGAGATGGAGTGGGGGCAACAGATGCAGAAGTTATGTCAACAGCCAGTCTGTTAAAATGTGACATTTATATTTACAGTGCAGTTGGTCAGTCAATGCAATGGCTGATGTACCCTGCCAGCTTCAGTTTGAAAACTCACACTGATTATGCTTTGTATCTGGAAATGTATCGGATCCATTTCAATGTTGTAACCAGTGTTTAATTGTGTGAGAGAGTGAGTAGTTTAGTTTTACGCCGCACTCAGTTTCCAGCTATATGGCGGCGGTCTGTAACAATCGAGTCTGACCAGACAATCCAGTGATCAACAGCATGAGCATCAATTGTTTGACATGTCTGTCAGCGAAACTATCCCGTTAATCGCCCTCCTTACGCAAGATAGTCGCCTTTTATGGCAAGCATAAGACCTATTCTACCCCGGATCTTCACGGGTCTAATTGTGTTCAATAAAGTTATAGTAGTATAATCCCTGTAGGGTATAATCTGGGCTAGGGGTATACTATGGCCTAGTTCAGAATATACCCTATTAGGCAGGGCTATGTACCTGGGGGATAGTCTGGGCTAGTCCAGTTTAACCCCGGGTAGCCTGGGACAGGGGTATACTCTGGCCTGTTACACCGGGTTTCTTATTATTCGTGTGGTCGTCAGTATCCAGCAGGCATCATATATCCAATCTAAACAATTTCCTTTCGGATAAATAACAGAATGAACTGCAAGTATACTTTGGACACTTGTTCTTAAGAAAAGAGCACAAAATCTGCGAGGCGTTTTCAGTTATATTTAAAGACAAATGCCTTCTCTCCCATAACCTTAGTCATATGTCGACTCTAACAACCGACCTGAATTATTCAAGTCTATGTCAGATCAAAGCAGAGGTTGACACAAGGGCACTATCAATAAACTCACCGAGCATGTCAGTGGCCATCTGAACTTTCTCGTCTCTTGCAACGTACGACTGAAAATAGCGTGATTTGCAACAAGAGTTAAATATACCTTGATACCGATGAATTTTTCGTCGCTTAAGATACGTCCGCCAGCGGGGAACCCTTCACCCAGAGAAGCCGTTACCGCACACTGAACCTGAAAGTTATCTAGGATATTAATCACGTAAGTACACGTACTTCGTGATTCCAAACTGGATTGAATCTTGTTTATAATATCCCCTTTTACACACAATGTGGGGCGGTAGGGTAGCCTTGTGCTTAAAGCGTTTGCTTGTCACGCCAAAAACCCGGGTTCGATTCCCCACATGGGTATATGTGTGAAGCCCATTACCGGTGTCCCCCGCCGTGATATTGCTGGAATATTGCTAAAAGCGGCGTAAAACCAAACTCACTAACTCACTCTTGATCAATATATCACAGCCTGAATTTGTACCTAATTTATGCGAATGCACTAGTTGTAACAATGATAAAACGATCAATTTATATAACAATAACGTGACAAAAACATCCTTAAAGCACATACCAAAGTTGGTTTCCCATCTAAACTAAACGGCAAATGAAAGTATAGGTGGAGTTTGATGAGTGGTAAAACAAAAACACAACAAATCAAATTGGCGAAGCGTGTGTATATCGTGAAAGAAGGGTTAATGATCATTATTAGGCCACAAAATGATTGGAATACAGGCAACACATAACATGTGGGCGCTAGTTGAAGAATGGTGGGTCCAACAACTCATTTTTCAGCGATGTCTTAAAGAGCCACACATGATTGTCAATCATTGTCCAAGTTTACACAACAAACAGAACATATCTCAATACCGTGTATGACCCCACGTGCATCAATGCATGCCATGACGCGTCGTCTCATTGATGACGTCAGGCGTCTGATGAGGGGTGGTGGGATTCTCTGCCACTCTTCTCACAGGGCACGTTCCATCTCATCTCGTCACTGGGTGTTGTTGACGATTCCTTAACCGTTCGCCCAGATGGTCCCACAGATGCTCTATGGGGTTCATGTCGGGTGAACAGGCAGGCCAAGGGAGAACATGAACATTGTGGCGGTTGAGGAAGTCCTGTGTCAATCTTGCTGTGTGGGGTCTGGCGTTGTCACGTTGAAACATTATCCCCTGTGGCTGGTTCCGCAAGAATGGAAGCACAACTGGGCGCAGAACTTGCTCTCTGTACTGAACATCATTCAGGTTCCCTTGCACAATGACCAGGTCAGTCTTCTGTTCCCCACAGATGCCTCCCCAGACCATAACACCTCCCCTCCGAACGGATGGACCTCTCGGATGCATGGTGGAGCTAAACGTTCACCTCTTCGGAGATAAACTCGTTGTCTGCCGTCGTTCTGGAACAACTGGAAACGACTCTCGTCAGAAAACAGTACTCAGCGCCATTCTCGCACTTGCCAGATTCGAACTTGCCTCGCCCATTGTACCCTTCGGTGTCGATGTTGTGCTGTCAGGAACATACCTCGGAAGGGACGGTAGGCTGTGATTCCTGCAGCACGAATTCGTCGGAGTACTGTGCGTTGGCTGATGAGATGTCCCAGCGCTGTTGCAGCCGTCGCCGTCGCCGTGACGAACCTGTTGCGTAAGTGAATTGTTCGAATTCGGCGATCTTCCTGGGTGTTGTGACACGTGGTCTTCCCGTTCTGGGTCTGTCTACAGTCCTTCCTGTCTGTCGGTAACGTTGCAGAAGCCTGGATACCGTTAAAGGCGTGAACCCGTACCTTCGTGCAATCTGGACCTGTGTTGCCCCATCTGGTGCATACCAATCGCCCTCTCTCGCTCCTCTCTTGTCAGTCTAGGGCATATCGATTGTGTGCTTTTGCCAACTGTGTTGTCAACCTATGGTTTCACCTTATTTATACGCCAATTCGGCACGCATCTCCCTCTGCAGCCTTTGCGTGTTTTACCATTTTCTGGTGAAGCGTGGCACCACCGTCATAATGTGTTTGGGAGATGCGATTTTGCATCCTTGTGCTTAGGGGACAACTGTCTGAATGCATACTTTCAACCGGCTATCAACACTTTCACAGTGAATTGACATTTTCCGACCTATACTTTCTTTTGCAGCTTAGTTTATAACGGTTTCTGAGAAAATCTGTCCCCATCATCTCGGACGGACGGTGCTCAAACCTACATCTCCTGCCACTTCGTGGCGGGGAGTAATAATAGGATAAACAGTGGCATTAAACCCCCAAAGACGCCGCAAGAGTTATTTGCATAACGAAAGGACATACCTGAAATCCAGGAGTAATGAAACCATTGGTGATTAAGATGTCTTCCGTAAGAGCTGAGTGATCAACGAACGTATTCGACCAATGTTTAGGAGGGAAGGAATGTATTAATCCGCCGTTAACATACCACAAGACATGGTACAACAAGTCATCATGAGATTTCGCAAACGTGCATGTGAACTTGAAGTGGTCCTTCTTGCCTGCGTCGGTTTCCACGTCAACTTGCACAGTGGGCTTAACCTTGAACGATGTTTTTGCTGATGGAAAAAGCAAAGTCAACGCAAGAGGTACAGAGTCAAACGTATGTGTTGTTTCGTAATTACAAATTGCTACACTCAGTAATGCTCCAGCCAAATAATCGTGTATGAACCAGAAAACCCTAACCTAATGATTGTTAACGTGAAATTGAGATCGTCAAAAGAAACTTCTAAAGATATACATACGTTTTGTGGGGTCTGTCAGATCTGAAACATTGACAAGTAAATACATGTTATAAAAAAACCCAGATGTATATAGAGATGCACACTGTACCTTCGTCTCGAAATACAATCATATTTAATGCTTCAGTTTTAGTGTTGGTGATTTAGAACCACATTATATCAAAAATATCAGTTTAGCGTGAGTATTATTTTTCACCGCCTTTAGCAAAATTCCAGCAATATCACGGCGGGGACACCAGAAATGGGCTTCACGCATTGAACCCATGTGGGGAATCGATTCGGCGTGACGAGCGGACGCTTCAACCACTAGGCTACCCAATGTCCCAATAAATTACAATACTTTTCCCACTTCTGTCTTGTTTCTGACAAATGTTACGCTTCATACGGTTCCCACCTTCCTTACAAATTAGCAAATAACGAATCTTTTTTTCAGTTTTCACGGGAGTTTTTGCTTTATTGTCTGTTTAATCAATGTTATGAGTTCGGGTAGCACAATTTATTAGTATACGTGTTTGCCAGTTCATGAATGAAGCTGAGCATCGTTGGAAAGCTCTTCTCTCATGTGACCCGGAGCAGGACTATGGAAACTTGCTCTTGTGGTGTATCAGCTTTCACAGCAGATATTGCTTGTGCACGCTTCCCACCGAAGCTTTCCAGGCTCATCAGCTCATTTTACACTGAATGTGAGGCATATATTCTGTGAGGCAGTTGTCTTCCACAGTAGAACAGGTCTGCATACTTGTCACTACGCCTTTTTGGAACACTATTTGCAATCATACACTTGACGTACCTCAGCCTTATTTTGACAGACAACCAGTCATTGGATGTGAGTTTAACAGATGGGTGTTTACCATTGTCACCAGACTGACGAAGAGAATTTATCAGAACAGCAACTGTTGACACACCGCAAGGCTGCTATCTACAGTCTGTGTCCAATGGTTGTACAGCCCTGAGTTTTTGACCATCTTCTAGAGAGCAAACACGTGTAGTAGCAGCTGCCAACTAACTTACCGTCAACTATGTTCTCCCCAGATCGACGGAAGCCAACAAAAAGTGTCCAAATGTTACAGAATAAATTTTGTTATTTACTTCATAATAGGCAACTGAGTATATTGGAAAAGCAACTGAGGTGCTTCATGAGAAAAAACGCTGATATATTTTTTGAATTGTTAAAATGGTACTCACCAACACAATATGCAGCTTCAAACACAGGCGGTTTCTTCAGTTGATAAATACGAAGCGTACCACAATCCTTTACATCTATCCTGAATGTCATGGAGCATCGATCCGGGCCGTCTTTCATGCACACCTCAACTGTCTTGTTCATACCTCCACGAGGGAGCGTGTCTGCATTAAAATAATCAATTAAGTAATTGGAAACACAGTAAACGCAGAAAAGACGGTGTGTGATTCATTCCTCTGAAATGAAATGAAACAGTAAAGGTAAACACGAATTTAATTGTATCATATGGTGTTTATTGTTACTGATGCGATGAACCAGTACGATAAGATAGAAGAGCTACTCTCTATCTCCACACATCAACAGGTTTCCAATGAGAGGATTATTCTAGCGACAATTATAAGTGCAAATACGAGGCAATATGTGAACGTAACGTTTAAATCAAACACTTAGGTCTCAATATATAACATAATAATATGGCATATGATGGAAACATGAACCATTAACTCTTAATTAACCCGTGAAGATCCGGGTTAGAATTGATCTTCAGTAACCCATTCTTGTCGTAAGAGGCGACTAACGGGATGGGGTGGTCAGGCTCGCTGACTTGGTTGACACATGTCATCGTATCCACAATGCGTAGATCGATGCTCATGCTGTTGATCATTGGATTGTCTGGTACAGACTCGATTATTTACTTACCGCCGCCATATAGTTGGAATATTGCTGAGTGCGGCGTAAAACTAATCTCACTCACTCAGCTCTTAAATGCTTTCACAATTGTGCTATGGATTCAATGAAGCAATAATAGCTTCATTACCTCGAACCCATAAAGGGTATGTAGTCCCGCAACGTCCATCACCAGGTGGGGGAACACTTAACACCAGATCGTACCCTTCTTCGCCGAACCAATCATTACTTGCATCAATGTAGAAGTCGTTCAGCGAATCATCAGCCGTGGGGAGAGTATAATTGGTACTTCTCTTCTCGAGATAGGGAAACGAAATGTAGCTTTTACAGGGATCGGAACCTAAAATACAAAATATATCAATAAAGCATGATGAAATAAGATAAAACTAAACTAAATAGTATTGTGAATGTTCGTTCAAGAAGGGGCGGTATTTTCTGAATGATGTTGCTGTTATTGCTAAAAGCGGCGTAAACCAAACTCAGAAGGTCCGGGTTAGAATGAACCTTCAGTAACCTATGCTTGTCGTAAGAGGCGACGAACGGGATCGGGTGGGTTGACACTTCTCATCGGTTCCCAATTACGCAGATCGATGCTCATGCTGTTGATCACTGGATTGTCTGGTACAGACTCGATTATTTACAGACCGCCGCCATATAGCTGGAATATTGCTGAGTGCGGCGTAAAATTAAACTCACTCACTCGTTCAAGACAACATTGCAACATTTGCCCTGCACACTGTTTCATCAAACATTCAAGAAAAAGTAGCCTGCTAAAGTCCGTTTGATTTCATTTGAGATCGATGAATTGCTCACTAACACAAAATCTAATAAATGCAACAAAACCAAATTTTGCACTGTCATTATTTACCGGTATTATTGACGAGGGGTTACCATTTGCTGGTAGAACAGCCACACTTGTTGATTACCGGCTGTTCTACCAGCAAGTCTGGTCGATTTCATGTGACTGCAAATTTTGGTTTTGTTGCATTTATTAGATTTGGTTGCGCTGTTGGTTGAGTGCGGTAAAAGGCAATATTAATGTGGGTTATTATACGTATTTGCATCCTGGTACAAGAACATATTCAGCTCTTGATTTATCCGTTTGAGATTCAAACCCACTGAATTAATTTCAATGCTCATCCCACGACGACTTCTATGGAACTAACCATTTTCCTACAATACTAAAACCTGTGAAAACAATCTGATGCTCCCCCATCATCAACATGGAATTATAAAATGTTAACTGACATGTTTATGAAACGCTGTTTTGTAACAGACTTACACCTAAACAGAACTGACGTTCCTGATGCTATACACATATGGCAATCACAGTTCAGCTTTGACTGCAAACAAGCTATGACAGCAATTTGAATGATTAATAAATCTATACGCTAAAGCACGGCGTACTTTCAAACAAAGTAACTGCCTCTCCTCTCTCTCTCTCTCTCTGGCTATAATTTCGCTAAAGTTACGTACCATTTGATAGCCCGATGAAGAGGAACAAAAGCCCACAGACACCTGCAATGAAACCTGACGCCATGTCAAAGCCGCATATCTAGACAGAAACCAAAGTATATATACATATATATTGGTTCTTATCTCATACTTATGCTCGCTTTGATTGAATAGATTCGAAACATTTTTTTATGTCCATGCTTACCTTTTGGGTATTGATTGCAGGCGGAGCCTCTTATACGTTGTTATTTATATGAATGACCATTACTTGGTTACACTGTTGTGTAATTTCAAGTTCGTAATTACAGCTGCCTGTCGATAGTTTCTAAACTATTACAAATCATCAATCCTGCTTAATCCACCATCAAGCTAAAATGGCGAGTATAAAAAAGATTACTATCCCATGAAGATATACACCTGGAAAAATGTTAGGCACCCCTAAATATGTTGACCGCTAACAGAACGACGTTCAAGTTCAGCTTGTGTATGATGATACGGGTGTCCTCCCATTAGTCATAAGTCCCACTAATCATACGGGTTAAAACAACATATGGTTATGGTTGACTGCACTAACAACTACCTTTGTAATACATTTGTAAAAATAAAGTGGAATGATCCAAGAAACAAAAATACAGCTTCATATCAGTGAACTTGATTAATCTGTCTTCAGCATGGTATACATATCTGTACACATAAACACCAACAACTACCTTTGTAATACCTTTGTAAAAATGCTGTCTTCACCATGGTATACATACATGATCTGTACACTTAAATGGTACCATTTACACATTATTCCTTATTTAAATAACTTAAATAACATAAATTCACAGTTCGCAAAGCTCAGTTGGGCAGAGGTAGCCAACAGCATCCAGAAATTGAACAGAGTTTTTCTGACCTGTTTCAAGTTGGTCCCACAATCGGACGAGTCTGTTTTCCTTCTCGCGATACACTCGATTTCTTCCCTGGATGGCAGATTCAGACGTCTCGATCTGCTTGATCAGCTCAACAAAGAGATAGATGTTTGGATGATGGTGTGGCAGAGTCTTGTTCAGGCGGTAGTGGAAGCCTTCAAGATTGTTGTTCGTTCGAGGCCCAACAACTACCTTTGCGGTGGTGATTCCATAGAGGGATGGGGTATCTTGCATCAGCATCAACCCAAGTTGTCACAATGTAGTCAATAAATCTATGGGCGTTTTATATGTTTTCATTACAAAAGACTGTGGCATTGTTAGTGTTAGAGATTCAACTAACCTCAAGCTCTCAAATGAGCGGGCTAGCCCATTTTGTGCAAAAGGTATATGCCTGTTGTTGTTTTAATTAATCCCCCATTTGCTGTGTGACTACTGGGAGTAGGACTAATGGGACATGACCTTGATACGTATGATAATGATGTTTTATTGAAGAAAATATTGCAAGTGTACCTGGTGGAAAGTGTACCTGTGGAGCGTGTCCAGAAGAAAACTCACGAATTTTCACAAGTAACACGTTTCACAAGTTTGTTCATGTGCAACAAGTCGGTATATTTTTTCATGGGTTACAATTTCCAATCATTTTTCTGCCACTACGGTACGTAGTGATGCTCAGAGATGGCAAGTTGTTGGTACACATAACCCCGGTATGTCTTATGAAGCAGTTGGTCGGGAATGAATATCCATTACACAGTTGTCGGTCGTTTGGTCATAAAATACAGGGAAACCAATCAGGTGAAGGATTTACCCCGTTCTTGACGACCCAGGGTGACGTCAAATCGTGAAGACAGGACAATATTGAGACTCACTCGAAGACAATGACTCACTCGCCACAACCACTGTTCTCAAGCACCATTTCGCCGGATCGGAATCGCATAAGGAGAGCCTTAGGTCATCAAACGTCTTCCCCTGGGCGATCATCACCTACCAGTACGTTTGGCTTGGTGTTTACCATGGCAGTGCTGGAATCTGAGGACGTGGCGAAGAAAACATTGGTCTGATGAAAACCAATTCCGTCTTCATGTATGGACGCTTGATAATTTGGAAGCAATATAGAACAAACGTTTCGATACAGATTCTTGTACCGTTGTCAAGCATAATGCTTGACAACGGTACAAGAATCTGTATCGAAACGTCACACTCACGAATAAAAAGAAGTTGTTATCCATAAAGTTTGTTCTATATTGTACTTCCCAACTTCTAAAATGCCACTCAAAGAAGTAATTTGGAAGCAGCTAAGAACTTTCAACCCACTGTTGCATTTAAAGAAGAAGGTTCCCCGTCATTGTGCGGGGATGTGTTTCCTGATGAGTAAACTTGCCTTGGTGACAAAACGTGGGCATATGCATGTGACGGGTGATCAGTATATCTGGAAGTGCTGGATACTGTTGTTGCCCCCATTTTGATAATCACCCTCTTGCTACTAGAGTCATACTGGACCTGTATTTATGGATGACACAGCTGGGCCACGCCGTTCTCGTACAGTGACAATTTTCATTCTTAGCAATGCCGTGACCCAGACCCGAGCTCCCTGGAGCACATTTGGGACTTTATCGGACGACGGATACCTGCACAAATCTGCGTGAGTTGGAACGTTGCAACTGATACTGACGGGGTTATGCGACGTTTAGATACAGACAGACATTTAGATCCAGAGATAAAGTTATTTAAAAACATATATCTTCCAAAATAATATCATTTAATCCAAAAGGAACCCATTACGGTTTATATTTTCAGGGCTGGGAATGAGGCAATCTAGACATGCCAAAGTCTCTTTTGTATATTTTTTTAGGGTCTGAACCACACTACTCCGGCCATTGACGATAACTTACGTAAACTGACGTAAAAGATTCATCACTGTGACGTCGCATTAACGTTGCCGATTTCTAATTCATGACATTAGCACGTTGACAAGTAACATCGGCCACAAATTTATGTTGGGTACTTTATGTCGGGCTGGTATGATTGGCTGACAGAGGACATAATTAGTTGTCATTAATTAAAATAAGCATGTCCAGCTCTACGTCCTGTTGTGTTACCGTTCTTGTACAGCAGCCCTGGAATCCTGTTTCAGCTGCACATACAGATCCGGTGTTATCACTATTTCATAGTGAACCCATAAACACACGCTCGTGATATCGTCGGAATTGTACCAGTCTGTCATATCATTTTCTCTACAGCCTATCCGCTCCTTGCAATACTAAAGCCCTAAATGAAGCAAGTCTAGATTTCTCCAGGTTCAGGAATCTCTGGTTTATCTGGGGCTCCTTTCCAATATAAATGGGTTTATTTGTTACAATCAAAATATATACTACTCAAACTTTGCTAGGGATCACAAAAATTCGCAAATTTACTTAACCGTAGATTTATAATTTGAAATCCATTTAAAACTGGATAAATAATGATATGGTAACACATCTTTAGGAAAACAGCCACTTTAAGCTAACCGTATGCACTTGATACATGAGTAACCATAAAATTGGTTTTCATGGCACCAATCAACCATTTTGCAAATCATGGCACGGGTCATTGATAAGTACACAACACCTGTCAATAGCAGGTATGGGATCCACCACATGAAATGACATACTGAAAATTTGGATCCATGCTTACAATAGGCTTAGATATTTAAACCAAATTTGACCCCACATCATAGTTTTCTGTTGAATCAATGATTTGATCCTTAGCAAAGTGTGAATAGTATATATTGAGAGACTAAGCGTTAGTCTAGAATTGTACGATCGAGCAGCTATTGTCTCTGGATTTGGAGAGGCTTTGTGGCTTTTATTAGCAACAATCATTATTCAAACACACTCTATTGGCCTCCAGCAAACTAGTCTAATCTCAGAGAGGATTATAGGGACCTTACAATATTGATGATCTTAAATCCACACGAACCTATAATTGATAAATTTTCCTTGGTATAAACAACACGGGCATTTTACAGTTATGTTTTCGTGCAGTTACAAATACGTTGTCCCTGATTACGCCAAGATGTTATCTCTACCAGGAAGATCACTGCACTCCGTGGAGATTGCGAGTACGAATACATATCCTCAGAAACCTATAACCGTAATGATATTTAACGGATTTGTGAGTCAAGCTCGGGGACTTAGTTCAGTACTTGCCATCGTATCACATTCGCGCGGATCATTGAGGGTGCCAATCCCCAAATCCCCCGAATCGCGAATATCATCCAATTTCTTCACTCTGAATTTCACGTACTCAGACATGAATCCCGATTAAAAATCAACACAAATATCTGCAGAGTATATCAGAATTCACCCTACAATGGCCCCAACAGACGAAAACCTATATATTACATTTTTATGTCATAAACGGACGCGTTTTTAATTAAATCTATGAAATATAAAAATAGTTCTTTTACGGACTGATTCAATGCCTATTTCTGGTGTTCCTGGAATATTGGAATATTGCTAAAAGCGGCGTAAAACCATGCTCACTCACTCCAATAAACGTCATAAGACGACTCTTACACATATAAACATGTACGTGTAACACAGTTTACTCACGTATAGATTACTGATGAATGTAAGATCTTGACACTCTTTTTTGTTGGCTGAAAATGTATGCAATTATCATGAATTTGCCTTGGTTGATTATATGGTCGGGCATTGGTTTGAGCAGACTGACAGACAGATTTTGTATTCACATCTCATCTTAATATAAAAATACAAACATAGAATGTACTTTAAAGTACAGCGAGCCACCCAAAATGGGTTATGATAGACGACGTAGAACGAAATTACATGAGATAGTTACATAAAATAGAATTATATTGCTTATCACAAAGTGCACTAAAAGTACATAAGATAATTATATATACATATATTGTAAAGGTATTTGTTAAAGATGAATTGTATAAATGGATTATAAACTGTAGGACATAAAAGGGAAATATACCATAATGATGCATACATAGGATGTTTCCAAACTATAAAATATTTAGTTAGAATATAAGAAATCTGTACGGGTAGTTAAAATAGCTTTGCAGGTCTTAGCACTGATTAAAATCACTTTGGGTGGACTTCTGTGGTGCTTCCAAAAGGTTTTGTTTTGGACGAGTTGATTTCATTTCCAGATTAGAGGGGCGGTGGGGTAGCCTGGTGGTTAAAGTGTCCGCTCGTCACGCCGAAGGCCCGGGTTCGATTCCCAACATGGGTACAGTGTGTGAAGCCCATTTCTGGTGTCCCCAGCCGTGATGTTTCTAGCGGCATAAAACGATGCTCAGTCAGTAAACGTATAATAATCATGGTAGTGATTGGCCATGTCGTTCTATTCCTGATGCGTAAACGTATAGTAATGAGCGAGGTAGTGATTGGCCATGTCGTTCTATTCCTGATGCGTAAACGTATAATAATGAGCGAGGTAGTGATTGGCCATGTCGTTCTATTCCTGATGCGTAAACGTATAATAATGAGCGAGGTAGTGATTGGCCATGTCGTTCTATTCCTGATGCGTAAACGTATAATAATGAGCGAGTCTTTGATGGGCAATGCCATATTCGAAAATATGATTGCAGTTAAGTGACAAGAGACTGAATAATTGTGTACATGTATGTGAGTTTACGAAAAGCAAACATGTCATTGATTTATAACCTCTGAATCGGCCTCAAGTCAAAGAAAGTATGCTGCAAAATGAATATTTACCATGGATGGCCAGTTTGCACTTTTATCATTGCCATTGCATAGTTGCCTAAATCACACAGATAAATCAAGGCTGAAAGATGAACTGATCGATAACGACTTATCATATTACATGATGGAAACGTGAATGTGGATAAAGCAAACTGAATTAACCCATTGTCGAATAATGACGCAAAGAAAATATCACATACATGTATATGTGTATAACAGTTAAACGCTGAATGTAAATGCCGTCCATTTTGGTAGGCTGGCGAGGAGGGTTTCGGGAAGGGGGCAAATCAGCATATTTTGTTCACATGCTATTCCTCTATCCCCATGTAACCTAAATAAGCGATCGCCCAAAGACTGCGTTGCCAATAGTTGTGCTGCTATTTAGAGACACTAAACTAAGAATCTGTTATCATTTTTATGACTATGAATGTGAGAAAACACCTGCCTACATGAAGACGAGTGTCTGAAGCGACACAGCGTCACCTGCTGAAAATGAACGTTGCTGTGGAAATAATGCCGTGAAAATGCAAACCAATCTCATACAAGTGCTACATCAGTGAATATTTCAAATGTTTTCCCCATTTGTTTGTTAAGAGTCGACAGTTCACATTCAGGATCCAGTCTGTGGTCAGCAGCGTTTCATGTTACCCTTGCCATTGGTTGCCAGGTCAGTCAGATTGCCATTGGCCTTTTTCAAGCAGAATCAGAAAAGCGTCGCTTTTAGTGATAGTATTTCCATTACTCAACATTACTTAACTAAAGGTACAGTCGAGCACCGTTGTGCCGAACTCTGATAACTCGATATCTCGGTTGCCTCGATATAACATCTCTGTCCCGGCAAAATCCTTCATAATTTATCATTATTTAAGCTCTTTTAACTCGATACGGATGTCTCGATATTTCGGATATCTCGATATAATTTCATGGTCCCAACAAGCAAAATTACCCTTTTAACTCGATATTTGCAAAGAACTCGATATTCACCTACCTTTCATGGGCAAGTATCCCTCTGATCTGAGGTTGTAGTTTAATTTCTGAGATGACGTGTCAGAGTATTGTAGGGTTGCCTAGGACGTACGTTTGCATCACGACATAATTCCTTCGCGATACTGGACATGGTACGAGTCCAAGAATCCAAATGTGTTAACAGAATAAAATGATTGTGTTAGCGGCCTGAATGTATTATATTGTACCACTATAGTCGCTCATGACATCGATCATTGGAGGTGAGGTGAGGTGAAATTGGGTTTAACGTCGTGCTTGAGAATATCTCGCTCATATGACGACGTGCATGCGTGTGTATGTGTAGCTGCTTGTACTAGCCCAGACTTAAGCTGGTTTAATAGTGCTAGCCCACTGAGATACCATGCTGCAGTGAAGCATGAATACCCCACTCAGACACATTATACTGACTCCGAGCCGAACAGTCCTTGTCGTACTCATTAATGCCGGCAGGGACCAACAAGTACCATATTTGAACGTCTTTTGGTATGACGCGGCCGGGGATCGAACCCGCGACCTTCCGCTCTCTGGGCGGACGCTCTAACCACTACACCACGGAGGCGGTCCATCGACCATTGGAATCTACACCCATGGAATATTACTCATTAGAACTTCATGATACTATAATTGATAACAATCAGAATAGGTGAGAAACAGAGTGAAGAAAAGGAACATAAGAAGAAATAGCTAGATAAGATTTCAATGCATTTTCATACAGATGTTCATGTTCTTAAGATTAAATGTTTCGTAAGCTGCATTCGTTATATCGGGGGTGGAGGTGTAGCCTAATGGTTAAAGCGTTGGCTCGTCACGCCGAAGACCCGGGTTCGAATCCCCACATGGGTACAATGTGTGAAGCCCATTTCTGGTATCCCCGCCGTGATGTTGCTGGAATATTGCTAAAAGCGGCGTAAAACCAAACTCAGTCAGTCAGTCGTTATTACGGTAAATAGTCCATGCATAACTACACGACTCTGTGGTATGATAAAATGGGGAGAAAATCTCCTGGTTGCTCTATTTGCTCTTTGTAACCGGCTGTGATCTGTTTAGGTCCATTGAGCAGGAACCTCGTTCACCATCCCCTGCCAAAGAAACAAAGACAGACTGGAACGATTTTCGTGTAGATGGATGCAAATGTAGTAAACATCATAAATGGCCACACAACTTAGTGAAAATTGTTTCGTGGATCAATTAATAAAGTTTTCCAGTGAATATTATGTGTTGAAAATAATTGTTTTTCAAGGCAAACCAGGTGCAAAAACATTATACCACCTTATACTTGATTTATTGTTTGAAATGTAATAGTGTCGCTGTCAAATGGGTTTTTCTTTTTAGAAAAACGTTCATCATTTGAACATTTCAAAGCATTAACCTTTATTTCAGATCAACACGAACGTCTTAACGCTTATAAAAGAGTAATGCAATAAAACTTGTTGATAACCTTCTAGTGTTCGCACTTCTTGGTCGTATGGATCGCTTTATGTGCTGTGGGTATTAGAGACGAAATGTGAAATAATCAATACATGTTACACCTGTATAGCTAAAATTCATAAAGTCGGGATTTCATATTGATTACCCGTCCAGCGAGCGACGGTACGATATCTTGTTCAAATAGAAACGAACTACCTTCTGAGGCCAAACAGGTTAAAAACAGACCCAACAACCTGAGAATGTCATAACTGTAACAGCTACAGATTGATATAATTTCTCAACATGGTACCACAGAAGAACGTGCTCTGTGCACTGATGATTTTCATCAGTGGCACCCTGGGTAAGTCTCTTTGAACAACTCTTGTATAACATCTTGCTACATCAACAGTCTTGAGCATTACTGTATTTTGTTCTGGAGAGTGACCATTGGAAATCCACGAAGTATTTTTGGAAAGAAAATAAGTCTGATCCTGGAAATCATATATGAAATCATATGTCCTCAGATTTTACGAACAAAATAGAAAAGTAGATCACTAAACATACTGAATATGCTGACAAATAAAGTGTTTATAAATTACTTGGCTCTTCTTCTTTAAGAAATGGCTAGTAGGTCTTGAAGTGCTTGTGAATAAACTTTTGTCGAATATGTTTTAAATACTGAAGGCCATTGTTTTCAGACATTCTCACCCACGAAAGTGGTCCTGAGTAACCGCCTGGCCGTGAAACTGTTAGGTGATGTTTTATTGATCTCGCCTTTTCAAAACGACAATTGTAGGCAGCCAGGAAAGACAGAAGGAGTAATAGTCAGCACACACCTTGAGTAAATATAATGTTCAAACACTGCAGCACAGTCTCCGGACGACCCTTGCCACATCTACAATGACGTTATCAGCCATGGCGGCAGAAGTCCAAGATGTCCTTATGAGAAGACAGATGAAAAATGTGATGAGTTCCTCACGCCCTCATGGTTTAGAGTTAAAGTCGGTGAAGATAATGAATTCCCACGGATGACATCGTACTGCCCTGAACCGTACAGCTGTGGTGCAAATTACCCCATCTGGCTGAACGGTTAGTTGACACGTTTTTTCTTATACATATGTATATTTCGTTTCCCAAAACAGTTTTTTAACAGTGGAAAATGAAAGTATGGGAATGCTTTTATTGTGCTTACTACGAGCATTAACATATTCATAGCTGTCTGCCATCGGCGCCGAACCTCGCCAATTTACGTCTGCGACAATAATAATTGTACCTGATACAACAAAACTAGAAATACCAAAATAGTTTTCACCATATTTTGTTTTCGGTAACAGTATTTACCATTTTCATATTTTGCAAATAGTAGCGTACAGTATATTTTATACACATATCAACAAATAATTGCAGTTATATATTTGGATGTCCCAGTAGCTACTATTTTCTTCTTGTGGGGTGTGGGAAAAGGAAACCTAAAGTGATTTTGTAATGGTCTTTGGTCATAGTCATTGCTGGTGCTTGATCTTTTGAACTGTGCAAGGAACGTCCGTATCGACGGTGGAGTGGGAGGGTAGGAATGTAGTAGTAGTACGTCCCTGACATAATGTTAATGAAGTAATGTTTTCATACACGGTAAATATGTGTATCACTTCTAAATGCCATTCAAAGACCTAACATAAAGCTCACTTAACACGCTTAAATATAACTTGTATTAATTCGAGACTGTGTGGGTGAAGTTAGAGGTGGACGCATGAAATTAGGGCAAATCTATGGCGACGCCAAACCAAGAATATATCTAAAAATGTGAAAATAAATATCCTCAGTCATGCTGACGAGTTCCAAACAAATTCGCATGACTTTTATACAGATGTTTTATTCTCATGGGGAAATTATTATATCAATAGTAAAAGACAGAACATCAAGGATGAAGAAGATATTTCTCACACAACCACTGTGGCACAATGGCAATTTACGTATCGGCAACAAGCCAATATGCTAGAGACACTATGAAAAGGCAGGAATAAATACTATAAACGATTTGGTAGACGACAAAGGAAACATACTAAAATTTGAACAGTTTAAAAATATGTATAACCGGAAAACAACTTTTTAGAATATGCTGTGATTTCGAAAATGATTTATAATAAAATATAATTGCATCTTAATAAATACCACACTACATAACAAATCCTGCATGTCTTTTATTCCTTACCTTATACAAGATTTAGTTAACTGATTTGATATTAGAGGTACATATATGGATCTTCGATATGTTTTCTATATCATACCTGAATCATGGAAATTGACTATAAACCAATACAGAAACTATTCATAACAATAATATGGATAATCACTTTCTTCATAAACATTTTATGGATTTGAAAAAAGGTTCACGATTATTTTATGATAAACTCTTATCTGACAATATTAAACTTCATATTTGCCTAAAATGGGAAAACTTATTTTATGATATTGATTTTGATTGGCGTATGATTTTTAATATTTGCTGAAGGAATTTGAAAGATGTGAAACTTTTAGACTTTCAAAAAGTGTGTTGTAACCCAAACCTTCTGGAAGGAACTTAAAAATTGGATAATCCAAAACATACAGAAATTTGAAATAACAAGACCTTGGTTTGGTTTCGAAGTTGGGGTAATAAGCCATTACTAAATCATATAATCTTATCTGCTAAATATATATATATATATACTTGCACTTTGAAGAAAATAATTCCAAAAGTTAATAATTTTTTTAAATTTTGAAAGACATTTATACGGTTGAAAATTTCATATCCCCAAGGAACAATAAATTTGATAAATTTTCAGACAAATGGTTTCCTTTATTCTCAATGTTTAACTTCTGACTTAATCTTTAATCAAAGGGGAATAACTTTACTGGATTATATTCTCTCTATGCTATCAGTTGATCTAACATTTTTGTTGAACCCAATGAACTTTGATCATGTATTTGTACATTTATTGCTTTACTTTATATGCTTGTACTCAATTATGGGAACAAATAAGAAGATTTTTAAAAAGAGATTTAGTTAACCCAGGCAGAGGATGCAGAATATTTATGATACACTACAGGCAACTAGAATTCAAAATCATAACAACAAATACAGAAGTAAATGGGATTTAGAAGTAAACGAATGTATATCTGATAATGATTGGAGATATGTCCATAAAATACCTTTCGGGGCGCTTGTTAATGTAAAACATCAATGGTTTCAATACAGTATTATTCACAGGTGTATATCAACTAACGAACTACTATCAAACATGAAATTGATTGAAACCAGTGCTTGTACTTTCTATAAAACAAGTGTCGAAACCATAATACACATATTCTATGAATGGGATATTGTCAAAGAGATTTGGAATAATGTTATTATGTGGGTTCAGCATAAAACAGGCGCTCTCCTTCCCTTAGATAAGAAAAAGGTATTATTTGGATACCCTGAGAAAAGAAATGATGTGCTCTATCGCATCATTATTATCACAAAATATAATATTTTCAAATCAAGACTAGCAAATAGACATCCAAATATTTCACATATTAAAAAAGATGTCGAAATTTCATAAAGATGTAGATAACTACAACTGAAAGATAAATTGTAATGTACCATCATTTCTACAATTTTGGTCTTCATGCCATATGCTTTTTAGTTGAGATGTTATCTATTAAAATAGTTTACTTCATACTCTCTCTACATTTGGACGATCAATATAAAAATTCCAGGAAGTGTCTGGAAATAGTGGACTCTTTCACTGTACATTGACTTTGTTCGAAAGAAAATGAAATATAAAATATATATATATTTTTAAAATGTGTGATCGGCAATAAAGCCTCATTTGCGCGAACATCGGCAGAGACAATGAATTTGTTGAGACAAACAGTTTAGACCAGCCAATGACTTTCTCGATGAGAAACTGAAATTAGATGAAAAGATGCATTCCAGACCAAAGACCACAAAGATATTTCCACTGGCAGATTTACAACACATTCCAACACAATTCCATGCCACCAAAAATTTTATCATGCTCCTTTACCGAGTATGGTATGAATTGGAAATCCAAGTCATCACTGTGGTCATAGAATTTCACTATTGAATTCATTCCTCTTCACAATCGACCACGAGGGCTTGTAACGTCACCAAAAACTAGCATGAAGGCAAATATAATAAATATTATAAATATATAAAAGGTTTAAAGGTGATACTACCTCGTCACTGACTATATGCTAACCTTGATGCTAGCTCTTGTCGTTACAAGCCCATGTGTAATCCTGTCAGTGACCGCTTTGTAGTTTACTATTTTCTGATTGGCTGCGAGTAATGTGGGCGAAGTTGAACTTGACATTGAACTTATTAACACTTGTGGCTTGCTTGTGGTTATTTGCTTAAAACGACGCCTTTCATTTCGTAATGTTGCAGTTTGTTGTTGGTGTTGTTTTGTTAAAGGTTAATTAAAGTGTAGTTGTCTTTCCTATTTGTAGGAATTGACCTCAATATGTTTTGCGTTTACGGAGGTATAATATCCTACGTTTATGTCATTTTAATACACCACAATGTAACTTTAATATACCTTCAAGAAACATTTTATACAAACGTCAAATGTCACTACATGTGTATCGTAAATAAACCAGTAAGTAATTCATGTATTCTGACCATGTCCATTCACATTTACTAGGAACTCACCCGACTGTCGAGGAAGGCATTGTGAACAGGGCGGCATGTTTGAGATACGCTGATAACTGCTGTGAGAAGAAGTCGTACATTCAGATCAAGAATTGCACAGAATACTTTGTGTACTTTTTGTCAAAGGCTTCCACATGTCCAGGTCGTTACTGTTTTGGTAGGTACATCGTATTTTTCAATCAAGTAACCGACGCGTGACGATCCGGGCTAGAATTGATCTTCAGCAACCCATGCTTGTCGTAAGAGGCGACTAACGGGATCGGGTAGTCAGGCTCGCAGACTTGACATATGTCATCGTATCCCAATTGCGTAGATCTATGATCATGCTGTTGATCACTGGATTATCTGGTCCACATTCAATTATTTACAGACTGCTGCCATATAGCTGGAGTACTGCTGAGTGCATGTAAAACTACTCACTCACTAACCCAATAAACGTTCCCTGAGAGGGTACATCAGCCCCATTTCATTCAAAGTATTTTTCATTCTGTGAATTTTAATAGTAGCATGTTTGTTCTTGTCATGTATGGCCAGTTTTCTCAACAATTGCCAACACCTGAAGGTATGATGTAAATCCAGCCAGGGTGCATGTAGGTAGCAAAAGTACGTTAAGTCCCCATGGACCCTTGTGTGGTGATCTACTTTCAGTTGCTGGCGATTCTTAGACCGTTTTTATATTGTATTGCTCTCTTTAATAATGTCTTTTTATGATTACCTGCTAGCTGTACCTTATCTGTGATACTCTAGTATTATACTGTTCATCGTCGACATGTGTTTTTTTAATTTCTATATTTTTATCTTTAGTATTGTAAATGGTTACTTTCGTGACGATATGACTGAAGTATTGCCGATAAATATCAACTTACTCACTCACTCCAATAAACGTTCATACTTGTCTTGAAACCTGAACGCTAACATTCGAGAATTCCTTCCTGACAAATGATTTCAGTGACGATGCCTTTACACATGTTGTATTGTGACAGACAAAAATAGCTTCGGGTGAGTTGGGTTTTACGCCGCTTTTAGCAATATTCCAGCAATATCACGACGGGGACACCAGAAATGTGCATCACTCATTGTACCCATGTGGGGAATAGAGTCCGGGGTAACAGCTTCGAGCTCATGGTACCGATATCAAATATCGAAAACTCGCAACGAAGCATTTCAATTTACTTTAATTCTTCAAATGTTATTTGACGAATTCAAATTTTCAGATTCGGATGTTCCATGTCCAACTCCTCCCATGACAGCATCTTCCATGACAACATCTTCAATAACAACATCTTCCATGACATCCACAACTGTCAACTCTACCGCTGCTGTATCATTGTTTTTACACAGTCGCGTGCTAACGTGTGTCCTGTCTGTGCAGGCACTTCTCATTTTCTGATGAACAAACGAAAAACTGTTCAAACCTGGCATCTGGTACTATTACACTGTGTTGGAACAATGAACAGTATCAGACTGTGATGATTATTTAACTTACTAATAGTGATCCATTCTATGGTGCATTTGCACATCGATACGTAACATAATTTTACCACGACTTCAGTAAATATTGGATTGTGATTGGCTAAAGTCATTCAGAGGTATATACTCACGTTACATCTCTGATTTTCCAAGATAGTGTGTTTATCTCCTAATTACACATAAATCATCATAGTACATAAACAAACGACGAATAGCCCTGACATACACACTTCGTTAGTTAAATAAACTATTGTGTCATCATATCTTAAGCTTATTAGACATCCATTTTAAGTCGTGGCCATGTTCTGATTATTGAGCGTTTATTCCTCTAATTACACCATATTTTACATGTTTATGTAAAACTCTATTAGTTATCTCTATTTATATACAATCAACAATCTTGTTAGTTTTATGATATCATGTAAATGTCAAATTATTAAATGGATTAAACGTATCTGTAATAATGTTGCAAATGTATTCAATTCTATTTATTGTATATCTGTATTATCTATATGTTTAAAACTATTCAAACAATGGCAATACAATACTGTTGAATACTGATATTTTTGTTAGATTAGACTGTTTGTCTACAATCAGAAAATTTATCCTAATCCTAAATTGTGTATGGGGACGATGTTTTGCCATGATGTCATTGAGCGCTGATACGGGAGATGGGTGTAATGCGTTTCTGGTGAATAAAATTGATTTGATAACTCTAAATCAAATTCTAATAAGTATTCTATTTCTTTATATTCCTAACCTATAATAAATACGGTACACTGGTCACACATTGCATGAATGGGAAGCTTCACCGGTAGGCGAGGTCGGTATGTTGACATTGTTAGGCCGGTATGTTGACATTGTTAGGCCGGTATGTTGACATTGTTATGGCCGATCAGTCGCTTAGTCTATCTGCTACACACTAGCTATGAATGAACCTGCTTCGACATATTTTTCCAATGAAACATTTTCCTCGTCTTTAAAATGTTCAGTTAAAATATGGTATCTCTTCGAATGAAGGGTGAAGATCGTAAACATGAAATACGTTGCTTGCCTCTACATGTCTTATCTATTTCTTCTCTTTCCAAACAGCTTGTCTAACTTCCATGGTGTACAACATGTACACCGTACGGCATGGATTCGATCCAGCTAGAAGTACATTTTGCCTACATTACCCGGTGAATATAATGTTGACACAACCCGTCTCTATTGTGGTATGATGTACTTTCAACACACACCCTGTATTCATCAGGCGGCTTAGTTAAATAAACTATTGTGTCATCATATCTTAAGCTTATTAGACATCCATTTTAAGTCGTGGCCATGTTCTGATTATTGAGCGTTTATTCCTCTAATTACACCATATTTTACATGTTTATGTAAAATTCTCTATTAGTTATCTCTATTTATATACAATCAACAATTTTGTTAGTTTTATGATATCATGTAAATGTCAAATTATGAAATGGATTAAACGTATCTGTTATAATGTTGCAAATGTATTCAATTCTATTTATTGTATATCTGTATTATCTATATTTTTAAATCTATTCAAATAATGGCAATGCAATACTGTTGAATATTGATATGTTAGTTAGATCAGACTGTTTGTCTACAATCACAAAACTAAATATCCTAATAAATTTGATAACTCTAAATCAAATTCTAATTAATATTCTATTTCTTTATATAGGAATTAGGATATAGAATATTAATCGATTCAATCTTAGGAATTTCGTTTGAAACTGACCTCGGTAACCTGAGGTTTCAAATGATAAAATGTACAAGAGTCATTTCTGAATAACTCTCTAATTGAATTCTTATATATAGTCTGTTTGCAGTGAAAACGTATCGATGAATTTCAAACACAGTGAAATTAAGATTGCGAATCCTCATAACTCTACCTTGCCAATAGAACATTAAAATCTCAAAATTTTATTCAACTTAGGATAAAAGTTGTTTAACAAACGATCATAGTTTCAAATCGCTATTATTGGTTTGTATTACATTAAATGAAACCCCGAGAACAAGAAGGGTTAGTTTCTACAGCAGTCTAAGTTAACGCTTATCACGCGCCGCACATGCATTTGTTTCACTGTTCCAACTACTGCGCGTACCCCCCTTGTAATGTTCTACCCCGGATCTTCACGGATAGTACTCTGTTAACTAATTTGGGAAGCAAAGAAGTTGCCGTCAAAGTCATGTTGTGGCTACATGGTGCCAAGACTTCAGTAAATTGTTCATGCTTGATGTATTTTGCTTGGTGAAGTGCTACTAGAATTGCTAATAGTTCTGCTGAGTTGCTGTGGGTGTAATTTGTGTAGCGTTGCTTGGTGGTAATTGTGGTGGTGTGACATTATAAGTTGTTCGCTCACGATCGCGAGGGGTCATGGGTTGATGTCGGCCTACCCTCTATGTTTCTTTATGTTCCCCGAACCAGAAAAGAACATCAACAAACATCAACCCTGAGCTCTCCCTACATCCTTGTCACAAATCGTGATATAGCTAATGAAATCAATGATGGTTTGTAAAATAACTTTTCTATTTTGGAGAAAGACAATATGGCAAAATTCTGCCGAGTTGGTGTGTTTTTCCTATTAACTTTCGCGTTGGTTTGAGTCATTTACGATTATTTGTTTTGAGTTAGAGTGCAATTCATTGGGGAGACTTTGACTCAAACGGACTATGACATAGAAAATGTTACTCCCTTGTAAGCGGGGTACATTGAAAATAATAGAAGAGCGCTCAGCCAATCAGAAAATGACATTTATGTGTGAGGCAAGAACAATTGTCCCCGTGATGTTGTCAGTGTTTGTTGAAGCATATGCATATGGGTGTGGTTTGGCTATTGTTGCTCTACGTTGTTGAGGGAGCATTTATCTGCAGGGGTTAGTTTTGGGTGGTGTAAGCTTTGTAAGTGGGTTAAGTAGGGTGCATGGTTTGGGTTAAAATTACCTGAGCGTTATTGTTTTTTCAGTGTCTCGTATTTGTTTGAAAATTCTTTATATATAGGGTTATGTTGCGCCAGTAGTAATAGGTTATCTGTTGTCTTCTGAAAGGGAGGGATGGTGTGCCAGAGGGGAGAAGTAAAGCATTGAATGGGAGCCACGTCTTGATCCCAAGGTATTTATTAACGGATTTATACTGTAGTGAAGTTAATTTAGCATAGTTAGTTGAAGTGAAGCGCAACAGTGAAGCGGCATGGGTCTGGTTACACTGGTGTTTTGAAGATATTAAGGAGGATTTGTTTGTCAGCTCCTCCGTCTGACCCATTAGTAGCTCTCATTCAACTGAAAGTTTCGGACCTGTGAAAATCCGGGTCATTATTATTGATCTTTAGTAACCCATGCTTGTCGTAAGAGGCGACTAACGGGATCGGGTTGTCAGACTCGCTGACTTGGTTGACACATATCATCGTATCCCAACTGCGTAGATCGATGCTCATGATGTTCATCACTGGATTGTCTGGTCTAGACTCGATTATTTACAAACCGCCACCATACAGCTGGAATATTGCTGGGCGCGGCCTAAAACTATACTCACCCTCTAACTTGTCCCGCCCTCGTTGTTTGTTGGGTGGGGTCGTTGGAGCATTATGGTGAAGTGTTGAAATAGGTGTTTGCTTGAATGAGCTGTAAGGGAACGTCCTGGCAACCAGAGGTCAGGGTTATTTGATAGGCCGGTGTTTGTGTTACTGTGTGTCCTTCAGTTTAGCAGTAGGCGGCCCTTGTACACTCGTCAACCTCATGTTTTTTGTGAGCTACATATGGTTCACATGGACGGATGGGTGAAGGCCTTTGTGACATATAGGGCATTGTGTTTTTCCTGAGTGCGTGTACCTTGTATCCAGGTTCACCGTGGGGATTCAGGGTTGGGGAGAGGGGTGGAAGGGGGTTGTTTGCAGTTTGGATGTATTGGTTAATGTCGTCTGTGTGTCGATGTAAATTATAAAAAACATACTCTCAACCCACCCCCCATCCCCAGCTATCCATGAAGCTCCGGGTTAGAATTGGTCTTCAGCAACTAACCAATGCTTGTCACTTGTCACTGGATTGTCTGGTCCAGAGTGCGGCGTGAAACAACAACCAACATCGATACGTAAACATTATACAATAATGATTATTGTACATTAACAAACGACGAATCACCTATTCTCACGAAATATGCACCATTTCTAATTGTATGTGTCCCCGTATAAAAAAGATACCTTTTGACTGATTTAACCTGTTCATTTCATGTTTAAGATAGGCGACAGGCTTGGTAGGTACCCGAGACATAGAAAGTGTTATGGTATGTTATTTTATGTGTGACTTAGGGTAAAACGTTAGTCAAAATCACCAAAATGTGCATATCACCAATGATAGTATAACATTTTGAGTAAATATTTCAAAGTAAATATTCATCTTGTGTGAACAAAACAGATTATATTTTTTACTTAAGGTATTGCCCCGTTCATCCATACCCAGAACACATCTTTATATGGTTTAGCCTTTTTAGATTTTTTGTTCAATATGGTGTCTCCGTTAAAGTGTAATCCATGTTACCTCATGGAAATGACCATATAATTATTTTTAGAATTATGTGTAATTATGAGATAGTATGCCTTATTTACAGTTTTATATTGGGATAATACAATATCAATCTCATAGCCACTGAATTTCAGCCGATTTCCCACCATGATACTTTACATGTTTCAAGTTGTAGAGATGTTTTAAGGATGTAATCTACGTGACCACCATAAGATAAAAACTGTACACCCAGTGTCACCATAAGGGTTTTAAAAGGAATGGACCTATTCAGTAGTAATAACTAAGTGAAGGAGATGCTGTTCTATTAAACTTTAAACGTTTGGTGGGTGCTAAGGGACGTTTGTGTAATCTACGTGATGTAATCTACGTGACCTCATTTCCAAAGGAGCATATTTCTTTTCGCGACTACTACTCAGGTAGGACAGTTTTATGGGTCTAAAGTTATGGCATGAACTCTTCTTAACATTAAATGTTCATTTACTTTTAATTGGCTTATCATTGTAGGTAACGCGAGGTAACGTAGGTAACAGGTAACATGATTACAGTTTGGATGAATATTCGCTGTGCTTCTGTACAGTCTGTACTTTAAATATTGAATGAAACGAAGAAACTGTTAATCACTTTTGCATCTTTTAATGTCACAGTAATAGTATAGAAATGTTTCACCAGTAATTTTTCTAAATTTCTATTTTCATGTGGCAGTGATACGGTAAAGTAGATTACAAGATTGTAAGTTGTACAATGGTCAAGTTTTGTTGTATATAAAATATAATACAGAAAACAACTTATGCGATATATATTTCCAGTAACACCTAGTTAAACAAAACGTATGTATAGTAAGTTTGATGATCAATTTATGCAAATTCGTTTTCGCTCATTTCAGTAACGTAGATTACAATGACAGTAACGTTTATTACAAAGTTGTGATCTACAGCGGCATTGTAAACATGATAATTCTGTGTGACACTTACCACAACTAGTTCTAAGCAAAGCCTTGGTATCTGTCGTCAAAAGGACCATGTGTCACAATTTGCATCAAGTTAATCTTGGGATTTCTGTTTTGCAGTTGGTGTTATACTGATGGTGTCACGTAGATTATAAATTGAAATTTTGGTACCCAATCATGATTGATGATCTTCGTTCTTTCCTTGACAATTGACTTTTGATAGTTTGATTTTTCTGAACAATAAATGATGTTCTAACAATAAAATGACTTATCATCAAAAACAAAGAACTTTAGTTTTTTTACCAGTTCCAGTCAGTTATCAGTTGGTGCACATTTCGTGAGAATAAGTGGAATAGTCCTTACATATACACGTACACGTAGGCAGTGGAATGAATAGAAGGAAGAACTAGGTCATCTTATCTCAAAATTGTTAGACATCCATATCACGTCGTGGACATGTTTAGATTATTGAACGTTTATGCAGTAATTGTCCGATATTTTACATTTCCTTGCTTTCTTGTTGTTTAACGCCGCACTCAGCAATATGCCAGCTGTATAGAAGCTGTCTGTGAATAATCGAATCTGGATCAGACAATCCTGTGATCAACATCAATCGTGAACACACAATACATAAGTCTACCCAATTAGGATACGGTAACATGTGTCAACCAGGTCAGCGGGCCTAACCACCCGATCCTGTTAGTCGCCTCTTACGACAAGCATGGGTTACTGAACACCAATTCGAACCCGGATCTTCATAGGAATTCAGATCTTCACGGAAACTCGGATCTTCACGGGAACTCGTGTTGGAACAAGCATGCGTTCTAAACGTAAATTCTAAACCTCCCTAATGAAATCATGAAATTGTTGGGACACGCATTTTATGAAAATTCCATTTTCTCATATAATTCCTCGTACTTCATACACCAATCTGTCGACAGTCATCACAGGAATAATGTCCTATTGGTAGCATGCCCACTGCCATCAGTAAATCGTCAGTTAATGTTGGACATTAGTTCCTGGCTTTGTAACACCCTCACTAACTACTTTGAGACCATGCACAGTGAAGAGCCGGGTCCAAATTAAATAAAGAACTTTCTAACTGATCGGGCAGACACAGTTTTCGGTCTCCGTATTACTTTATTACGTATTTCACAGTTACAACATCTCAAAGGTGAATGTTTTGCACATTTGAAATGTCAGCTTTAACATTTGTCATGAAAACTGGAACTTTCATTTTGTGCATTCTGCATGAGATCTAATACGTACATATGGCTAAAATGAGTGACAGTGTACATCTGTTAACAGGCAAATGAAAATGTAAACATGAGCAATGGGTGAGCGTGATCTGTGAGGAAAGCCCCAAGTGATGTAGACGTTTCTCTGTTTGGTGAAACCCGTGTGTGCGGATAAGGTTGCGCGCAAGCATAGAAACATGATCTGAGCAGACCGGGATTCGAACACCCGATCGCAAGTTTCTGGCGTCTCCGATGACTGGACTACCCATGCCCTCAACCATGAACAAATCCCTGACTAAAGCTGAATATGTGGTAAAAGGTAGAGGCTGAAACACGCTCCAGCTTACCTTTATAGTCAGCCATTTCAACGTATGTTGGCATCACCGCTACATTGTCAATATTGCTGCTTGTAGGTTAAACGAAGAAAGTACGGTTTTCCGTTTATGTTTTTCCATAATTTAGCCACAATCGTTTTGGCGTTGACTGCAGTTCTGATACGTGCTCAGGCTCTGGTTCAGCTTTAGCTCCTGGTGCTGCTCCTACACACACAGCGTATGATCCCATCTGGTTATCACCTTTAAAACTGCTTCTGGCCATTACATCAAAATGCAGTGCTATGTGCCTTTATGTAATATATTCACGTAGTTGACATCTGCCTGGAAACGGAAGGTCTTTTCTTCATAGTTCTGTTTATGAAAGAGTGATCTAAATGTTCGTAGCCCTTGCTCCTTCATGGCCATGACACTTGTATAACAGTTAATGTATTCAGATCTATTTGGATGTGTTGGAAACAGGTGCCACTCGACAGAAAACTGTCTGACTTTGGAGAAAAGACCAGATTCCGCAATGTCTTTCACTGCCGGCCACTCGCTTGTTTCTATGTCAATCTTTAGTACATCCAGGTGTCTCTGGAAAGAAGAAACAAGTTTCAGATTACAAGTATTATTTCCACAATCCACCCTCCCAGCGATCCACACGAGAATAAAAACATTTAATAATATGAGGAAAACATGCTCTGTATTTTCATTACTAATATGTTTCTTACACTTTATCAAAAATAGGGGATATTTGATTTTGAGGGGATATCTTTACAGGGTCGCTGATTTGGTTGACACATGTCATCGCATCCCAGCTGCGTAGATCGATGCTCATGATGTTGATCACTAGATTGTCTGGTCGAGACTCGATTATTTACAAACCGCCGCCATACAGCTGGAATATTGCTGGGCGCGACGTAAAACGAAACTCACTTTTTCTCACTCCTAAGTTGTCCCGCCCGCCGTTGGAGCATGATGATGAAGTGTTTACATGTATACGCAAACACACCAGTCCAATGTATCAGACTCAAATCTACATATTCCAGCGAGGCAGTATTTACGTCACGTTGTACTATCGTTAATCTCAGTTATCTCCCCTTGACTTTTATCAGTATTATTTCAGTCAGTTTTGTAATTTACATGTACGTACATTTGTATGTCCAAGCATCTCCATGATAGTCTTGAGGCGTCTGATCTTCCATGTTGTTTTCGTTTTGACGTATCTGTCCTTAGGTGGGACATATGTATCGCTGTCTTTGTACGACAGCGCCAGGTCATGGAAGTGGACATTCTGGCTTCTGTCGAAGGACTTTAGTCCGATGCTAAACGAATGGTTTATCATTGAAATGAAAGACATTCTTACCCAAATAAACCACCTTACTGAATACGTGGCATTTAAAGAAGTTTCAGTAGGTAAACAGGATGACTTAGATATCAAGCATGTTTGCACAGGGGTGTTTTAGGTTTGAGATTTGGCTTTACCAACCATTAACATACGTGTTAACAAAATGTGTTATGTCCTGATACTTAAGTTCTACATTAACGTCTCTTTCATATCAACTGTCCTTTTCCCTGTTTACACAAATATTTTGATGGGATTGACTTCATTTCTTCTATTTAATCATTGCGTTTCGTTTACTATTGTAACTATGGTAATACATGGACATGGGTGTAGCAAGGTGTCACGGGCTATTCTAATTCATTATTCTTACCTTGGATCAAAAGAATGAACTTCACAGCCAAGAGCTCCCATTGCGTCATCAAACGACCAGTCTTTCCAGATCCTACAAATAATTACAATACCTGCTAATTACCATAATGCAACATATTTGAACTTCGAAGTCGTGCCTATGAAAAGCTGCATGCTTCTAATTAAACATTTTTAGGTATTAACAAAATTTACGTATAGTTTGTTGGGTTCTTGGAGATGTTTTTTTTTAGTTGTCTTCTTTTTTGTGTTTTTTTGTTTTAAGTTTGTTTTGTGTTTGTTTGATTTTGTTTTTGTTTTTGTTCTGTTTTTTTGTGTGTGTTTTTTGGGGGTGTTGTCGGTTTTTGGGGGTTCTTTGGCTTTGGGGGTGAGGGTTGGGGATTGGGGGTAAGTGTTTGTTGTTTTGTTTTGTTGTTGTTGATTTGGTTGTCGGTGTTGTTTTATTGTGGGGGGGGGGGGGGATGAGGAGGAAGGTTGATCATTAATTCACATAAAGCCAGAAATGTAAATATGAACAGATGCGTAGAGATGGCCATACGTCTCATAGAATGTACAAAAGCTACATTCGTCTAACACGTACTCTAGTTCAGGTTTAGACAGTTGTGTCAATATCAGTTTCTACTGACCCAAAGGAATAGACCAGACACGGTGGTTTGACCTCAAAGTTGTTGTCATTACAAATGCGCCAGCTGCCTCTCATCTCCATCTTGCCACACGTGTACTCCGGGGGTTTCTCCCAGTCCCTGTAGAAAGCAGATACAGTACCTGTCAATGACTCCACACTCATCTGTTTCACATAATACTGTAGGTAAGAAGTATTACTCTAACAGTGCTATATGATTTATTGTTATTACATTTAGTCTTTAAAGTTTCACATTTGAAAAAGGAGATCAAAGGCAACTCATTTAAATTCGAGTGAACGTGAGGGTGAATTCATAGTTCGCGCTTTACATCATATATATGAACTGCAAGAAACATACAAACCGTCTTGGAGTCAAAATTACGCATTCACAATGTATGCTACAGGTCTTTTTCATCCCATACATTTTGCATCACCGAAACGTTCGAACTGATTAGCCAATGGGGATATCTTTTAACTTGGAGAATACATATTTAATCGCATCAATGACGTTGTTTACATGCCAACAACTAGTCCACATAAGATAAAGATGTCAGAACATTTAAGAATTTACCACTTCAAGAGAGACGAGGCTTGCCACCATTCTGTAATCCGTAAAGGATCCTTGGCACTTTGCGTCTGTACCGACACTGGAAATAGATATGTTGATAAATATATTTATTTTTACTGATCTGTTAATCCTCCTCAAGCAACAGTTTTCGTAAAGAAAAGCACACACTCAAATTCATGCAGTAATATCTGACATCTGTGTGGCATGTTGCATGTGTAATCGCAGCAAACTCGGACAATTATTTTAATACACGTGCCACAATGTTGAGGTATGCACTCATGATAACAACAATGAATCTTATCCTTTAACCATTCGTAATACTGGTGTTCATCGGGGAAGTTGCTTTCTTTCCTTATACTTTGATTGGCATTCAAGAAGTTGAATACAATTTAATGGATATGCAATTTCTTTTATTCTGTACACAGGCGACCTTTCCACAGATTCATAGACTTGCTTGACAATGACATTAGAAGTACATAGATGTTAAGGAAGCTGTAACATTGTGATTATCAAACTTCTAAACCAGCGTATCAAACAATTGGGCATAGTATACTATTCACACTTGGCTAAGGATCAAATCATGGATTCAACAGAAAACTATGATGTGGGGTCAAATTGGATTTTTAATATCTAAGCTTATTGTAAGGATGGATCCTAGGTTTCAGTTTGTCATTTCATCTTATACCTGCTATTGACAGGTGTTGTGTACTTGTCAATGACTCGTGCCATGATTTGCAAAATGGTTGATTGGTGCCATGAAAACCATTTTTATGGTTACTCATGTATCAAGTGCATAAGGTTAGATTAAAGTGGTTGTTTGCCTGAAGAGGGGTTACCATATTATTATTTATCCAATTTCAAATTATGAATCTACGCTTAAGCAAAGTTGGGATTTTTTGTGATCCTTAGCAAAGTGTGAGTAGTATATGTTAATCAGCTGACTATTATATCTGAGTGTTGTCATACTTTATACAAAGAAAAATCGAGATTACCGGATCGAATGAATGCCTATTGAATGCAAACACTATCAAAGACATGCACCTTCCAGGTGAAACAGATCGTATTTACATTTGGCCAGTAACTACGATCACTCTACAGGTAACACGACTTTTAATAGTGAACCGTTCTTGTTTGAAACAGATTTAAAGACATTCCAGCTAGTATGAGGTACAGTCATGACAACGTGTGGGTACATGTGTACACTCACGACAAACGAAAGCGTGAATCATTAGTAATAAGCAATGTCTTATACAATGTCTAAATGTGTGTGTGCGTTTGTGTGCGCGCGTGTGTGTATCCTCTTTCTGTCTGTCTGTGTGTATCTCTCTCGGACTGTGTGTGCACGCGTGCGTGCGTGTGTGTGTTCATCTAGTATGTCGAGTCGGTTTGTCCAGACATTTGTACCTTTCCCAGATTCATCTTTAGTGTCCACATTATCTTGACCGTCGCCCAGTTGATTATGAAGTCCTTCAACCCGTCGTTCAAGTTGCATTTCCCTCTCTTCCATTCCCTTCCGCATTGTCTTAAAAGCTGTCTTCAGACTTTTCACTGATTCCAAAAGTTCGGTTAGTGTGTTCTTTGGTACCTGCAGGTACCTGTTGTTTGCAGTGTCTCCCATTCCCAGGTTCTGCGTTTTCTCTCTTTCTACTGAAAGTAAAAGTTTTATACCTGAAAGTATACTTTTATATTTATTAACTCGACCGTACTTGATTCATCAGTAAACAAAAGAAAAGTCTTCAAAATTCATTCCGAACTTATATACCTTCCAGCTAGAAATACTGTTAAACACATTGCATCGTATGTAGCCTATTGCAATTCTACAACAGGTAATAGTCTTCTATAAACATTGTAATTTACATAGATGTTACGGTAAAATACTGTTTCTCCTGCATCACTTTCAACTGTGAAATTATAACGCGTGACCCTAATGGAATTATGATATTACATTCGTGAATCTTCAGTTACGAAATCTGTGCACAGACTTGAACTGGTTTCAAAAATCCAAACACAGGTAACTTGTTCATATGCGCTCGTCGGTTTCACTAAACTGCTGAGGATCCAAAGCTTACATTGTCACCTGCAACAAACAAGTCTCCAACATCGAAACTTTACAACTCGTTAACTATCTAATTTTATCTTGACACATATTTAAAGACAGCCCAACTCATTGTATTAGGGACAATAATCATTTAGGTCAATGATCCGGTATATGGAAAGTAATAAGTGAGAATATCATCCCTAAAGACGACACAAGGCTGCGCGGTGATATTTAGTTACACATGACATTAAAGTATGTGAACATTGGTGTCGATGTCATATTAAACTGATCAACGTTTTTTTGCACCACAGGCACATGAGACGAATTTGCATACTGGTGAAACACGTGTAAGACAAGCCATGGGGAGAAGGGATTAGAATCTATGATTAGCGTTTTATGGCATGTTTATCGCTGCACATCTTCAAAGACCGTTTAACCTTGACTTGAACGGTAAGCCAAACTTAAGTCAGTACAGACATGAGACTTTGCAGCAACTCAGGAAAACCATAGCAACATGTATTTGTCATAAAATAAAACTTTATTTTTTATCATCGGAAGATATAATCAATATTGTGGTCAAAAACAGAGAACGGCTCTCGTTGCTTTATTTTACAATCAAGCTTGTATTGTTTTCTTGATGCAAGTGATACCCCAGAATACCTGTGGTATCAGACCGCACAAGTTGATGTTTGGTTTGTTGTTTAACGCCACACTCAGCAATATTCCAGCTATATGGCGGCGGTCTGTAAATAATCGAGTCTGGACCAGACAATCCAGTGATCAACAGCATCAGCAACTGGGATATAATAACATGAGTCAACCAAGTCAGCGAGCCTGACCACCCGATCCCGTTAGGATAGCAACAAGCATGGGTTGCTGAAGACCAATTCGAACCCGAATCTTCACGGGTTACGTCCATGTGTGTAGATCAAAGAGAGTAATCCCACATATTACATGTGTTATAAATAGCTACTAAGCATGCAGTAGATTCAGTTTGACATTCAGGGTAATCTGCGGAAAGCAGCTCTCTGATTGAAAGAGTTTAGTGTATTTACGGAGAATTCAGTTTGTGAAATATATGTCTGCCAAAACCTTGTGGCATGCCAAAAGAAAGCATAATCGGGTTAAAGTTTCATGATATGCCTTGAAGGTATTATTTATTATCAAAAGAACGTATGAATGAGGGATAATTGATGCATGATTGAATGCAAATGAATGAAATACTCATATCGTGTGTGAAATACATTGTTAAAAGTTGAACTTATGTGAACAATATCTTCACCATATATGAAGCCAACTAATTTATCCATCATATTCCATTTCAATTGTCCTAGGAACCATTTTAATGTCTACTTTGGATTCGAGGAAATTGAGGCAGAAATCATCATTTGAAAATTTGAACTCGCAGGCAAACTTATATGTCCATTTGTAATTGTATTGGTATGACAGATGTACCGGTAGCCTTATTTCATGAACATATATATACATATACACAGATATTCTTTCACGTCTAGGTTTTCTGTTTATATGTCGAATATGCAACGAATCCTCATCCTCTGCAGTAGTCTTGGTTTTTTTATCTAGAAATGTTTTCGGGAACTGCGGGATCCCCGTGCATTCAAACTCAGAGAGGATCTGAGTTCACGCAGAAACAACTCCGTGGCGAGCTGTCCCTGTATTATAGTATTGCAAAATTATGTAAATACATAAAGTTATGCATGTAAGTACCGAAAAAATATTTTCCAGCCTCCTTTTGTAAATGTAAAAAATATGTATATTTCAATGGATAACCATATTCTATCATGTATACAGTGTAAAATGATGACGAGGGGCATATAGCCCAAGTCTCTACTGAATAAACAATCGAATCGAATTATTTACACCCAAGACCTCCGGTCCAAACTTGAAAGAAAATAGAGACCCGTCTGGGCAGTTCAGACATTTAACAATATACAGATTTTTACACGCATGTCTGATTTAGTTTACTGGAGGCTCCGAATGCCAATCCGCCCTGTTAAGTCAAGCTGATCAAAACCCTGGTTCACACCCATAACCCCTACATGCCACTACCCCTACACTCCAGTACCCCTACAGCTAGTTAAAACAACACCTAGCATTTACCTGTCTGATATAATAGACTAATCCTAAAGAGGGATTAGTGCATGGAGCATAGATGAGATCAAGGGATGCATAAATGTGATTAGTCTTTTGTGGCAAGGAAATTAGTGGTCTCATGATGAAAACAAACCTCAACCCTGAGTAGAAGAAACATACAATTGGAAAAGTGTTGTGATTGCTAAATGTTGTTAAGAAAAGTTGTTATAGTGCACTTTAATGTTACATATATTACAATGTTGAGAAGTTGAGAGAAATAAAACGTGGAGATGATACAGGAAATTGAGATTGTTCCATACAGTATATAAGTGCTGACATGAAACAAACATGGCATCAACATGGCTGGTCTTCGCAATGTTGAGTTTGTTATGTCACGGAGAGGTAGCCGTCAAGTTCTGTTGGATGGATATCTTCACACTAAGAATGTTGAGCGACAGACCTGTGTACACTGGAAGTGTGTGCAGTCAACATGCAAAGGAAGAGTCACAACTGTTGGCGATGTGGTAAGAAATACGACTGAACACAATCACCCACCAGAGGATAGCCAGAAGGTCCGGTTTGTCAGCAACCTGAGGAAGAGAGCCAGGGAGGAGTCAATACCGATGCGCACCATCTACAACAACGAGCTTACCAACCTGACTGATGACGAGACACGTACCATGCCCTCCTTTCCATCTGTTAGCAGTGCCCTGTACCGCCACCGCCAGAAGACGATTCCTGTCTTACCACAGACGAGATCAGAAGTCGACCTCCAAGATCCCTGGACGCAGACAGCAGATGGTAGACCATTCCTCCTGTTTGCGGACGGCCATGACGACAAGATCTTGGCCTTCGGAACACAAGAGAGTCTTGAAGCCTTGCAGTCAGCTGACAACCTCTACATGGATGGAACTTTCACAGCCTGTCCTGCACTGTGGAATCAAGTATACATCATCCATGCAAGACGTGGCAGCTCAACATATCCCCTCATCTTCGCCCTTCTTCCGGACCGCCAGACAACAACCTACTCCAGACTCTTCCGATTGCTCAAGGATGAAGTTCAGCAGAGACTCAACAGACCGCTTGATCCTGCCTGCATCCAGACCGATTTTGAGCTAGCAGCAATCCACGCCATAGAAACAGAATTTCCCACTGCTGACGTGAAGGGCTGTTTCTTCCATTTCTGTCAAGCCATCTGGAGGAAGGTTCAGGATCTTGGACTAGCTGTTGCCTACAAGGAAAACCCCGAAGTCACCAAGTGGATCAGGAGAGCAGCTGGACTACCTCTACTTCCTCAAGCCGCGGTCCAAGACACTTGGATTGAAGCCATGGATGACACTCCTGACGTCCCAAGAGCTGGCGACTTCAACGACTACATCGTGACAACATGGGTCGACGACACTGCCAGATTTTTCTTCACCTGTGGAACCACAACTTGACAGCTGGGCCGAGGACAAACAACAACCTGGAAGGATTCCACAACCGTCTGAATCGAGAAATTCCACACAGGCACCCGAACATCTACAGATTTGTAGAAGTCATCAGGAGAGTCGAACACGCCGAGAGAGTGAGGATTGCTCAGATTGACTTTGGTGCTGCGCCAACAAACAGAAAACGAGTGTACAGAGAGATCGACAACCGTCTGTGCAGACTCAAGGAACAGCTTCAGCGTGGACAGAAATCCCCTCTTCAGTTTCTTGACGCCGTCGGCTACCTGCTCAAGCTTGGATAGACTGTAACACTGACACTTGAACACTTGTGATAATGTAATAATGTGGTCTTTCTCTCATCCTGATATGTTGATATGAAACACTTGTGATAATGTGATCTTTGTTCATCCTTATATGATGATATGAAAACACTGAATGTAAATAGACTGAAAAACTTGACAATTATTGATCTCAATGTGTGATGTATTAAGGTCACACTTTTGATAATGTAATAATTTGGTTTTTCTCTTATCCTGATGTGATATGAGATGAGATGATTAAAACACTGAATGTAAATAGACTGAAAAACTTGACAATTGATCTCAATGATGTGGTACTTTGTGATAACACATGTATTAAAGTCACTTTTAAAATCTGTCTTGTGTCATGTTGTGCATCTTAAGTGGACCAGTCCACTGTATGGAATAGGTAACAGGCAGGAGATTAGTTATGCAACAGACCATAAACTATGTTGTTATAAGCTGTAGGGGTGGCAGTGGCATGTAGGGGTAATGGGAGGTTACCACCCAGTGTCGATGACGTTTCAGATTAGTACTTTACCACCTTGGTGAAACCTGCGAGCATGTTTAAATGTGGTCAGGGCGAACCGGATAACAGGTTTGAGACACACCCTCTTAATGTAGGCCGATAGCTAACATTACGAGCCTTCGATAAAATCTGAAGCGCGTATATATTTTATATGAACCAGGCACGATCACATTTTAGAACCTGACAATTCTATTCATATGAAGATCTCTCCCATTATGTGAAGCAGGCCGTGCTAACAAGCGCGACATGGAGGCAAGAGTCTCACAGTAATAGGTATATGTGGCGGGTAGTAAAAGGATACATTCCTTACCTTCATTTGAAATCATATGACTGATTTCCTTGTTCAGTGCAGTCCGATCCCTTGTAGAAAACAGAAATAAAGACGCAATCAATGCGGCACCTAAAAGAGTTATGGCAACTGCCTTCGTTCGGAGAGCCATGACTGAGTGGATCTTCTGACATCGACTCAATGATTTCTACCTGCCATCCAACACGAACCTCCTGTTTGAGCATGCGTCGACTCAGCCATGGCCCTTTTATATTATCCTTCACCTGACACGAGGTTGGGGGGATGGGGGTGGTAGGATGGGGCGTTCCCGTTTTGCAGGACGCTTTAAGTTCGGGATATAAAATCGCAATAACAATAGGGGAATAACTTATAGTCTGTTTCGATCTAACAAACGGTCCAAGTTTCGGTGTAGGTACTAACACCGTTATCAAGCAAGTGATACAACAATTTGAAGCAAGGAGAATATATATGTCAGGGTAGAGACTGCGATTATATGAAATAACCTATGCAAGCAAGTGCAAGCTTATGCAAGCAAGTATAATAAGTGGGGATAATGTTTTCCTATTATTTGCCAGTTATAATTGAACTTATTTATTGTTATCTTGTTAACTTTATTTGTTAAGTCTGTTTTGGAGTAAGGTATTTTGTTTTGGTTTTTTGAGTGGAGTCCAAATTTGGCAGCTTGGTCTCATGATGTAAATACAGTGTTACAAACCATTTATATTTTTTATTTTGATATTGTTTACAGTGAGGTGTTAAATGTTTGTTATCAAAGTCTCAGTCTCAGGGACATGGCAGATGGGGTAATGACCAGGTTGGGAATTGCCCTACACCTATCCTCCCAAAATGCCGACATGCCAAGACACCTAAAACTACTAAGTTCAATGTTTGCCAGTTAACTGCTCAGTGCTGATTAAATACCTGACCTGCCTTACTTGGACCTGTTGTTATTAAACAATAACAGTTGATCTCTTGATGAAAGAAGTTGACTCCCAAAAAGATGTCCATGACTCCCTCTCATGATACCAGGGAGTCATGATGACTCCTAAATTTTTATGCCTAGGGCAAACACTGATTATGCAATTGATCTTGCTTGTAATCAGTTTTGTAATATATGTATATATCGTAATATGATCTCTCAAGTCACATTTGTATTTTTAGTCCTTAATATATCTGTAGAAGAGGAAACAGTCTAGTGTTATATCTGAATAAAATGCATAGTACTGTTCAGAAAAAGTGTCTTTGCTGTTTACCCACAGATCACTCGGAGTTTCTACCAGTTGAAGACGATTGCAGCCTCTACTAGTAGGATCGGAGTTTCTACCAGTTGAATTGGAAAATGTACTGGTAGAATCTCCGATTCAACCAGTAGAGACTACGATTACAATCTCTACTAGTAGGATCGGAGATTCTACCAGTAGAGACTCCGATCGCAGTCTCTACTGGTAGAGACTCCGATCGCAATCTCTACTGGTAGAATCTCTGATTCTACCAGATCGCAGTCTCTACCCTGACATATACATAGCTGCATAGTGAGTATATACAATTAACAAGGTTGATGTACATTGGATATTTGATAAGTGATTACAGCAGAGGAGGTTGATGTACAGAGTGATTGATAGGCAAACACATATTGACATATCACAGTGACGGACAATTTCATTTTTAAAATATTCTAACTTTGGTCTGGAACCATTTCTGCTACATCTACAGATATACCGTTTGACTACTCAAATGATTTCATGAATAGGATTATTGTTCTTTCCTTTCATTCCCAATATAACGGTTTTATTTGTAAATATCCAGTTGTAACTGTACTGAGTTCAACCATGATTCTATTTCTTTCCATAATTTAAAGACAGATTCACATTCCCATAACATATGGTTGATAGGTTCAGAATCTGTTTCACCATATTGGTGAAGGTGTTTATCCAAGTTTATAAAGTAATTGTCTCGGTTGGGAGGATATTGTGAATATTTCTATGTTGCAACCATTTCAAGTCTATGCTTCGTGAACATTTATTTGCAATAATGTTTTAAAAATGTCCAGTCATTTTCAGTAAGATCACTCTGTAAATCCCTTTCCCATTTTGAAAAGCCTGGCAAGCGTACAAATTTTGATTTCAAGAGGGAGGCATATATTTTCTACTCCTAATTATGGTATTAATTTTTGAGACATTAAAAGGATAAATTGGATCGCATAATTTCTTTTCAAATTGCTTTATGATCAGTGTTTGAGCATATGTTAGTGTGGCTCTTTTTACTGATTCATACGGTAAAAAAATAGTTTTATTCAAAAGGTATTGGAAAATTCTTCATATGTAAACAGTCTGCCTTCTTCATGTAGCGAATCATTCTCAAAAACAACACCTTTTTATACCTCTCAGGATACAGAAATGTATGACTATCAATTGTAATATTGTCGTTATTCTATAAGGACTGGCATTGTATCTCTTTTTTCACAATTTCTCTTTTACGCGTGGATATAAAGTTCGACCATTCTAAAGGTACGTCTTTCGAAATAGAGTTTGTTGAAGAGGGAATTGTTAGTAACTATACGTTAGTAAAAATGAGTCCTGATTTTACTGACTGACTGAGTTTAGTTTTACGCCGCTTTTAGCAATATTCCAGCAATATCACGGCGGGGGACACCAGAAATGGGCTTAACACATTGTGCCCATGTGAGGAATCGAACCCGGGTCTTCGGCGTGACGAGCCAACGCTTTAACCACTAGGCTACCCCACCGTCCCTGATTTTAAATTTACTGGTGAAAGAGAAACGTCCATTTGAGGTCGTGGCCGCCCATTCTTTTTATTTATTTTGGTTTTTGTGAAGAGAGAGAGAGAGAGACAGAGAGAGAGAGAGAGAGAGAGAGAGAGAGAGAGAGAGAGAGAGAGAGAGAGAGAGAGAGAGAGAGAGAGAGAGAGAGAGAGAGAGAGAGAGAGAGAGAGAGAGAGAGAGAGAGAGAGAAATTATTTTATTATTGTGTCACGCAGATGTTTACATATTATATAAATTCTTCTGTATCACATATGAAACATCTGCCCGGCCTTTACAGGCCTACGAGACACATAAAATCAATAAAACAATGCATAGATAAAATATATCCCTATACACACATAGCAACACTTAGAGATAAGATGGATGGTGTAATATCATATGTTTTAATAATTTTCTTCTTTTAAACATAAGTAACACTGAAGCAGCTAATGAATATACTAGGTTATCACATTCCATAATAAAAATAGTCTGGTCGACAGGAGTCATCAAGCTAAACAGAGGAAGATATCATTTTTCTAATACGGTATTTGGAGTTTTTATACCCCCATGCTCCGGATTTAACATCATTACATTTCTTAAACAATAGGTGATTAACTTATAGTCTCAGTCGGTATCCTCCCAGAAACTTCCACAGCTTATAACAACATTTCTGGTTGACTGCACACACTTTTGCATACTTGCATACTTTTGCACTTTTGCAAAACTGGCTACTATTAAAAATGTCACTACCATCATTGTGCCACTACCATAACAATTAATGCCAATGTCCATACCATAGCATTATCAATTTCCTTATTTAATTAAAATTGATCTATGAGTTTATGCCTGGATTCGGTAGTGCAAGTATGTAAAACTTCAAGTAAGCATAATACAATTCATATTCTCATTTTGCATTTTTTGCTACATATTACTTTATATTTGCAAATCAGAATTGAAAGGAATTATATTGTAAAACTACATATTTTAATATACATGCACGATAAATGTACATTAAGCTTGCATAATTTATGTTTTGTATATTCAGAATACTCTCAACGTAATTAACAACATGTCAAGGTAAAAAAAGAAAGCAAAATTTACAATTTTTGAATTCATGAAATGTGCACGAAATTTATATAATATATATTTCAGATTTATTAACTAATTACTAAGATTTACTTTACCTTAATTATGGCACTCGTTTTTGCCAAATCGTTCACTGCCGCCTCAGGCTCGTATGTAGCGACCTAAACGCCGATAAGTATACTGACTGACTGAGTTTAGTTTTACGCCGCTTTTAGCAATATTCCAGCAATATCACGGCGGGAGACACCAGAAACCGATAAGTATAACAGACATTTAATAGACAGCCCTTGTTGTTCTTGTGGACATCAGAGTGAAAACGCCCTACACTATTTCCTCACTTGTGGTAACTATACTAAGATAAGATTTAATATGTATGTTTACACTACCAGATATAACCTGGATGAAATTTTGAATGGAAACAAAGAATTTACTCTTTGTGTAAACCAGAAAATAGTTGAATCCGTCCACGATTATATCATCAAGAAACAACGCTTCAAATTTTCGCAGGAAAATAATTAAATTTACTCAACAACTTTCTCATGATTGATTACTACAGTGGCTCGTTAGACACACACAACTGTAACTCTCTAACTTATGACTACTTAGAGAATAGTTGTATTTGATGTAATTATATAATCTCTATATTTTTATATTTATTCAACAATATTATATGTATGCAATGGTCAATATCGATGACGTCACATTTTCCATATCATGTTGTATTATGTTGTACGGGAGCGGTGTTAACATAAGCAGTAATGCTTGTTCACCAATCCCAATTCACTTTCATGATTAAAAATATGTTTAAACCACTTTCTTCTCTATTAAAATCTCTGTTCTGCTAAGTCAGGTGAAGTATCATTATCTGTTGTTTAGTTCAGTGCACTTCCTGGGCTATCCCATTACCTAAAAAGGGGTGATGAGGAGTTGTTGTTGAGGTTTTGGAATGTGGACGTTTTGGGATATAACCGTCTCAGTTCAAAACTGGATTGTGCAACAGAGTGTGATTAAAACTCTTAATTGGAATTTCTAAAGAGGTTAAAGATCAGTTATAGTCTGTATCAGACGTGTATCACTGGGCCGCACGGCTCCACTTGACTGACCACCATGTACAAGACATTCAGCCTTGTCTTCAAACAGTGTTGAAACGATGCAGAGAGGAAGTGACTCTCCTCGCAGGTAACACATATCACATATATAGTCGCTATATATAGTCACAGGCTGTAGCTAATTCAGCCGGTCCCTCTAGCCCAGTGGTACACATCTTGATACAGACTATAACTAATCCCCCCTTAGAAATACCAATTAAGAGCATAGTCACACCCTTTTTGCACAATCCAGTTGTGAGTTTGCTGAGACCAAACCATAAATACCTCTTAACGATGTAGTTAATACAAACATCCTGGGGCTGTAGGGCATCCGTGCAGTTGGGGGGTACAAAAACAACATCGATATGGTTCCTCTTCAGTTGTGCGAGGAAGGTTTTATTTTGGTGACACTTGAACATGTCAAGGATGACAAGGGACTTTTGACGCTTGGGTAGTCCGAGATCCTTCTTCACTTTGTTGACATAAGGGACTAGGATGTTGTGACAGTACGCATTCATTGTTTCATCTGTTGACCAGTGGTTTTCTGAGTGTGTGATATGCCAATCACTCGGGAACTACACACCTTGTGGATGACAACGCTCCGTCTTTCCATCATAAATCAGCTGCAGAGGTAAGAGATCGCCACTCATTGTTGATCCGACTACACCTGTGATCATTCGCTTGTCAGTGAGTCCCCCTATCGCTACACGTTTTGACCCTTTCTCTGCCATGGTCCATTGCCCACACGGTACGTACTTAAGTCCTGTTTGGTCAAAGTTAATGATAAGCTCATCAGGGATTTTCTTCTCTTTGATGTTTGTACCGATACGCCCGAGGAATTCTTCTTTAATGTCGGAGAAGTTTTCTGGTAGGGTGCGTGCACTTGTGGTTGCCTTTCGATAAGAAAATCCCATTCTGTTCAATAATGACAAAGCCCAGGCTTTAGTCAAGGTGATTGATCCGCCGTTGGTATCAAGAAGTCCTGGATTCACGCTGTTGATAATCCCAGTTGCTCCGGCTATGACGATTGTTGTGTTCACTACTGCACCGGCATCACGAAGAGCTCTGATGTAGGTCTGTATTTGTTCATCAAAGTCGTTTAGTAGCAATGGTCTACCTCGGTTTTCTTTGGGAAGCGTTGTTTCAATCTTCTTTAACTCATGACCACTGACCCTTGTCTTGCGAGCCTTGACTAAACGTCGTTTGTATCTGTCTCTAATTGAGCGAGCGGTAGATTCACTAATGGGCTTTTGCAGCTCTTTGGTGAACTTTCGACTGCAACTGGCAACACCATGTTCTAGAGCATAACGTGCAATCTTCGCTGATGTTTCGTCGTCATAAAAGTTGTAGGTGGATTCGCGTTTCCTTTTCTTGGGTGTGGACAGTGCAGTAAGAACCTCTTTGTTGGCTGCAGCCACGGTAGTTGCCGTCATTTTCATGGATTGGGCCTTGGTAGGGCTAGGAAGGAACGTTTCAGGTTCATCAACAGACTTCTTTAACCACGCTATTAGACTCATTTTGTCTCGTCAAAATGTAACGACATCGACTGAAACAAACTTTTATACGTGCGATGGCACGTTTGAGTCAAGCTACTCACATGTATAAACTATCGTAAACAAAAGAGTTCAACTTCTCAGCTTTCTAACAACAACATAGTTTCAACAGAGACCCATGCATACATGCTTATAATTAGTTGTTAAGAAAACAATATCGTCTGAGAAAAAATGGCGTCATGTTTGAACTCTGCCGACAGAGTTTTTCATGGGCCATTTATCACAACAAAGGATCAAACGTTTGTTTTCATTACTATTATTGCTGCCATGGACTGGTATCCCGGTTGTTATAACAGTCAGACAGCAGTTATCACTGGCTACTAGGAGTTTTGCCGATAGCTCAGTGAGTATTGGTCCGGTAAGTGATGTTTCTGGCCACTTTCTTCTAACCTCGAAATTAACATTGTTTAAAATATTTATATACTTTAGGTCCCCAAACCTCGAAATTTAAATCACCTCGAAAGCTCCGGGGGTCTCAAACCTCGAAATTTTAATACCTCGAAAATTTCGTCCTGTGAACTATCCTCCAATATATCTCGCGTCTATATAGACTGGCAGTAATATCATTCATATAACACACGGGTCACCTAACTCTATACAAGCTCGCAAGGCCGGGTGGGAGATTTGCAATGTCAGACGGTCAAGCGTGACAAGCATCAGGCTTTTAACAAATTGAGCTTGATTTTCAAACATATATAGCAAAGAAGCGTGTATTTAAGAAGTCGTCTTATCAGCTAGAAATTAGAGAGACGTTTTAAGGTATTCGTGACAACCGTGATGAACTATGGAAATCTATCAAAGCACTTAAATAGACATCTTCGTGTTGCAAAATCAGAGGGAATGAAAGGCACAATTATTTGGAACAGCTGTCAAAATTCAGGTCGAACCTCCTCTACTATTATATATAGATGAAATTAATCAGGCTAATCCGAGATTAGTTCACACTTAAGCATTTGTTGAGAACATGATCAACCTAATCCGGACATAACCCTTCTGGAAGCTACAGAGACAATCCTTTTATCTCAGATATAGTAATCTGCAGGCTGCGATATTTTACGAAATATTGAAAAGTGGAAAGTTCCCGATTCAATGGTGTAAGGTATATGCCTGTTTACAAGACCTCAAAATCGTCTCCCATTTCAAAAGTGGACTCAAGAAATCAATGTTATTTATATGAAAACTAGGCGGGATTCGGAAATCGATACTAGATGGTAGATAAAATGTTTGTACTGTTTGGCATGGTCCGAAAATACCTGAACTATCTAAATCAACAAGGGTAGTTTATGTTTTCAATATGGACTTCTCGAAAGCATTGGACTGTTAATCACTTTTTGTTGTATCACGGACTTCTCATAAAGGGAATACATGGAAAGATTCTACAGAGTTGAGAAACGTATATGCAAAAAGACAGTATTGAGTAGGATCAGCTGAAAGATTCACAGATATATTTCATTGCTGTGTTGGCAAACGTCAAGGGTACATGATCAACCCACTATTATTTACATGGTGCGTCAACGAATTGGTTTAAGATGTCCACTTCAGACGGTAGAGGCATGTAATGTTTCAAGTTGACCCTCATGTTCTGTCACTGCTTTACGCGTCGCTAACTCCTCTTGTTCAGTAGATTTGGAAAACAAATACAGTTAAATACCTTTATAACGAACTCCAAGGACTTTGGAAAACAAATACATTGTCTCAGCAGCTTCAATTTTCGAGTGTCATTTACTGCTACAGATCTCCTCAAACCAGGAAATACTGTGGAGATGTTATACATGTAATACGAAGTAGCATGTGATTACTGTCTCTATACGAATTTCATTCGCTCATGACCTCCGTTTAAATGTCATAATAGGATTGTTAAAATTGGAATTTCGCTGAACATTTCAAACACATGTATTCAGGGATTTCATACAACATGATGACCAAAGTGATATGAAATGATATGATTACTTTAGACAACAAGTTCGATGAAGTTTTGGGCAGTTCATCCCATGACTGAACAAGAAATGGATAACAAAACAAGTGACAGAAATATTATTTAATCTACATGAATCAACAATTGTCAATATAAAAAATATAAATATATGATAGTAAATGCATTTGTTAATGATAAAAGATCAAAGTACCACGTGATTGCAGTCTAGCATACAAACTGGATTAACTCGTTCGCTCATTCATTCATTCATTCATTCATTCATTCATTCATTCATTCATTCATTCATTCATTCATTCATTCATTCATTCATTCATTCACTCACAAACTTTGTGAGGATATATTTCAATAAATTATTAAAACATCACCTGAATATTGCACGCCGCCCCTATTAGCACTTAGCCAATTAGAGGAGGCCTGTGAGCAATCGGTGTCGTCACAAACAAACCGGTGATTGGTAGTATGCATAACGATCAACAGACACTTCCGGTAGGACTAGAACTCTGAGTATTATCCCTTTCATTCAGCTGCATGTCCACAGTCGTGTCTGATATGCGTAATGATGAATACGGTGGCGGGGAAGTATCATCCAGATTGTCTTTATTATAATTATTATTATTGATGTTGCCGCTATTAACGACTTCGTTGTATGTCGGAGGAGGGGCAGATAACTCTGTACCGTAACTGTTCGGAGACCCTTGCTCTGTGTGCTGATTTTGATGCAGGTTTTCAAGTGGATTTCTCCTCTCAGAGTTCTTCTTAGAACATCTCGTGGCAGTGGTGTAAAGAACAATAAAGAATACGACCACACCCACCATTATCAAAATACCGTGAATTAACGAGGTATCCGTGTCTGTTTCTGAAACGAGAGTATAAAGTATACACACACTATAGGCATCCAAACAATGGGCTGTCTGAATATTTATATCAAAAACATTTTACTTTGGAGCTTGGATTTAGCCATTTGTCAATACCTTATCTGAGCAGCTTACAGACATTCAGTTTTGGCATATTTAAATAAATCAAACTTTATGGTGAAACATTAAACTTTGAACACCCGGTTCTAGTCCTTAAATGAGATATTTGATGACTTCGGTGATATCATTGTATTGTGTTTGTTTACATATGATACAGTTGCCGTTGCAGGCATTTCTTGTCACAAATAAACAACAATCAATCACTCTTTCAGTCAAATGACTTGGTTCATTGTTGCCAATAATAAAAATCACTGAATGGTCTTATCCAGACCAGACACGTGAAGAGCAGGGGTAGATTGATCTTCAGTAACTTAAGAGGCGACTAATGGGATCGGGAAACTTGACTGACACGTGTCATCGTATCCCAATTGCGTAGATCGATGCTCATGATCTTTATCACTGGATTGTCTGGTCCAGACTCGATCATTTACAGACCGCCGCCATATAGCTGGAATGTTACTGAGTGCGGCGTAAAACATAATTCACTCACTCACTTATCCAGACCACTGTGACAACACAAGTGTTGACTACGGTGATAACATTCACTCACTCATTCATTAGCGCCATGATTACAAAATGCAAAGGGTTTGCACAGCCTTTGTTGAAAAAGGCTTGGACGAAAATAGTAACAAAGCAACAACGAAGTTACGCAACAACTCACCTTCATAGTGGTACTTCAGCCGGAAGCCCTTACTGGTTCCTGATCCATCAGTTGTAAACCTGATTGTGATGATGGGGCCGCTGCTTGTGAATGAAGGTGTATTGAAGCAGAAACTCCCAAGAGACGCCACGCCCCAGTTGGTCGTGCTTCCTGATAAAACATAACAATTACATGCATAAGACCCATACAACGGTTAAATGGCATCTGTTCATCGGTTCTCACAGTCCCTGAACCGCATTATTTTCCCTACTGCCAAGCCCTCTCTGCGGTGCTAAAGCCCTAAATAAAGCAAGTCTAGATTTCCTCAGGTTCAGGATCTCTGGTCTCCTTGGGGCTCCTTTTCAATTTAAATGGGCTTGTTTGTTACTATCAAAATTATATATATTCAGAGACTATTAGTCTAATCTGTTTGATGTTATGTGCACACAACACATGCAATATGTGTGGCTACAGAATATACTGGGGTTGTTTTGTGTATTGTACTACGACACAGTGTGTTATACATCAACAATAACAATAGTCTAATCTGAGCAGGACAACTATTGATTCCAAAAATGAGTAACGCCCAAGAACGAGGAGGTTCGATGACTTGAAATCAGTCGAGCCTCCCTACCTTTCTAATATTTCCTCCTTACTAAAAGCATAAGTGCTCCGGCTATTCAAGCCCGACCTTTTAACTCAGTGGGATTGTAATATAGTTGCTGCACGATATACACAGTTTTACACTGATAGTTTATAGCTTAACTGCGCAATTAGTCTATTGCCCAACACCATTACATTGTATCACGTAACAATGCATAAAAGTACAATTTCACCATTGTACAACACCATTACATTGTATCACGTAACAATGCATAAAGGTACAATTTCACCATTGTACACCAAGTAAGAAATTAATTGAAATGAATTGTAATTGGTTATACGACTTTTATACCAAAGCAACTTTATACATGCCAAAGCAACTTTATACATGCCAAAGCAACTTCAATCACCTTGGCTGAGTCAGACCAATGAACGACTAAAGGTATAGAAACATTCCATCAAGCATCTGCATTGAACCTACAGCAGTCTTCCACCAAGCACCTTCACTGAAAGCATTGCAACCTTCCAATAGGCATGTGGATTGAAACTACAGCAGCCTACCAATATGCGCCTGGATTCAACCTACAACAACCTACAATCAAGCACCTGGACTGAACGTATACAAGCTACCACGAAGCACCTCGACTGAATGTGTAACAACCTACCACCAACCCTGGACGTATAATGGACTGAATGTGTAACAAGCACCTGGACTGAACTGAACGCACCACCTGTACCACAAGCTACCACCAAGCAACTGAACGTGTATAGACTACCATCCAAGCACCTGGACTGAACGTGTACCAGGCACCTGGACTGAACGTGAACAACACCAAGCACACCTGGACTGGACTGAACAAGCACCTGGAACAACCTACCAACCTACATCAGCACCTGGACTGAACGTGTACAACCTACCACCAAGCACAAGAACTGAACGTGTACAGCCTACCATCAAGCACCTGGACTGAACGTGTAACAACTTGCCATCAAGCACCTGGACTGAACGTGTAACAACCTACAACCTACCACCAAGCACCAAGACTGAACGTGTAACAACCTACCATCAAGCACCTGGACTGAACGTGTAACAGCCTACCACCAAGCATCTGGACTGAACGTGGAAAAGAACTGAATAACAACCAAGCCCTACCATCAAGCACCTGGACTGAACGTGTACAGCCTACCACCAAGCACAAGAACTGAACGTGATACAACCTACCACCAAGCACCTGGACTGAACGTGTACAGCCTACCACCAAGCACCTGAACTGAACGTGTAACAACCTACCACCAAGCACCTGGACTGAACGTGTAACAACCTACCATCAAGCACCTGGACTGAACGTGTAACAACCTACCATCAAGCACCTGGACTGAACGTGTAACAACCTACCATCAAGCACCTGGACTGAACGTGTACAACCTACCATCAAGCACAAAACTAGACTACGCAACCTACCATCAAGTGGACTGACCTGAACTGAACGAACGTGTAACAACCTACCACCATGGATCAAGCACCTGGACTGAACGTGTAACAAGACCATCAAGCACCTGGACTGAACGAACGTGTAACAACCTACCATCAAGCACCTGGACTGAACGTGTAACAACCTACCATCAAGCACCTGGACTGAACGTGTACAGTAACCATCACCTACCATCAAGCACCTGGACTGAACGTGTACAACCTACCATCAAGCACCTGAACTGAACGTCTATTAACCTACCATCAAGCACCTCGACGTAGTCTCCTTCACAGCCGTCCTGCCGGTCGATGTCAGTGCTCAGGACCGTCACCTTTATCTTGCTGAACTCGGGCCCGACAATTTCCCATTTACTTTGTAAGTTGCTGCCAAGGAAGAACGAAAGTTTATTCTCATATGCAGTCTCTCGTACTTTCTCATATATGTTCTATTCACACGGTATATTACATGTAATGACGAAATGGGTAACATGCAGGTATTAACGCGCTTGTCCCATGTTTTGTGTGGGTTGTCCATCTTTGAGAACCCTAAAACCAAAGGATGAAGAACAGCTCCGAACATTAAGCAAGGTTTCGAGCCCTGGGATTTGTTCAAGAAATAGTAAGTTACCGTAAATTCCTGTAGAAAAATACTTTGTCCTCAAGTTTTACAAATGCAGGAATTCACTGGACATACAGCATGTAATGAAAAATGGTGGTGTTTTGAGTAAATATATTTTGTACCTGTATGTGTTCGTTTATTATTCCACCCGTGAAGGTCCGGGTTAGAATATTGATCTTCAGCAACCCATGATTGTCGTAAGAGGCGACTATCGGGATCGGGTGGTCAGGCTCGCTGGCTTGGTTGACACATGTCATCGGTTCCCAATTACGCGGATCGATGCTCATGCTGTTGATCACTGGATTGTCTGGTCTAGACTCGATTATTTACAGGCCGCCGCCATATAGCTGGAATATTGCTGAGTGCGGCGTCAAACTAAACTCACTCACTCCTATATTATTCAACATCAGTGCAGCAAAATGGTAAAAACGTTTTGGTGAAAGAAATGCATTAACCGAAATCAGCACAACGTTTTTAGAAAATGTTTTGTCAGCTTTGTCAAGATTTTCACAATAAAAGAGTGGTTGCATGACGAAGTCATCTCTGTAATGAGCAGGGTGCCGTTCCACTAACCGATCTTATCTAAGATCAATCTTAGCAAGTTACGCCAATTTTACAATCGTCTTAGCTAAAAGTTACACCCGTTCCACTAACCGATCTTAGGCCGATCGTAGCCGGTCCCGATCTTACGATCCGATCCAAGCTTAGATCGAGACTCTTTCGTGCGAGAGATAGAGGAATGCGAGGCACGAGTTATTTCCCTTTGCATAGTCTAGCAAATGATGGAAGTAGTTTACGAACCAACTGAGTGAGTGAGTGAGTTTAGATTTACGCCGCACTCAGCAATAGTCAAGCTATATCGCGGCGGTCTGTAAATAATCTAGCTAATTAAGATGCATAGCGTTCACTAACATGAGCGTTCATGTTAGTGAACGCTATGTATCTTAGCTATAAATAATCGAGTCTGGACAAGACAATCCAGTGATCAACAGCATGAGGATCGATCTGCGCAGTTGGGAACCGATGACATGTGTCAACCAAGAAGTCAGCGAGCCTGACCACCCGATCCCGTTAGTGGCCTCTTACGACAAGCATGGGTTATTGAAGATCAATATTCTAATCCGGGCCTTCATGGGTATTTTTCCAACCAAGTGTAAACTTGGTGAAAATAACTAGAGCAAAATATTAGGGTAGTGAGCACCTTGGTTTCAGGTGCAAGTGTGTGTGAACGCTGCTGGGTATCAGGCATAATATAATAATAATAAATGCATATTTATAGTGCGCCTATTCCACATCCTGGGGCATGCTCAAAGCGCTATGTACAGATAATTTACACGAGAGTATTTACAGCCGAGATTATAAGTAATATACTGAGAACAGGTTTTATGTCTGGACTTAAAAGATGTCAATTGTGTCAGAGCTTTTATTATGTGCCTGAACCTTGTCAATCAGAATAAACAAGGCTTGACGAGGCATCCTCTATAACGTATCTAGAATCTGTCAGTGTGGTCTTGAATAACACGCGGCCTGCCTTTAGAATCCCCCACCAAATAAGCGCACGTGACATCAAACATATTTGTATCTTTTTGTTTCAGAACATTGTTCACTTCATGACCGTCCCTATTCTTAACAATGACGTTGCAATATTGTTGTACAATGCGTTACACTGACTCGCTCGGTTGTGTTCCCATGACGACAGTGGTCAGACTTGCCTGACATTTGTAAGGCTTCAGTGCAGTGTTTGTTTACATCACAGAAATATACAAATTCATTTCATGGGGGATTTTAGGGGACGCTCACGGTGAAATGCTCGCTCTTATTTTTCACAGAGAATAGGAAAGCCACCAGTTTGGTTTCTCTACGATTGATTTTAGCTATCCTAAGTTGGTCATGAGCAACTTAGACTTTGGATCTTAACTTTACGATTGACTTGGGTAAGATTGGTTAGTGGAACGGTATGCCGATCGTAACGTCACGCTAAGATTGGGACTTTAGGGGTTTACGATTGGCATAGGGCTAAGATCGGTTAGTGGAATGGCACCCAGGGATACATTACGTCCGTTCGTTATTGAGTATTTAGAGTGGGAGTGGTAATTACACTGATAAACATTTACCCCTCTTTTATCAAAACTGATTACGATCAATTTCTAAACAATTTCATTTTCTTAAATACTATTCAGCCTTTTTTGTTATTCCTATAACCAGTTAAGTTAAGTTTTAATATTAAAATCAACGCGAACTCATCAACATACTGTCACCAACTATGAAATGACAACTCCTCTCTTCCTCCCGGGACGTTGGGGTAGCCTAAAGCGTTCGCTCGTCACGCTGAAGACCCGAGATCTCTGTTCCCCACGTGGTATTGCTGGAATATTGCTAAAAGCGGCGTAAAACTAAACTCACTCACACTCCTCTCACTCCCAACCCCAGCCCTACCAAACCACGCACGCACCAGGGTGTCGCTTCAGGGTGTTATGGGAAAGTGCAGGGTATTTTTATACTTACTTCGGGTACCCCAGTGGGTAACCCGGTGACGTCAGATATAGCTCTTCCTTGGTAGCTGTCAATGTTCGGTCAATGTCCCCGCTGACTCCTGAAACATTAAAATGATTAAACAATTTCTCGAGGATAATATTAGAATCACAATAACCGTTTAGCTTTTATTTTCGTTTGTCTTCTAAGGCAGAGATATTACTTTGTTCTCATGCACTTCCAACCTAACAGTAGCCTGAAGATAAATCAAGGCTATAAGTGGTCTTCAACCGTAATTAGTGAGTGAGTTGGGTTTTACGCCGCTTTTAGCAATATTCCAGCAATATCACGGCGAGGGACACCAGGAATGGGCTTCACACATTGTACCCACGTGGGGAATCGAACCCGGTCTTCGGCATAACGAGCAAACGCTTTAACCACTGGACCACTTCAACTGTGAAGTAGAACGTTATTGCGTTCATTGAAAAAAGAGGTAAAGTTCAGGTGTTTATCCCATTAGGTTCTATTTAGTGGTGGTCCGATTAATTGAAATAATCGAAGATTGGTCGCAGAGACCAAACGACCAAGCAATCGATCACATTTCCTCATAATCGAACACAAACGATTTTGGAACTACCGTTTTAGTCTTTGAAATTCTTGTGGATGGAACATATATTCGAAGTTGTCAGGGCCTGAAAATGTGTTTAATTCTTAGAAAACTCACTTCAATAACTGAAAAGTCATGACTTAATAATAGACTCTGAGTAGTTTATGTTCATGATATATTAGTCATCACTTTAAAGTAGCAAGTTGCATTATGTTATACTTATCTGCAATAACAACCTGAATAGAAAAATCTTTAAAATGACGATAACCATTTTTTTTTCGATGATTTCTCGTTGGTAATGAAGTAATCATCAATTGTGAGATTTCAACCAATTCCCAACACTAGTTCTATTGAAAGATTCCTGTTTGAATTGCAGTGGGTCAGCCGAGTGGTTCAAGCGTTCCCTCGTCACGCCGAAGTCCCGGGTTCGATTCCGCACATGAATACAATGTGTGTCCCCCGCCGTGATATCGCTGGAATATTGCTAAAAGCGGCGTAAAACCATACTCACCCAATCACTCTAAATTGCTGGTCTGGAAGGTTCAAAGCGCCGATCGAAAGCGCTGCTGCACTCAATGTGGGATAACGGTAACTGATTACCACAAATACACCTGACAAGGCATGTCAGCTTGACCCCGTGTTAAACGTGCGTGGGCGTGCATGGGGTAAAGCTTTCTTTCAGTCGAACTCCTGTCAATATGCATGCCTTTGTTGATAGTGTTTAAAACGAAATATTAAGAAAGCCGTTTTAATTCATCTTTGGCAAATCAAACACGAATGACATAATTTTTCAAAGAATCAGAGTTATTTTGAATTTTGCGCCACTAAACGAGACAATACAACCTGTTTACATTCACATTTCCATATGAGTATCGATTCAAACACCCACGTACCTTTGTAAACAAAGGAAATTGACAACACGCATCTAACATGTTAAAAATTAAAATCGACGAGCAGTATTACAAAATTAGAAATAAATAAAACTCGTACATATATTCAAAAACGTGTGTTATGCAAGCAGATGATTAAGGTGAGGAGATGCTATGACATATATGACATAAACATGAATAAAACAGTGCCAACAGTCACCTCGTTTATGTTTACGAAGATATTTATGTCCAAATGCCTACGAACAGATTATTTGTTTTATTAAGACCCGGGTTCGAATCCCTCATGGGTACAATGAGTGAAGCCCATTTCTGGTGTCCCCCGCCGTGATATTGCTGGAATATTGCTAAAAGCGGCGTAAAACTAAACTCAGTCAGTCAGTCACATAATCAATGGATGATCAGTTAGTGAGTAGGGATATCTGCCGCCTTTAAATTTGTTCGGGGTATGGAGGGACTAGAATCGGTTTTACACAGTCACGTACCCGAATCGAACCCGGGTGTTCAACGTAACGAGGCATATTTTGGCTGTGGTGAATTGAACTCGATGGAGCGAACGCTTTAACCACTAGGCTACCCCACCGACCAAAAACTATTGATAAAACGATATCATAATAACTTACCATTGTTGAAGCTAAACACAGATACCACCAATGTGAAGTAAAAACGTATCCAGAATACCATGCCCTTGTTCACAATGTATTGAAACCTTCAGACTAACACCGCTCACCAACCGCTAATGAAAACTATACCCCCCTTATGTCGCAAGCTTCGGCGAATGCTGTTTCGCAACTCTTTAGGTGCGGAGTGCGCATGACGTCATAAGTGTTGTTATACAAACGGCCGGGTTGTAAACACAGGAAACAGTGGTCATGTGAGATAGCATGATGACCTCACCACATGGCTGCTTGGTGTGCTTGCTGTGATGGTATTGTTTCCTGTGGGTATTATTAGTTACACGCTATTCGCTGGATAGTATGGGATGGCTGAATTCCCGAGAGGACAGGAGTTCAGTGTCAAAGGTCGCAAACTGTCAAGGTCGTCCATACTACACGTTTTGATGATGATGATGATGATGATGATGATGATGATGTGTGTGTGTGTGTGTGTGTGTGTGTGTGTGTGTGTGTGTTGGTGTGAGGGGGAGTGCACATGAATCATGAAGTCAGGGAGAAATGCGGCTCAGGGAAATGTTTACGAGGAAGAAGGGGAGGGGGTGCGCCCCTCAATATTTAGTATGATTTCACGCCGCTTTTCCCAGCAATATCACGGCGGGGGACACCACCAGAAATGGGCTTCAAACATTGTACCCATGAAAACGTTAAAGATGGGTGTATCAGCTTATACAGTGATTCCCTTTTATGTTAATATATTTATTCATAACCATCTATAAATGAATACATCTGCTGTGGTGGAATACGGAGGGCAACACCATAGCGTATCTATCGTTGGTTGTGAGACATTTTATTAAATTTATATTAATTACATTTTATTGTACCGTGTTCTTCATAATATAGATATAATAAGCATAAATGGCCGCTGTCATATGTTTCACATATACGCATTGAGGCTGATGAAATTAAATACTAGAACGAATAACAGACACAAGTGAGTCGCCCTGCACAGCCACGTCGGTGTGTGTGGAGGAGAATTTACATGCACCGTGTGACCCGCTGACGTCAATGCTATAACATCATACAAGTCTGTTTACATAGCCCAGATCTCGCGTCAGTTCTCAAGTAGTCTGTCTCACTGTCCCGGTACTACACTATTTTCCCTACTGCCTAGACTAACAACTAGTCTCTATGTAATGTTTCTGTATATGAACCCTAAACAAGACACTACACAAACGTTACCCGGTACCCTAAACGACGGACGAGTCCATATTCCGCAACCCAAACCGAAACCGTATGTAGTTGTTCCCGTTCAGCTGATTGCGAGTGGTGCACCGTGACATATTTTACTGTTAAAAGTTCATAGTCTTAAAAATATAATATAATGAAAAGGAGCCCTGATACAACTTCCGTTTTCTGATGAAAACTTATGAAATCTAGACTTGCTGTATTTTCTAGACTTGCGTGGGCTTTCTTGGATATATTTGCTTCAGGGTCTGTATGACAGACTACCTACTGCCTAGCCCTCCCTGCAATGCTAAAGCCCAAAATGAAGCAAGTCTAGATTTCCCCAGGTAAATGTCCCAACTCCGAGGGGCCCCTTTTCAATTTAAATGGGTTTATTATGTATCATGTACATGTATATTCAGGGACTAAGCATTAGCCTAGTTCCCTCTGTACACTGCCTGATGGAAATCACTACATGATCTGCTACAAGGACTGCAGTACTAGACTGAGGAGAAACTGAACGTACTAACCCTGGTAATGGCCAGCTAAATTGGGAGCCCAGGAAAGTAAGTGAGTGAGTTTAGTTTTAGGCCGCACTCAGCAATATTCCAGCTATATGGCGATGGTCTGTAAATAATCGAGTCTGGACCAGACAATCCAGTGATCAACAGCATGAGCATCGATCTACGCAATTGGGATACGATGACATGCGTTTACCAAGCCAGCGAGCCTGACCACCCGATCCCGTTAGTCGCCTCTTACGACAAGCATGGGTTACTGAAGGTTCACTCTAACCCGGACCTTCACGGGTTGTTCCAGAGAGGAGTGTCTGTGTCAAAGAATCGGGATTGTGATCGTCTTATAATCCCAGTTTGCCTGCATCCCAGTTTACCTACAAACATAGACTAATGCTTAGTCTCTGAATATATATAATTTTGATAGTAACAAACAAGCCCATTTAAATTGAAAAGGAGCCCCAGAAGGACCAGAGATTCAGAACCTGAGGAAATCTAGACTTGCTTCATTTAGGGCTTTAGCACTGCAGAGAGGGCGTGGCAGGGACTGTAAGACAGACTACTACAAACATTACTGTAGCAGAATGGGAAATGATTTTGGACCTATAAAATAGTGGAACAACCCATTTCCCAGTCACTGAAGGGTGTGTTGTTGGGTTTGGAGGGTAATAAATGCAGTTTCACTTAAACTAAACGACATGGTGATGTTGGTGATAATGAATGGCAAGTTAATGTTTCAAAGCTGTGGTTGGTCTGTGTGTTTACATGTATAGCATATTTTGAACCATTATAATCCAATAAAGATGTATAATGGGAAGACACCGTTTAGATCGCTTTTTGGATTCCCTGAGTAAAGGGAATGGCGCTAAACGTCGACACATTGCGGCAACAGCCAAGATGAATGGGCTTCACACGTCGTACATACAATGTGTGAAATAGTTTCCAATGTTTGCTAGCCAGTCGAGCTAGCTATGCTTGAAGGTTACCAGCCCACAAAATAATTCACTAGCCCGAAATTTGAATGTAGACACGGGTTTCATCATTAAGCTGCTAATATTATGAACATTTGGCAGAATATGGCCACCTTTCATAATACATGTTCGTATTATAGTCGGAATTGTACGAAATGTCTTACATTTCAGGATTTGTTGGAAGGGAAAACACGAACCTTAAATTTAGACATATCCTGTTTGTAATAATCTGAATGTGAAGTACATTTTAAGAAACCAGGTGTTATGTACAATTATTAAAAAGGATCCTTGATAACCTACATGTTGCTATCGTGTGCAATCAACGTGACACTGTCCAATCAAACGGAGAGAAATTATCACTCTTCCCTGTTAGGTTATACTTTCGGCACAGCACACTGCCGAGAAGTGACTATGTGGATTCTCTGGACATGTTCATGTGAGTATTAGCTACACTGGTGCAAATTACTGATCAGATCCAAAATATTTAATTCAAAGTGGGGAGGGTATCCGAAAACCTGCCTACATTTATACCGATCACTGATCCGCTCTAAACTTGACTACGACCCCATTGTCTATGGTGGAGCCTGTCAAAGCAACCTTAAACTTCTTGATTCTATCCACCATCAAGGTCTCAGACTTCGTCGTGGCAGTCTTAACGTTGAAGCAGATGAGCCTTCTCTTAAACACCGCTGCATTTAACTCTCTTAGTAATATATTTCAAAACTATATTGCAATAAATCCCATCCAGCATACAACTGTGTGTTTAATCTATGTAAAAAAATCTGCTCTTGTTCCACCAGTTGGAATACGAATTAAACCTTTTATTTCTGCCGCTTTTAATATCTAATTTCACAACATATATCTTCTTTCCGCCTATTTTCGTGTCCTCCGTGGTGAGACCACAGGTGGATCTTATATGGAAAACAACTTTTAAAATCTGAAACTAACCAACTAATCTACAAACAAGACTACAACCAATTAAGACGAACTTATGATATTCTCTTCACAGAAGTATCCAAGAATGGTGACGACGCAGCTTCCTATGTGATGTGTTGTGCTTGTCCTCCCTGCAAGCAGCTTCCTATGTGATGTGTTGTGCTTGTCCTCCCTGCAAGCAGCTTCCTATGTGATGTGTTGTGCTTGTCCTCCCTGCAAGCAGCTTCCTATGTGATGTGTTGTGCTTGTCCTTCCTGCAAGCAGCTTCCTATGTGATGTGTTGTGCTTGTCCTTCCTGCAAGCAGCTTCCTATGTGATGTGTTGTGCTTGTCCTTCCTGCAAGCAGCTTCCTATGTGATGTGTTGTGCTTGTCCTTCCTGCAAGCAGCTTCCTATGTGATGTGTTGTGCTTGTCCTTCCTGCAAGCAGCTTCCTATGTGATGTGTTGTGCTTGTCCTCCCTGCAAGCAGCTTCCTATGTGATGTGTTGTGCTTGTCCTGCCTGCAAGCAGCTTCCTATGTGATGTGTTGTGCTTGTCCTTCCTGCAAGCAGCTTCCTATGTGATGTGTTGTGCTTGTCCTTCCTGCAAGCAGCTTCCTATGTGATGTGTTGTGCTTGTCCTTCCTGCAAGCAGCTTCCTATGTGATGTGTTGTGCTTGTCCTTCCGCAGCTTCCTATGTGATGTGTTGTGCTTGTCCTCCCCTGCAAGCAGCTTCCTATGTGATGTGTTGTGCTTGTCCTCCCTGCAAGCAGCTTCCTATGTGATGTGTTGTGCTTGTCCTTCCTGCAAGCAGCTTCCTATGTGATGTGTTGTGCTTGTCCTTCCTGCAAGCAGCTTCCTATGTGATGTGTTGTGCTTGTCCTCCCTGCAAGCAGCTTCCTATGTGATGTGTTGTGCTTGTCCTGCCTGCAAGCAGCTTCCTATGTGATGTGTTGTGCTTGTCCTCCCTGCAAGCAGCTTCCTATGTGATGTGTTGTGCTTGTCCTGCCTGCAAGCAGCTTCCTATGTGATGTGTTGTGCTTGTCCTCCCTGCAAGCAGGCCATTAAATACATGTCAAATAAACATCCACTTTTATTCGAAATTCTCGAATTACAAAATTAGCTTAATTGCTACTTGCCAATACGACATTGTCTTCTGTTGGTTACCAAGCCATGTTGCAATTTCGGGTAACACAATGGCTGATTCTGCTGCTAAAGCAGCACTCGATACATCTGTGACGCCACTTCCGATACCTTACAGTGACTATAAAATTATGAGAAGTTGCATCCGAGTTCTAATGCAAAAGAAGTGGGACACCCAATTAGGTGTCAATAGATTACATAGTTTAAAATAGAAATGTACATCGGTTACACCTACTTGGATTGTCAGTCCAGATTTGAAGAGTTTGTTTTAAGACGATGACGTATGGGCCATTCTGGATATACCCATGAATACCTCTTGAAAGGTGAAGATCGTCCATTTTGTATCCTTTGTGAATCACGGTCAAGCATGTCTTCGGCGTGCTGGAATTTCATGGTTATGGGTTTAAATCGGGTTTTACACCGAAGAACTGTACGATACAACTGAAATATTGTTCAAAAACGATGTGAGGAAGGGGTGTTGCAGTAAGAGTTTCATTTTGGAGCACATCCACCATCCGCATCCCGCTAGACTCCGGTACTACCACGACGGATTGGCAAATGTTTGTTGGTTATAAATAAGAGTCAGTATATCTAACCAACCAGTTGACTGTCCCACCGCCTTTCACTGTTTGCATGAAGTGTTTGTTGCAACTCGATGTAATCAGCAATAGTCCAGCTATATCGCGATGACCTGTGTATGTTCGAGACTACTGCAGTCAAACCGGTGGTTGGTGGGAGTTCAATATCTCACATCGTCGGCCACATACAGAGACCCTGACCATTCCATACAGAAGTTAGTCAGACACTAGCAAAAGACACCAGGGTATCCCCGGTAATGGTCTTGTCTTCATGCCAGGTCAAGAAAATGTTTCCTTTTCAGGTATGGTCTCATGTCTGGCTCTGAACCAGGAAGGCCTCAATGACCTGGGTAAAAATCTTCAGATTCAATGGCTAATCAAGGACAACACTCAGACAGAGACAAGATCATTTGCCGAAATAACTCTTTCCAACAATGGCAATACAACAATCACTAAAGACGGTGACTGGCGAATTCATCTCGACACCATCTTCATGTTAGAACCGGACTATCTGCCCCGACCTGGGGGGTATGAACTTCCAGGTCAAGGAATCAGGATCCATCATCTTGTAGGGACACAGTTCACCATCGCAGCGACGGACAGTTTCTTTGATATGCATCCTGGCACAAGCAGGAAGGTAAGTGTTCCATATTTTGGATATTTCGCAATGTCTTTCAATATGGGGATGGCTTTGTATTCTGAGAGTGAACAAAGGAAATATAATTTAACGTCTACTTGCACAGAACGAGTTGTAATGTGTTTCTGCTGCATACTGAATATTTGTCATGTGTAACATGCTGACGGATAAGGTACACCTGTCATGCACCCTGCAAGGAAATGCCGAATGTATGTATGTTTGTCCTGTCCTATATTATCTTAGGTTATCTTATGTTATATATCAATGATATCATTGGCGGACCCAGGGTGTGTGTGTGTGTGTGTGTGTGTGTGTGTGTGTGTGTGTGTGTGTGTGTGTGTGTGTGTGTGTGTGTGTGTGTGTGTGTGTGTGTGTGTGTGTGTGAGTGTGAGGGGGGTTCCCTACCCTCCCCTCTCTCCTTTTTTTTTTTTTTTTTTTTGAAATGACTAAAGACCACTTTGAAGTCAATGTTTTGCATTGGCGGAGCCGATGGGGGACATTCATACAGGAAGTGCTTAGTACTCTGCCAGATTTACCAATGACAATCAAACTCGGTTGTAACTAGACACATATTGTTTTCTCATCAGTTATTTTATATAGAGACATTAAATTATGAGGAAGTGCCAGTATCTGATCATGCGATCTTTGCAATGTGCAGAACACTATACGTTCCTTAGGCTTCACCAGTGACTCACAATCGTTATCAAACTATAATGACAATTACAAGTTAAATGGATGAAAAACTTGTAGATAGTTTGTAGAAAAAGTGTAGATAGTGAGCGAGTATGATTTTACACTGCAACATCACTAGCACCATATGGGTGTATCAGGCATTGTTGGCATATCAAAATGGATCTCTTTGCAATTTACATATCATTCAGTCACAAAGAGGAATGGTAAATAGGTATACATCGAGGTCCATGAAACATCAGAAAACATAACATTAGCCTAGTTGACTATCCTAGCGCTGAAGTTTCCAACACCACTGTCGTATCTGATTCAAATGACGTGAAGTCATGATGAAGCCTGATGCAACCGGTTCCTTATCTGAGTAGCAGATTGCAACTCATTTCGTAATACCGTCACTCTGACTTATCTGTCCAGAGCTGCAGGTGTTGCCACTAAGCGTAAATAAATCTTTCAGTTGAAACGTCTCTATGAGCAATAAACAAGAGGTTGTTATCCACAATGTTGTATGCTTCATGATAGACATGGCTTGTGTAAGTCATAACATTGCATAGTTCGTGATGTAAATCCAGAAGTTCAACAGGACTCAGATGATGAACATGTGCCGGCACACCAAGAAGATCGTGATGTAAATCCCTTGATTGTCTGACCAGACGTTCAGCGGGTCTCAGACAAACCAAGAAAATTGTAAATCCCTTGATTGTCTGACCAGACGTTCAGCTTGTCTCAGATGATAAACATGTGCCGTAGTGTAAATAGGTTAGCTGATGTATATTTTTTCTATCTTTCCATAGATAAAGCTGCAAATCATCTTCTGGATGGCAGCTAAGACTGACGCGATGCCCAACTGGTTCATCGTTGCACCAGGACTTGTTCCCCAAGTTCTGGTGAGCACTGCTGGAGAGACCCTGGACTTTGTTCAGCCAATTACGCTGCCACAGCAAGTTAAGAGATACAACTATGATCGTTTTGCACCATTTTCTCTAGAGGAAAGGTACAATCGGTTTGCTGTGGATGATCTACCCGACAGTGGAGAGATCCGCATCATCCCCAAACCGATGGAGATGACATTGGACAAGCGCCACAGCTTCCAGATGGATGTGTCTAATGTTACTGTTGATGCACAAAGTGGGTTAGGAACAGAGGAACATATCTTGGGTATGAATTTATTTACTGCAGCCAATCATTTGTCGTGCAAAATAGTGTGTTTTGGAAAAAACATGTTTGGTAACCCTTTAAAAGGACAACATTTTGTGTCTTGAAGAAGTGGTCGATTTTATTTTTTCGAGTCCACCAACACCTATTACTGCATTAATCTTCTGATTTCAATCAATATTTTGCATTTTTTCAATCTATTTATCTGGTACCTGAGACACAGGAAAATACCATGTCTTGCTAATAGATTTGTGTCTTAAAGTGCTAAATTATCAAAATTGACTTGTGTTTACATTTCTGTAATGTTCCGCATTATGATAATTAAATCTGTATTTGCAGAGCAAGCATTAAGATCTATTCGTCGCATACCCGGTACAACAGCCACCACATCGATTAAATTACGGATAGGGAGCGTAAACTTAAAAAGTACAAGCCCCTACCACATGGACGACGCTTACAGCGTAGAGATCAACCCGACGACGTCTACCGTGACTATTATCGGATTTCAACCATCCGGAGTGCTGTATGGAATTCAGACATTATTACAGGTATACGATGCATCTGACTGGGTGGAGCCTACTTTGTAACAAGTAAATGTCAACGCCAGAAAACGATGAACCTCAATTTTCTAACGAAACTTATTCCATTGGTTGTAAAAGGCACAATTTAGTAGTAATCGCTGATCACAAAATATGTTTTCAGCTGATACGTGAGGCGAACGGCAAGCTCTTCACGACGCATATCAGCGATGCTCCTCGTTATGGATACCGTGGTCTTTTCCTGGATGCAGGACGGAATTTCTACCCGAAGGATGATGTCATTAGTCTGATTGACAAAATGGCGTCCTACAAGTTGAACAAGTTTCACTTCCATCTGACGGATGACGAGGGATGGAGACTAGAAATACCAGGACTTGAGGAGTTGACAGAGGTGATCTTAATCTTTCTCACCACACCTTCCTCCATCGTCACACAAATATTAAAAGTTCATTTTAAATGCCATCATCTCAACTGACATATCGGTTTGATAGAATTCTACTCAAGAAGATTTCCCTATACATATGACAATTACCTTTTATTTCAAGTTCGGCTCTCAGCGATGTTTCGACCCAAGCGGTACAAAATGCCTACCACCCCAACTGGGTTCAGGTCCAACAAACCAAACCTCGGGATCTGGGTTTTACTCTGTGTCAGATTACCGGGAAATTCTACGCTTTGCCACAGAACGACATATTGAGATAATCCCAGAGTTTGACCTCCCTGGACATGCGCGCGCCGCCGTTCAGTCGATGGAACTGAGGTATGACCGCCTGAAGATATCAGGCAATGAAACTGAGGCATTAAAGTATCGACTAGTTGAAGATGGAATCAAAGATTGGTCAAAGTACTTGGCGATTCAGATGTTTACTGATAATGCAGTGAATCCCTGCATTGAATCTACCTACAGCTTCATTAATCACGTGATGGAAGAATTAGCCAAAATGCATCAGGATATTCAGCCTTTGAAGATTTTCAATTTTGGAGGTGACGAGGTGGCAGAGGGCGCTTGGGACAATTCCACCGCCTGCAGACAGGTATCCAACTCCTCTGTTGTCAGTGTATCCAAAGTCAAGGAGTATTTCTTCAGAAAGGTGGTGGGACTCGGGTCAAGACGAAACCTGGACATTGCAGCCTGGGAAGATGGTTTGCTGCAAGAGGTGAGCGGCTTTGTAATGACTGTAAGTGTTCTATAGTTACTACGGTGACTGACCCAGTTTTCTCTGGCGTCTCAATCATTATGCAGAGTTGTAATACTTAGCCACCTCGTTCATACCCCAGACATTCAACCATTATGCTTGTGGGTGTCAACTTCACTTTACTGGCGTAATAGATGCATTAAGATGTAAATGTAATACAAAGCACTTAAAAAATCAACCTGCTCACTCATTCTTCTAGAAATGTGTGGCAATTATTTTAGCCGTATTCTCATATCGACCCAATTACTGAAGTAAGTTTCATTATTGTGTCCTTTTGAATACTTTCCAGGCTTGGTTAAATTCTTTGCTTTGTACTTCATATCAGTTGAATGGGTTTATTTAGGATATAAACGTACTGTGTTTACAAATTAGATGTATGTTAGACCGAACTGATAGTCTCTAAATTGCATTTGAAGCCGAACGCGTAGGAATTGTTATATTTTGATTTTTGGTAGGGCCAGGTTTTCGGGCATAACAACTTTATTTTATTTTATTTTCTGTTAGAACACTCCTGACCAGCCGGCTGGCTACAAAGCGTTCAGCTTAAACGGAAGTCGCGATGTGTACGCCTATGTCTACCAGAATATATGGGAATGGGGAAATGCAGGTCGGGCCTATAACCTGGCTAACTATGGTTATAAGGTAGGTAAACTAGATGGGTATAAAACGTGACACTGAAGAATTTTAACATAAATATTTCACTGTGTAACTGTTTGACTGTCTAACTATATAATTCATAGCCCTGAGTTACAATAAGTATTCCTTCACCCGGTATATTGTGCTTTTACTAGCCTATCGCTCTGATGAAATTTTTCCAGTTTCTTCTGTGTCACAAATCTATTTATGTGCCCGTTGGCCGTTTGAAAACTTTTGACAACAAATTCAAAAATGTTAAAAACAAATGTGTAGGTAATTTACACATGAATTAATGAAATAATGGTGTTTTTACCTGAGATAATTTTTCTCCTAGGTTTTACTTCTTGTGGTACTTCCTCAGAAAGTCTGCATATATTCAGAGCTTGTCACTTGCAGCTTGTCATTTGTTCAGGTGGTGATGTGTCCGGCAACTCTCCTCAACTTTGACTTCCCTTATGAACCTGATCCTAATGAACGCGGATACTACTGGGCGACAAGGTACATCGACACCAGGAAAACCTTCAGCTTCATGCCAGAAAACTTGTATGGAAACATAGACACTCAGCGTTCTGGAGAACCCATTAGTCGTGAGCAGACCTGTGGAAGCAACAGTGAGAAGTGTCCTGCTTTGCTCAAACCAGGCAATATTGTTGGTAAGACAAGTTTGCTATTTCAGTACATACGAAAATTATAAATGTCAAGTATACATGCACGCAGGTTCTTCCCAAGATATTTCTTATAACAGTTATCACCTCTTGACTTAAAGGAATGTTTTAAAGTTCTTTTTACCTGCACCAGTTTATGTTTTCATTTCTACTTAAGAAGTCAACCCAGAAATGCATGGTAATAAAACATGTTACACATTCCAATTACTTACACAGCCTTCATTTACTAAGTGAAGTCGAGTGTCAGATTTTAGAAGGAACGGATTGATGTCAACAGTTGTTGCTAACCAAAGATGGCAGACTTAAAGTTCAAAAGAACGGTTCCGAGAAGGCAGGCTGTGCTTATGTATATATGGGGTAAGCGCCTAGCAGGTGGCAGGGCCTCTCATCACTCTCTCAATGAAAGCTGTAATTTTCTAAGTCTATAGAGAACAGATCATGACCAAATTTGTTACACACACAGCATACGGTATCTGGAATGGATTCACTGAATTTGTGTGCTTTTGCATACTTTATATTTGTGGTTTTTGTGGATTATTTCCATGTAAATTGGACATTCTGGACATTATTGCCTGTAATCATACCCAAGCTACAGTTGACGGGCTATAGTTTTGACCTGAGCAACCCAAGCCAGACCATGGACACACTTGACAAGATTGTGTATACAAGGCAACAACTTGTTAACATTGGCCAAGCAAGCATATGCTTTGAAAAGCCAGCCTATCTAGAAACATCTTGGTGATTTTACATCTAAAGTGGGCTTATGCTTCGAAAAGAAGACAAGGAGAAGTGTTAAGGGAAAGACAAGACGGGGTTGTAGAGCCGGGCGGAGGAAGCAGCATCGGATGGCTGTACTCTGCACAGCTGGGCTTGGACCGTGTTCACAAAGTGGTCAAGGTGTTAACAGATCCAATCTTATAACGGTACGTCCAAAGGCAGTTTCGCATTATGTTCGTATTGTTGTATTTAACGCCCGATCAGCCAGGAACAAAACATACGAAATTTCAGACTTTATCTTGGATGAGAATCTTGACATGCTGTTTATAACTGAAACCTGGTTTCACCCAACTGGTGATGATGCCCTTGTGGCTGGTATGGCGCCAGATGAATTTGTTTGCAAACATGTTCCACGGGATGGTAGAGGTGTAGCAGTCGATTAACAAGAGTGGTATGTGTGTCAGTCTTCGGAAGTCACATATGCACGTTGTTTCCTGTGATTACATGCATAATCAACAAAAGCTTAACAACAGGCACATTTCCAGAATCTCTGAAGAATGCTATAATTAAACCTCTCATCAAAAACAAAACCATGGATAGTTCACTCTTAAAGAGCTATAGACCGGTCTCAAAGTTTAGTTTCTTGTCTAAAGGCATAGAGCGAGCAGTGTCTAAGACATTAATGGATCACATTTCATCCAACAATATCCTTGACCCATTTCAGTCTGCATACAGGCCATTCCACTCTACTGAGACCATTCTCCTTCGTTTAGTGAATGATCTCAGAATGATCCTGGACAGTGGCAATATGGCGGCAGTAGTCCTACTCGACCTAAGTGCCGCGTTTGACACGGTTGACCACAAGTGCCTGTTACACAAATTAGAACATGAAGTTGGTGTCAAAGGACTAGCACTCAGCTGGTTCTCCTCATATTTCGACCAGCGAACACAGGTTGTAAAACTTCAGAATCATACATCTAACAAAGTAGAGTTAACATGTGGCGTGCCCCAGGGCTCGGTCCTTGGTCCTATACTCTTCTTGCTATATGTAAACTCTCTTCCCGCGGTTATCGACTCTCATGACTGTGGGCACTATGCCTTTGCTGATGACAATCAGATTACCAGGATTCTTAATCTGCAATCTCCAGTCACTGATCTACAGATCATAGTCAGTTGCGTTTCCGATATAAAGACCAGGATGAACACAAGGAAACTCCAACTGAATGATGACAAAACGGAGTTGCTCGTCCTTGGAAATTCCAAATAGCTGCAGAAAACCTCCATCTGCAATGTGAAGATTTCAACATCTCACATTCAACCTTCCCCTGTCACTAAGGATCTTGGAGTATATCTTGATGCCAGTTTGTCTTTGGAATCGCAACTGTCACTATTATCTGCAACAGCATGTGCTCATTCTTTGGTTCGATCCATTATACTCTCTCGATTCGACTGTTGCAACAGTCTGCACTTTGGCATCAGTTCAACTCAACTTCAGAAACTTTAAAAAATTACAGAACTCAGCAGCTCGCATCGTCTGCCTCAAGTCCAAGAAAGATCATATCATACCTTCACTGATGTCTTTACACTGGTTGCCTGTCAAATTCCGGATTGACTTCAAAATTCTATGTATCACTTTCAAAGCTCTACATGGACAAACACCTGAATACCTCTCCAGTCTTCTGTGTCAGTACATCCCAACCCGACCATTACGATCCCAGAATCACCAGCTACTTGTCATTCCTAAAGTTCAACTCTCATCCAATGGGAAAAGATCATTCCAACACGCAGCCGCCAGTCTCTGGAACAACTTGCCCACTCACATCAAGAATGCTGAATCTTTGGACACATTTAAATCGTCTCTAAAAACCCACTGAGCCATGAGCGGGTATTAGTACCTGGATGTAGCGCTATATAAATACCCACATTATTATTATTATTATTATTATTATTATTAAACAAGAAGACGATTCAAGGAATTACTTTTTAATCCTTACCAACAGCGTATAGACCACATATTTGACATCGAATTCCTGCAAGCTTCCATCAGTATTTGGGATTCTCGAAAGAAAAGGGTGCAGAATATTTGACACGTCATATTCCTTTCCTTTTTTCAAACCTAAAATGTGTGCTTGAATATTATGCATTGATTATATATTAGTATTGTGCGGTCATTACGATTTCACGGTATATTTCTGTAGCTACAGATTGTGTTTATCTCAGTATTTCCATTTAGAAATTGAACAATGATCACAGGAATCCAAGGGCAACTTTGGTCCGACACATTACGTAGCACAGAAGATATGCACATGAGAGCCTTTCCTCGGATGTTGTCGTTGGCTGAGAGGGCGTGGCATAAAGCTGACTGGGAATCCATGGACAACTCTACCACACGCGATCAAATCCGAGACGGAGACTGGTCAAGTTTTGTGAAAGCTGTTGGGTTGCGAGAACTTCCTTGGTTGGAGTCAGAGGGCATCGGCTATCGTGTTGCGCCACCTGGTGCAAGGTATGGTAACAACCACTGAATTGAGGAGGCGACGTGAAATACAATAGATCCGTAGTGTGAGAGAGAGAGAGAGAGAGAGAGAGAGAGAGAGAGAGAGAGAGAGAGAGAGAGAGAGAGAGAGAAATTATTTTATTATTGTGTCACGCAGATGTTTACATATTATATAAATTCTTCTGTATCACATATGGAACATCTGCCCGTCCTTTACAGGCCTACGAGACACATAAAATCCATAAAACAATGCATAGATATTGGGGGGTAGGGGGTGAATGTGTGCCTAGTTGGGTAAATACAAGTACCATCTTCACAAGGTCTTTTGGTATGTCAAGACCAGGGGATCAAACCGCCTTAACCCCATGGTTGCAGATGGAATTTCGACTTCAAAGTGAAGGTTGAAGAGGTGGGGCACATATGTCCCCCTGCCATGCGGGACGTTAATCAAAGTCGGATTATCAATGGATTTTCTATGTCATATGACCTTAGACATTACCAATATAATACTTTAGTTAAGTAAGTTAGCCATTACCTCGATAGGTCATATCCATGTACATACTCAGAATGATATCAACAATATCATTTTCTCCTGATCTTGAACCTAATCTTGTGTGAGGGATGTCACATTAATGTTACGTTCAGCGTGAAGTCGTTATTGTTCACATGTGCAGAGTTGTTGGTGGAATGCTGGTGCCGATTACCGAGTTTCCAGGACTACAAGTACAGCATCAGGACGAGCATGGTAACTGGATTGATATCATCACCAACTCAAGCATTGACAGGCCTATACGAACAAGGTGAATATATCATAAAGCTGTACATGTGTACATTGGAATCACTAAAATATTCTTTCTGAATTTGCTGATGTCTGTCCTGAACAGTTCCTTTATGTGTTCCCAGAGAAGGTCTGTAATATGTATCTTCACAGCGTTAATTGATATCTGCCATTGCACAGCGCTTGCCTTATGGATTCCTCAACATTTCAGAACAGCTGACGGAAAACGTTACAGTCGAGATGTCAGATACGATGCGTGTAAGTTTGATCAATACCAACTGGACATTTTTAATTATAGAGAATATTATTGCATGTTACTGCAGCTGTCATTGTTGTAACATATCGTTGATGATTCTGACGGCTATTATTAAGATTATATTGAATTACTGATTAGTAATTAACATGTAAACTGAACCTTGCGGGCGATGGATTGTCCAAACCTCTCAAATTTCAGAGCTACAGAAAAGTAAATAACATAATGTAACTGCAAAGGTATTTAGGACGCATTTTCTCTGTTGATCACACAGCTCCGCCCTACATAGCACAACCAAGCCTTGACAGAATTGCCAGTAGTCTAGTTGTCAACTTTACTGTTGTTGACAATCTCAACGATGGATGTACCTCCTACAAGGCGCAGATAACCCTCACCAACAATGGAACCGTTCCCATAGAATCAGGGAACTGGGGAATCTACTTCAACAGCGAGACTGCCATTCGAAACATAGACTCTGGCATGACTGCTGAAGTGTTCAACGAAGGGTTCTTTGTTATCAAACCCCAGAAAAACTTTAAACCCCTGAAGCCAAATGAAAAACGAGATCTGAATTGTGAATTTGATCATTGGTCCGTCTCAAAGTACGACCAGATGCCTAACTGGTTTGTTGCTGCAGAAGGTTTGGAACCCAGGATATTACCAAATACTGTTGGTGAAAATCTTGACTTCGTGAGTACTTTTGATACTCCGAACAAATGGAAACGATGTTATTCAATTACATCTGGTTTGGTTGAAGTATATAAACCATTTTCGCCAGAGGAGAGATTTGACCATAATCCTAATCCTACCAGTAAAGCCTACTCTCCTAAGACCCTGATCCCAACGCCAGTGTCCTTGACATCTGTGAAGAAGGATGGCATGACTATTATTTACCTCGACAAATGCTGCTGGGCCATTACAACTGACGTTTTATTTACCAGAGAAGCTTCCTTCTTAAAAGGTAAGTATAAGGTGTAGTTTGACGTATGTCCAAGGCAATGTGTCATTATTGCTTATATTGTATGTGTATCTTCTGTGCAGGGTCGGCGGGGTAGTCTTATGCTAGTAGTTCAAGCGTCAGCTCGTACGCATGGGTACAATGTGTGAAGCCCATTTCTGGTGTCCCCCGCTGTGATATTGCTCTAATATTGCTAAAAGCGGCATAAAAACACTCACTCTCTTTCTTTCTTTGCGAGTACACTTAGCAACTGAATCTACCCTGTTGTAAGAACTTGTGACACAGCCATAATTTCGTTTTTAGGTCAAGGCATGGCAGTTGTCATTGCTAAACATTTGGAATGCTAACTTTCAGATCAACTTAACGCTATGGGATTATCCACCATGGCTCTTTCCGCCAATTCTACTCACAGCTACATTAGGATCAAGGAGGACACCTCACTGTCTGTTGATGGCTACACATTGACAATGGATCCTAAGGAGCAAGGAATTCTTATCTCAGCATCAACTCAGGCAGGGGCGTTCTATGGGATCCAATCACTAGTCAGTCTTGCTCTGCGAGGGGTCAAGGTTGGTGTTATTTCTGCCGTCAATGTCAAGGACAGTCCCAGATATCCCTATCGTGGTCTCCTGTTAGATGTTGCCAGCAACTTCTTTCCAAAAGGAACAGTATTGAGGGTACTGGATTTAATGACGATGTACAAAATGAATAAATTACACTTTCATCTGACCAACAATGAGGCATGGCGAATTGAAGTCTCTGGACTTGAAGAGCTCACTCAGGTAAGAGCATCTAAATTGTCAGATTGTATTACGTACATTTGGTAGCTTATTGCATTTTCTGAACATATTTTCCATACTATTTGTCAGGAAAAAACATCACAAATTGTCAATAACCTTGCAATAAATTGTATTGGCATTGTGGCATAGCTGCCTGCAACTAAATAATATCATATCAGTAAGTCATCTTCAACTTATTACAACACAAAGCACAGAGATCAAAATTAAATCAGTTCCAAAAGCAAACACTGGTGTTGCATCCAATCATTATCCAGTATAATAAGCTATTTCATTATCTATAAAGATTAACTGATATATCTGTTTTGACAAAAACTGTTGATTTACATAAATCATTTGTTTGAACTTAATGTTACAGTTTGGTAGCCAACGCTGTTTCAATCAAGTGTGGCTTCGATGCCTCTACCCCAGTTTTGGATCGGGCCCAACCAACAGGACATCCGGATTCTACAGCAAGCAAGATTATAAAGATATCCTGAAGTACGCTGCTGATCGCCATATTGAAGTCATACCAGAAATCAGCCTTCCTGGAAACGCTCATGCAGCCATTCAAGCAATAGCCATCAGAAAGCAAAACAGATTAGATGTTGGCGACTTTAACACCTCTGAAGCATTCATGCTGACAAATGTACCGTTTAAAGAAGATGTACCAATTGGAACCAACACTGTTAATCCTATGCTTACCTCAACGTTTGACTTCTTCTCTCTTGTGTTTGAAGAACTTTTCAATATGCATCACAACATAAACACACTAAAGACCATGCATTTTGGAGGCGGAGAACCAACGATAAATGCATGGTCAGATGCTTTTGAAGACCACCTGATGAATTCTCCCCGTGCTACCAGTCTTCAAATCAAACTCGCAAAAGAGCTGTCCAAAATAGTGGCTTCCAAAAACGTAACCTTGGCAGGATTTGAAGAAGGCTTCATGAGCAACATATTCGATATCATCCCAAGACAGCAGCTGCCTGGACGAGTCATGGCGTATGCGTGGAATGATTTCTGGGCAGATACATCTGTACCTTCTTCTCAGGCATATTTACTGGCAAATGATGATTATGAGGTACAGCTTTTACTGGTTATTATTGTTTCAATGATTAAAAACAGAATGGAGAAGAAAGAGGGTGGATGGCCTTGGCATTTAGACTGGTTAGGCTAAGCATTAGCTCAGGTACCCCCTTCTGAAAGAAATGGGTTTTGGTGTCTTCACCTGCTCCGGAGAACAAGCAGTCACTTGCGTTGATCAGCAAGTCATTCAAGACTTGAAGTATGTTCGGAGAGGTGAATACATCCCAGTGACCTCAAAATCCACTTGTGACGCAAAGAATAATAAGCTTGTCTGTAGTCTGTCCAACGCATTTAGTGATGACGATGGTAGGTTTTTGCCTCTTCAAGCATCACTTTTTGAACCAACCTTTGACCCTTGCAACCCCAACACCCCTTTCTGCTCCTTTCTGGCCCTTGTAGATGATATGTTGTGTTCCATGTATTTTGATTGTTAAACGAGGTCAAAGACTTATTTATAGGCAGTGAAGTCATTCAGTTTCCGTCGACCCGGATTTCGAGAATATATTCCTCGAAACCAAAGTGTGCTGTGAGAAAATTAATGAATCGATGAGATGGGTTTGGGGGGTTTGTGTGTTGTTCGTGGCATCAGTCAGTGGTTTATCTGGCCCAGACTATATTTATCGGCATAAAGCTGGGACATTGCTATGTGCGGCTTTGAGCAACAGTGAAAATGTGGCAGGCACTTTCTGAACGTCTGAATTCGATGTCAGTGATATAAAAATTCACTGCTCTCTTCACAGCTTGTGGTTGCCTCGTCAAAACATCTTAACCTTGACGCACCTTACGAGCCCGACCCCGAAGAAAGAGGAGAATACTGGGCCAGTAGGTACTCTGACACAAGGAAGGTGTTCGAGTTTATGCCTGGGGATATCTACAGTAACATACATGGTTCAGGCACATATTAAAAAAGCTCTGACACAATTGACAGACTTAAAACCTGTTCTCAGTATATTACCATAATCTCGGCTGTGTAAATATTCTCGTGTAAAATCATAGATCTGTACACAGCGCTTTGAGCATGCCCACTGATGTGGAATAGGCGCACTATAAATATGCAATTATTATTATTATATTATATGCTTGATACCCAGCGTTCTAACGCACTTGCACCTGAAACCAAGGTGCTCAGTACCCTAATATTTTGCTCTAGGTTTTTTCTCCACGTTTACACTTGGTTGGAAAAATACCCATGAAGGACCGTGTTAGAATATTGAACTTCAATAACCCATGCCTGTGGTAAGAGGCCACTAACGGGATCGGGTGGTCAGGCTCGCTGACTTGGTTGACACATGTCATCGGTTCCCAACTGCGCAGATCGATGCGCATGCTGTTGATCACTGGATTGTTTGGTCCAGACTCGATTATTTATAGCTAAGATACATAGCGTTCACTAACATGAACTCAGTTGGTTCGTAAACTACTTTCTATCATTTGCTAGACTATGCAAAGGGAGATAACGCGTGCCTCGCATTCCTCTATCTCTCGCACGAAAGAGTCTCGATCTAAGCTTGGATCGGATCGTAAGATCGGGACCGGCTACGATCGGTTAGTGGAACGGGTGTAACTTTTAGCTAAGGCGATTGTAAAATTAGCGTAACTTGCTAAGATTGATCTTAGATAAGATCGGTTAGTGGAACGGCACCCTGAACTGAGAATATTGACATGAACTGAGAACGTGGGTATTAACTGACAACACGTATATGAACTGAGAACTTGGGCATTAACTGATATGGGTATGAACTGAGAATACTTATATGAACTGAGTATTTGGGCATGAACTGAGATCAAGAGCATGAATTGAGTATATGGGCATGGACTGAGGTTATGGGTATGCACTGAAAATATTGGCATGAACTGAAACTGTTGGCATGAACTGAGGTTATGGGTATGAACTGAAAATATGGGCATGAACTGAAACTATTGGCATGAACTGAGAATATTGATATGAATTGATTGTATGGGCATGAACCTGAGAACATGTTTAAGAACTGGGAACACCGGTCTGAACTGATAATATGAACATAAACAGAGAAAATGGCCACTAACTGATATTGGCAGGAACTGAGAGCATGGGTATTAACTGACAATATGGGTATAAGCTAAAATCATGGATATAAAGAAGCTGAAATCATAGGCTTGAACATAGATCATGGAAATGAACTGAGAACATGAGTATGGACAAAAGTATGAACTGAAAACTCGGGCATGAAGCGATGACATTGGTATGATCAGAGAACATAACTATTACCTTGAATGAACTGGAACCGGACACATTATGAATAATTAAGAGCATAGGAATGACAGAGATGCTTCCTCAGATCTTAATTCTGCTGCACGTACCAAACATATGTAATTCGGTTATACCATTTACAAGAACCATTTCCAAATCAGTTTGTCTTTGAGACCAACTGATTTGAAAATGCTTCTTGTAATTATTCTTTCAAGCATGTAATTAATCATCATCAGGCATGCAAGGTCAACTTTGGACAGATGGAATCAGAACAGAGGAACAGCTCTTCGAAATGCTGCTACCAAGAATGTTGGCTGTGGCTGAGAGGGCTTGGCATGAAGCACCATGGGAGTATTTGAAATACTCAGACGCAGACCGAGACAATGACTGGCTACAGTTTTCTTCTAGCATAGGTTTACAGGAAATGAAAGTGCTTGACCGACTCAACTACACCTACCACCTACCACCCCCGGGGGCCAAGTGAGTTCACCAACGTGTACACACAATACTAAAATAATATGGTAGCCTTGTAATTAACGCATTCGCTGATCATTTTGAAGACCTGTGTTTGACACCGAAACTGACTACCGCTTATCACGTGCCGATATGTTGAATGCGTGAAAAGCATCACAGGGCTTGTATTGCTGAAAATAATACGTCCTGGGTCCTTCAAGCGTACACTGATATCCATACCCAGGACGTATTATTTTCAGCAATACAACCCCCTGTAGAAAGCATTACCACGATGCTTTATAAACCCAGCCATGACGATCAATATAATTTCAAAATATCATCAAACTTTCTCATGTACTTTATCTCTGGGTTTATGACTATTGCCGACCCAACTATATGAAAAACAGGAAAGAGCAAAACAAAATTTTTGTTCAGACAAATGAAAAAATTGTCTAAATACTTTATATCCGAAGAGGCAACATGGCTTTCACGTCAATAGTTTCATATAACATTTTGAATAACAAAGGTAAAACTGCTGAAATTCTGTTCTGTTTATTTCTAAAGCAATTTACTAAAGAGGTATATTTACAAACAAACAAAAATAATCTTATTTCTGTGTCGCTCATTGAGGGAAAATCATATGTTGAAAAAAGAGCTAGTCGACTTAAAGGATTAACCCCTCAGTGAATGAAACCCAACGATTAAATGGCAAACGACCAAAGTATTGTGAATTCAACGTGACTCTGTTGGGAATAAGGATTGTATTTTCCTGTTTTGTGTAGACTGTCCGGATCCCAACTGCGCATCAACACAGCCTTCCCAGGTCTCTCAGTGGAGGCCAGCGTTGACGGGGGCAGTCATGGAGCACCGTCAGCACGTCCTCTGGCCTGACGGTGGTGGATGGACAAACCATACTGCTCAGAACAAGGTACAGGGAGATCCGGAACATAGCGTTCCCGTTGTAATCGAACGGCTTCGTGAAACGCGTTACGAATAATGTCAGTTTGTATATAGTCATGTAATCGCTCAATGTTATTCTCAGCAGTAATCGCCCAAAGGCGGAGTTGGCGGATTAACGGGGTTCTGATAAAGGGAGTGAGCGAGTTTAGTTTTACGGCGCACTCAGCAATATTCCAGCTACATGTATATGGCGACGGTCTGTAAATAATCGAGTCTAGACCAGACAATCCAGTGATCAACAGCATGAGCATCGATCCACGCTATTGGGATACGATGACATGTGTCAACCAAGTCAGCGAACCTGACCACCCGATCCCGTTAGTCGGCTCTTACGACAAGCATTGGTTACTGAAGATCAGTTCTAACCCGGATCTTCACATGTCTTCTGATTAAAGAAGTTTTGCTGTAGGCGTATTATCCACTCTGCTGAAAACACACGGTTTTGTTGAGATGATGTTGGATCGCGATCGCTTGCTTGTTTTGTCAAAAAAATCCTTTACTTGGCGAGGTATAATGCATGTGAGTGTCCTAGTCTGTCGTACAGACCCTGAAGTAAATATATCCAAGAAAGCCCACGCAAGTCTAGAAAATGTGGCAAGTCTAGAAAATGTGGCAAGTCTAGATTTCCTCAGTTTCAGGAAATGAAGAAAGTCTCAGGGCTCCTTTTCATTAAATTTTTTTTTTTTTTACTACGAACTTTTTTTCAGTAAAATATGTTCATTTCAGAGAGTAGTTGTTAGTCTAGTGAGTGTACCTCTATGGTGATTAGAGGGAGTCTGTCGTACGCCTCCTGCCAGGCTTGGCCAAGGTCAGCCAATATAGTCGGCGGCCTTTGACGTTGACGTTGACGTAACGCACAAGTCCCCCATGGCCCAGACGTGTTCGATGGGGAAGTGTAAAGTCGTCACAACATAAATTTGTCGTCAGCCCTTATTTTTGTTCTTGGTACTTGGTATTACAATTATAACTCATGATCACCTACCTTTAGTATGAGAATATTTACACCACCCAGCAATGCTTTACACTAACTTATTGCAGTGTAAAATAATGGTGGAAAATGAGATATCTGATCATAGCTTAAGGACTCGGGTATATTTGTAGTCCTAGCAAGTTCTGTTCAAGTTCTAAAGCGCTGTTGTTGTCTGCTGACTCAAGAGTGAGTGAGTATGGTTTTACGCCGCTTTTAGCAATATTCCAGCAATATCACGGCGGGGGACACCAGAAATAGGCTTCACACATTGTGGCGGGTCTTCATTGTGCCGATTGAACGCGTTAACCACTCGGCTGCCCCAAGATACATGTAGTTAATCATTACAAAGACGTAATGTCCCAGTTTCTGGACCAAGACTGAAAATGACCACAACACTTTACAAAATAGTATCTCCCTTTAAAGGTAGCTTGACCTTCCTGTCTGTCACCAAGTTTCAGGCAAGGTCTAAAGGTGTTGACATCACACTGCCCTATTTACATCTGCATCCAAACATGAATGTTGTCAGATTTCAAGGTATGTTCAACTTAACGCCAAGTATGACGCCGTTATCGCTCATGAGCCACCAGTGGAAAGACCACTGACGTGTTTAGTGACAAAATAAGTCGTGTTGGTGTCTATTGATATTGGATTTTTGAAATTTAATTGAATTGATATTGTGATTGTTTTCAGGTCACCATCAAATCAACGTACAAGCAGGGTTATCAAATTGAAGATATCTGGAATCATGATTGTGCCCCTGGTTGGATAATATGAAGATTAAACTGTGGGTGTATATCAGTATTTTGCTTTGCAAATTAAAGCCTGCTCTACTGCATAATTTTTGTATAACTATTGTAGTAATTATGCAGTGTTATCCTGCTGGTGTTTTCAAACGGAGGAGGAGAGGTATAGGGCAAACAGCATTGTTTCTGCATTTAATCCTTGATGACAAAAGAATGCTTCAAAGAGCAATGACTTAAGTCGACTGTCATTACAAAACACTTGCTGACATATCTCAATTAATCAAAGTAAAGGTCCATACATCAACCATCGATTGAGAGAACATTTCAGGTTGTTTGAACATCTTTCATAAAATGGAATAACTCTCGCAACAACCTAAATATGTTTCATAAAACGTAATTCAGCTTACATACGAAGGCGAGTGTATGAGTGAGCTTTTAGGAAATATTAACACGCCCTACCTTTCAAATTAAAGAACATATATAGCACAGGCAGCATGTTTAGATGGGAACCGCCTGAAGAAATCGCACGAACGGATTCCGGGTATAGAAATATTCGTCCTCATCCATGTATGTTTTTCGTACCAGGATCGGGTTGTCCGACTAGGTGACTTCGTTGATACTACTTCAGTGTTATTAGCGCAGCGATAATATCGGAATACTGACGAGGATGTTACGCGCAGTGCTGGTATTGGCATACAACGTGCGATACGATACATCACGATACTAAAATTTTGGTCAAGACGATTTATTGCCAAAGTATTATGCACTCAAGCTGCGATACGATACGAATCTCGATACATGGGTGGCGATACGATACGTATCACGATACTTAAATCTTTAATTCTAACACCAGCTATAAAACATCTTAAGATCAAACAAAACCATTTTAAAATATTCCGCCAGCGTTTTTCACTGTTCATTCGGAAACGAGATAATGAAGTTTATACACGGACTTTGTGAATGTTAATAAGATGTGAGCGCTATGTCTGACACAGTTCTTGACGCAAGAATTTCCGAGAAAACGCCTACTTATTAAGGGAAAATAAATAAGTATATATTTTAATCAGTAAACAAAAGTAAGTCTTTTTACTTGACAGATATCGCGATTCGGCAATATTCAAAGTTAAATATCGATGTATCGTGGCCCATTTGAAGTATCGTATCGGAATATACGACAATGTAAAGCTTTGTATCGGTTCACTGTATCGGCGGCCCATGGATCGATGCATCGATGCGTATCGATGAATCGTCACACCACTAGTTACGCGCCGGAAGAATTCTGGTCAGTTCACGGTCAAAGGGAGGCAACTCAGTCAAAACGTTCCTGCACACTTTCGTGTAAACCTATTAATGTTTGTGTATTGCGGCCAATATCTACAAGGGTGTGGTTTCACGGGGCACCGCATTGACGATTTTCAGTTTCATTCGGGTCAGTCCAACTAATTCCGTCGACTACATGCTTCAAGATGAACAAATGTATCAGAGGAGCGTTGATAATTGAAGGGAAGTAACTGCTACTAGTAATCAAGCGACCTACAAGACAGGATCGGAAAGCGCACGTAAAATCTCCAAATCGTCATCATCAACCTTTAAGACAAGGGACACAACTCTTGACTTTGTTGAATGCAGTTCACTCGCAGTGTGCGAAGTTTCAAGCAAGATGATGTGCAGGGGCGTACAAACACGATTCCCTCCCAGGGAAGAGCTTGGTCATGGTTCCCAGATCAGTGGGGGCAAATGATCATCGGTTTCACGCAATCATCTGAGTGTTTCTTACAGTTTTGGTAATGTAGGCTGAGTAATGACGATTACAGGTCCGACGTCTTTTCCATTATATCGCACTACATTGATGGTGCTCACTGGATTTGATGGACCGTGCCGTTGAGGATCAAAGAGCGATAAATATAACTTTCTAAACAGACTTACCTCCCTTGGGACAATGGACATAACTCTTACTCATTGTGCGGGATTATCTCCCTTTGACAGAAGACGCCGTGCGACAGGGGAATTAACTCGTTTACAAACACGATTACCTCCCTTTGACCATAAACCAAACCATTACCTTACTACATGGTGCATTGCGATGTGTTGGGGGTTCTTTTTATGTCAGTTTTAAATTTAGAAGGAAAAGGCATAAGAAATGAGAACATTACCCCTTTACAGCTTCACGTCACCTCCACAGACGTCAATGATTGTAGTTTTCAGCAACAGGGATCAGATAATTTAGACATGCTAAAAGAAAATAAGACGTAACTTCATCTGATATTTATCTCCGTGTTCAGTGATTTATATTGAATCGTCAATGCATCAGTGTTAAAGATTATTATCGTATGAAACTAATACTTTATTAGTATTATTATCACGAATCTCAACCCGCAGGATTTATTGAGGGTTGGCAGGTCTGCTACAGCATCACTAGGCCGTGGGTATAGAAGTCAATGGAGATTACAGCGAAAGAAGTAAAAAAAGCCCTGAATCTTGCCACATCTTCTAGACTTGCTTGGACTTTCTTGGATATATTTGCTACAGGGTCTGTATGACAGACTATACGGCTCCCTGTACGATGTGATGAAACGAATATTTATCCACGGATATCTCCTTTGTGCTTCGAGGTGGTGACTTGTACACAGAACCCTCAACTCTGGTGAATCTACACAGTCGCTCTGTGGCTCATCAAGTGGTGACTTGTACTGGCTTCAATTCTCAGTACACAGCGAAGAAAGACTAACTTATATCGCTAAAAACTTCTTTCACATATTCGTTTCATTTTTAGAAGGGAAATATACCTTTTGTTAAAAGGTGTTTACAAGTAATAGTGATATTTTTATAACTAAAAAAATTTGTTGGGGTGTATTTGAGGTGTGTGAAAAATATGACATATCGCCGATCTGCCATTGAAATACTACAGGGCGTTGTTTGAGTGTTTCTAGTTAGTGTTCAAAAACATCTTTCACATACACCTTCAATTTTTATGAGGGGAATATACCATCAGGTGAAAGGTGTTTGCAAGTAATAGTGATAGTTTTATAATTTAAAAAAATTGTTAGTGTGTATTTGAGGTGTGTGAAAATATGACATATCGCCGATGTGCCATTGAAATACTACAGGGCGTTGTTTGGAGTGTTTCTAGTTAGTGTTCAAAAACATCTTTCACATACACCTTCAATTTTATGAGGGGAATATACCATCAGGTGGTGACTTGTACACAGAACCCTCAACTCTGGTGAATCTACACAATCGCTCTGTGGCTCATCAAGTGGTGACTTGTACACAGAACCCTCAACTCTGGTGAATCTACACAATCGCTCTGTGGCTCATCAGTGATCCGTACACATCATTAATTTGAGTTGAATGACACGAGAAATATTTTTAAGACGAATATGAATGAGTGGTACATAGGCCATTTGACCTGACCCAGATGAGTGAGTGAGTGAGTGAGTTTAGTTTTACGCCGCACACAGCAATAGTCCAGCTATATGGCGGCGGTCTGAAAATAATCGAATCTGGACCAGACAATCCAGTGGTCAACAGCATGAGCATCGATCTGCGCAATTCGGAACCGATGACATGTGCCAACCGAGCCAGCGAGCCTGACCACCCGATCCCGTTAGTCGCCTCTTACGACAAGCATGGGTTACTGAAGGTTCATTCTAACCCGGACCTTCACGGGTCTGACCCAGATGAATATCAATTAGTGGTATATAGGCCATTTGACCTGGCCCACATGAATATCAATTAGTGGTATATAGGTCATTTGAACTGACACCGGTTAATATTAAAAAGTGGCATATGGGTCATTTGACCTAATACCAATGAATATGAATGAGTGGCATATAGTTCATTTGATCTGACACCGATGGATTTTAATTAGTGGCATATAAGTCATTTGACCTAACACCAATTAATATGAATGCATTGCTTATAGTTCATTTGATCTGACACCGATGGATTTTAATTAGTGGCATATACGTTTGATCACGTTCAAGGGGTCACGGGAACAGATTAGTATATTTGGGTACAAGTCAATTTCATTATGACCGATATAATCTCGGGCAACCTTTAAGAAATGCACAGGCTGTGGACAAATATCCAATTTTGTGGCTATATGAATATAAAGACATCAAGAAAGGTTCATGTTCATTATCTTAATCATAAGCCCACCTTATGCCCACTCCGCCCGGAGAGCGGAAGGTCGCGGGTTCGATCCCCGACCGCGTCATACCAAAAGACGTAAAAATATGGTACTTGTTGGTCCCTGCCTGGCGCTCGGCATTAATGGGTACAACAAGGACTGGTTGGCTCGGAGTGAGTATAATGTGTCTGAGTGGGGTATTCATGCTTCACTGCGGCATGGTATCTCAGTGCGCTAGCACTATAAAACCAGCTTCAGTCTGGGCTAGTACAAGCAGCCGCATATACACATACACACGCATGCACGTCGTCATATGAGCGAAATATTCTCAAGCACGACGTTAAACCCAATTCACCTCACCTCACCTCACCTCACCTCACCTTATGCCCACGTGCGCTCACGCCTTTCGACTCGCGTGCAGGATGTCCTTTCGACCATGAAGTAAGTGGGTGAGTTGATATTTACGCCGCTTTTAACAATTTTCCAGCAATACCACCACGAGGACACCAGAAACTGCCTTCACACACTGTATGCACGTCGAAACTCGAACCCGGGTCACCGCCATGATGAGCGAACGCTCTAACCACCAGGTTAGCCCACTGCGCCTCGACCATGAAGAATTAAGTTTATATTTAATTTCAGAGAAAATTCCCTGTACCCTAACCTGAATGTTCAAACGTTCACAGTCACATCCAAACACATAACCAGCCCCATGATAAAGGTTAGCACACTTCTCAAAGTTTATGTGAGTACAATGTATGTCTTTTGGTTAAACTGACGAAGTCCAATATTGAATAGCGCGTGACTTTCCGCACGAGTTTACAACGCGATATAGCCGAGAATGGGGTCAGTAAGCAGTGATAACCACCATGTTTGTACATAGTTAGGGTTTTCGACACCATTTCTAGGACAGTGATACCAGTTAAGGCCGCAACAAATTCATTTTGTTCTTTATTAACCGACATCCCTCATCCTCTTAACCCAGCCCAATACAACCAACTCTGCACAGCGCAGAAATTTAAATTTCCGGAAATCCGAGGATCCTTGTACATAAGAGCAGCTTCATATCCATGTGTAAATGAGTTGTGTACATTCGGAATTTCCAATTGCCCTCAAAACAGCCTCATCATGTATGTGTGTTATTGACTGAATAAGATGTATTAATATTTTGTATTTGAATTAAACATTAACGCCTAATAAGATGTATTAATATTTTGTATTTGAATTAAACATTAACGCCTAATAAGATGTATTAATATTTTGTATTTGAATTAAACATTAACGCCTAATAAGATGTATTCATATTTTGTATTTAAATTAAACATTAACGCCTAATAAGATGTATTATTATTTTGTATTTAAATTAAACATTAACGCCTAATAAGATGTATTATTATTTTGTATTTAAATTAGACATTAACGCCTAATAAGATGTATTATTATTTTGTATTTAAATTAGACATTAACGCCTAATAAGATGTATTATTATTTTGTATTTAAATTAAACATTAACACCTAATAAGATGTATTATTATTTTGTATTTAAATTAAACATTAACACCTAATAAGATGTATTATTATTTTGTATTTAAATTAAACATTAACACCTAATAAGATGTATTATTATTTTGTATTTAAGTTTAACATTTCAATGTCGTTCCTTCTTCATTCACGGTTTGTGTCTATTTCAGCACACTTCGTCAAATGAACAAATGAAAATCTCTGGTACATATTCTATTAAAGGACACCTGTTACACATGGCAATTTTCCAGTCTCGTCGTTCAGCCTTACCTATTGTTTGGAGGTAATTGGAGATTTAATACAATTACTAAATATATCTTTTCACTGAATCAGCAGTTTTGAAGGAAATAAAAATAAACCTGATCGCATGTGACTGCATGTCTGGATGAGACAAAGCATGACAAATGTCCATCACCCTACCTGCTACAACAGCTGTGCAATCAATTACATCGACTGGGAGATACCTACTGGGTGCTGGATTCCCTCCCCTTGGAACAGTAAAATTTCTGACAATTAATGGTTTAAATAACTGTGCTGTTGTAAGAATTATTACGCATTTTCCTTGCTTCTATCAGAGACTATACCGGTGTAATCTGATATTACAATGACATAGTAACCCTCAAAGAAAATTGGTTTCCAGAGGTCAGAATTTGAGCTACAGTTTTTGTTCTGTGACACAATCAAGACGGCCTTTGTTGCCGGGATGACGGTACTGGCAGGCCTCGATTTGGGGAGTCGTGTGTGAGTCACAACAAACCGAGAAATGTTTACACGGCATTGCTGAACTATCCAATATTTTTACTCTCAACTTTATTCAACGATGTCTTTAGATAGACCTGGTGTTGACTGACTGACTGACTGAGTTAGGTCTTACGCCGCTTTTAGCAATATTCCAGCAATATCACGGCGGGGGACACCAGAAACGGGCTTCACATATTGTACCCATGTGGGGATTCGAACCCGGGTCTTCTGCATGACAAGCCAACGCTTTAACCACTAGGCTACCCCACCGCCCCACCTGGTGTTGACGTAAAGGGGGTTGAAATGAGGATTAAGCAGATAGTTTGTTGTTTTAACCTGTCTGACAAATGGCACGTCTGACAAATGGGAGGATACCGTGTGTGCTGGGTGATTGAGTGTCATGGATGACGGCTTCGACTGTTAGCGGGGCGGTGGGGTAGCCTAGTGGTTAAAGCGTCCGCTCGTCACGCCGAAGACCCGGGTTCGATTCCCCACATGGGTAAAACGTGTGAAGCCCATTTCTGACGTCCCCTGCCGTGATATTGCGGGAATATTGCTAAAAGCGGCGTAAAACTAAACTCACTCACTCACTCATTACGTTTACGTTTATGATGCAGTTGTTACTTCTATAAGATTGATATAATCTTGAAACTGTTTATATGGAAATACAAAATCTAACTGAAAATATCGATCTACGACGAGAAACCAAAAATGTTTTCTCTTATGAAATGGGTGATGTTGGAGTATATCTCTGATGCACTTGTAGTCTGCTGATAGGCCTATGTGTATACAAGTAATATATACGGGTTAGAATTGATCTTTGAACAGCAACCCATGCTTGTTGTAAGAGGCGACTAACGGGATCGGGTGGTCAGGCTTACTGACTTGGTTGGCACATGTCATCGTATCCCAATAGCGTAGATCGATGCTCATGCTGTTGATCACTGAACTGTCTAGTCCAGACTTGATTATTTACAGACCGCCGCCATATAGCTGGAATATTGCTGAGTGCGGCGTAAAACAACAAACAAACAAGTAATACACTAACGAGACATCCAATTGCTGTAAATATGATTGTGTATCTGTAAAACTTCGGAATGTCTGTGTGCATTTATCTAAATGACAATTATGTGAATAGGCCTAGGCCTACCACTTCTATTGTGCTAAGTACATTTAGTATAATGTATAACGGCAATTATAAAGATTATATTTATAAAGGGGAGATATATTTATACAAGGTAACAGTTAATATATCCACCATATAGTATACACATTTTAGAAATATGTTCCGTGTAGATCATATATGTGGCACAGGTGTGTGTGTTTTAGTGACCAACAGACAGACGAACACACTTTGTTAAAATTTCAAGGCCAATATTGTTTCTTTAACATCTATAAATATTTCAAAGGCGTAACAAGTGCAGGGAGTTTTCTGAAAGTAATTATAAGTGGTGTGCTTCTATATGGTTGTATAATTTTAGACATACGTGCTAAAGAAATGAGGCTATCCGTAAAAGTTAAAGTTTCATCACGTTTCCATGGTAACTGTCCAAAACACAACTTTTGAAAATCTACATAACAACATGCATGGACCATTGGTGAATATATCATGAAGTTTCGTAAAGCTTGATTGTAAAGTGTTCGCGATATGCTCCGGGAAATAATTGGCAACTGACGGACGGACGGCCAGACAACAGACAGACAGACATACATACTGACAAACATCAAGTTTAAGATGTGTTCTTTTAATGTAATGATGATCCATGATCAGTATATGACCATCACCACAAACAACATTCTAATAATAACACGAGGCCAAGGTATATAAACTGGGCTACCGAACACAATGTTCAGTTAGCGACCTCGTTCAGACGCACGCCAGGACGATAGCTGGTGCTCGTGAACTTTGACACAGGCAATATGGCGTCTTCAACAGTAAACCCGGACTTAGCTCGCGAGAGAAAGAGAGCCACGTTTGATCCCATCCAACTGACCTATGTCTTATATGATGGACCGGAGAAGGTCAGAAGAAACCGATATTTACGTGAGTATTGTTTTTATGAGTTGTCTTTTCTTATGAACATTTCTATCGAGTGAATTACGTTTCTGATGCCCCAAGTTCTAGACTCAAGACCCAGTGACAGGGCAAGTTTTGTTGCGGGCAAAGTCCATATCAAATGAGATACCGGCACTTACATGCATATAGTTATTATACCCATTTTATATGGAAACGATCTTTTGTCTGAATGACACTAACTGTATCTTGAGACGAAAAATATCACAATTTAACTAATGTCGGTATTTTATATGTAGCAATATACGTTGACTTTGACAATCGACTTTTCATAGCACCTGTGACAGTTGAATTGATCAGGATAAATTGATGCAGTGTCGTATACACTATATTGTGAAAGTTATTCAAGTCCAATTTAGTGTTAATATATTTAGTAACCGTAGCAGGGCTATTACTTTTAGCTCAAATCTATACCAGTGTTCATTCAAGCGTTTCTAAAATGTTAGCCCATGGCCCTCCAGCCCCCACTTATACATAAATAAATGTGGGTCATTTAGAAAATATTGTGGGTCATGTCAAATTGCTGTGCCTTTTTAGCCATACACTACTAGTTACTAGTATGAGTTCACTTCCTATTTTAAACTTTCAATCCAGGTGAGGTCAACAAGAGAAACCAAAGACATACTTGAGTTTTGCTTGAGTTGCCAAGCAAGAACAAACTCGTGATGCATTTCAGATTTGCATTCATAGATGCGCCAACACAACCCGCCCGTACCTGTTCAATTCACCATGTTAAATATTAGTGCACGGCCTAGAATGAACACTGCTATACTATGAATACAAAATGCCATTTACTGAGAATGCGTAATACCAAAATGTAACATGAGTTACTTTCAAATCTATACTATCCTGGTAAAAGATAAAACGTCCTTGTCATATAAAAGAATGTGGAAATAGGACATTTTGGACTTAGCGGTTGATGTACTGGCACCAGGCTATGTAGTGATAAATTCTAGCCCTGGCGTAAGTATAACAGATGACGTCTCAGTTCTAGTGAAGTCTTGAGGTCCAAAGGTGACATATCCAGCATTATACATATACATGGAATCAATTTTGTTCACATGTTCTAGGGGGGTCAGCAATTTTGTACGTAAAAATATGAAAAGATTGTTGTCATCCATAAAATTGTATGCTTCATAAAGATTACTGTGTGCTACAGACGGCTGATCAAGCACTACTTGTTGATCATGTCTATTTGTCTGACAGAATCACTGGCCATCAACGATCCGGTGATTGCCAACAGCCCAAACTGGCACACCCTGAGTCGTGAACAGAAGTATGAAGAGGTTATGCGCAAGACGGTGTACTACACCAAAAGAATAGAGGACCTGGGACTGACCAAACCAGAAGAAATATTCGCTTACAGAGAGTAAGTGAAATAGATAAATCGGAACAGGGGATATGTTTCAAACGGAAGACTATGGCTTCAGAGCCTGGGCTATGTTTTTGCTGATTCCAGATAGTGTGCCCGTGGAGGACCTACTAATACTGTATATCACCACACATAAGGCAAGTTTTTCATACATAGAATTAGATGGGTTTGAAGGGAGGATCACCTAATACAGGGGTAGAAGTCACTAGAAGATCTCACATTTTTTTCCGACTGGCGTTGTCAACAGGTGTCCGATAGCCACTGATGTAGTTTTGACAGTAAACTTTGCATTTCAGTCACAATGACTGTTCCAAGAATTATTTTCATATGTAAACTTCCATTCTACATGAATTTCTTGTTCATACTACATATATTCTGCAAATAAAGTTAATCTGTTTCTGAATCATTTAGAAATAAGAACACAGGTGTCTGACAGTTGACAAAAATACGTAATATATCTTTGTATGACAGTAATACATAAAGTGTGTTCATGACAGTTATCGTATCACAAGTAAACTTCATTGTGTGACATATAAAATAAGTTTTTACGATACTCAGCAAATATTTAGAAGTATATGGCAGCGGTCTGTGAATCTGGACCAGACAATCCAGTGATCAACAGTGGTGTATGGTCTTAGAATCCTTTACAAGCAAATTTACTGATCTGAAAATGAATCAATGTTCAGTAGGATAAACAGTCACGACCAATTAGCATGTTCTCGCAATGTTGTTACCTGGTGTCATATACCCTTGTCACAAATCGATATAACTAATGAAAATAATGATGGTTTGTTAAACAACTTTTTATTTTGGAGACAAAACTTATGACAAAATTCTGAAGAGTTGGTATGTTTTTCCTATTAACTTTCGCGTTGGTTTGAGTCATTTACGATTATTTGTTTTTGAGTTAGAGTGCAATTCATTTGACTCAGACTATACATGTCTGGATGCCAGTTGTGTGATAATGAAAGGGGAGATAAGCCATAGTGTTTTACAACTTAGATGAGATATTTTGTTTTAAACTAAACATCTGTTTGTATACTTGGACCATTTTATATCTGTCGTTGGTTCTGATATTTATCCTCTGCATTTTATTCCTTTGAAACACCATTTATTTTGTTTTGATTTCTCATTACATTATGTAAGTATCATATATTGATCTGATAATTTGGAAGATACAATTGATTAATGTATTTTTGAAGTATGTGTGTGTTTGTGAAAATGTAAGTGCTAAGTGGGATGATAATACACAAGAATATAATCATGATGATAATGAATGATATCCTGAGGGTAGAAAATCCAAAATGTCTGAATCCAACATGGCTAAAATCTGTAATGATAACAATCTATACACTCAATATATCTTGAGTTTCAAGGTCAAGGCATCTCTGTAGATAAATGTCGCTGTTCTTGCTTACGTTGGTCAAACTCTACCTGGAATTTAACCAAACAGAATTGTATAGGTCAAATGATTATGATATTGTAAACAAACTTTTGCAATTTATACAAAATTGAATCATTTTGGTGGCCGTATTGGATAGTATAGATTGAGTACATTGGCATCATTCGAGATTTCAGCAGCATTGGAGGCCATCTTGGATTTTGTGACCACTAGGGGCACTGCAGGACACTAGAACTGAATCCACATTCAGAAATATTTGGAAAGGTGTTCCAGGTTTGATGGTTTTAGCCAAAAATGACTGCTTTTGGCAAAACCTGCTTTAAAAGCCCTTCAAGTAAAACAAAAGTGAAGTAATTAATTTTCAAATGTGATGATAAGCTAGGAACATGCCTGTAAGACATAATCTCAGGCAGGGTTTTACACATATGTGTCCAGTATGCACAAATGAAGAGAATTTACACAGAGAATATTTTTGGGATGCACAATATTATTCTCTGTACAGTATACTCACAACACATCCAGGACTTTCAATTCAAATCTCGTTATTTCGGTACAGTGGTGTGGGCCATCAGCCCTATGTACAACATGGTCCATACATTATAAGGGAACTTATGCATGTACAGCAAGGCTATGTGGTGATGCAATCAATTTTGTAAGGTACTTATACAGGTGTATCCAGGCATGGAAGATATAACAGTCCATGTACAGTGATGCATAATTTTACAGGGCACTCAGGGCTCCAGATAAGGGCCGTATCGGCGTATGTACGGATAAAAAATTTGCACGATACGGTAGGAAATAATTTATAAAACGTAGCAGATACGCACCACGGCAAAGATGTACGGTCTTAGAATCATTTACAGACGTATTTATCTGAAAAAAGTATTGTTTTATTGTATATTGACCTGTTTACACAAGACTAGCAATATTGTGGTGCATATATGAAACGAAACACAAGATTACTGATACACCATTAAATTCCATTCAGTACTCTAAATGCAGGCTTAAGGTTTTCGAGTACTCCTATATTGAAAAAATAAGGAGTACGTACTCCTGGTGTTCAAAAATTATCTGGAGCCCTGGCACTATACAAGTACCTCAAGGCTTGGAAGATATACCAATCCATATACAGTGCTTTATCGTTTTACAAGGTGATTATACAAGATTTTTAAGGCAAAGACTTGAGGCCTTGAGGATATAACAGTCCATACTTTGCTAACTTTTGGTTTCTCTCAGAGCAGTTACATGCATCATTTCATCCATCGGTCCTCATGTCCGATGATTCATTCCAAGCTCTAAAGAAATTATCAAAGTTACATTTCTCTACACTTTAATTTATCCTCCGCAGGGCAGGTATGGCTCATGAGAACTCGGCGTTTGGTCTCCATGGCAGCATGTTCATCCCGACCATTGAGAAGACGGGTACAGAGGAGCAGAAGCAGGCATGGATCCCCAGATCAAAGAGATTTGAGATCATCGGAACATACCCAAACGGAACTCGGACATGGTTAGACAACATAATTATATCTGAAAACCAGACAACTGTCCAAGTGCAAGATCAATTATTTTAAGGATCGACCAATTTGATTATGTCTAATGCAGATCTGGTTGTCACTTTTGAGCCATTTTGAAATAAAGACTGTAATGGGAAGTAACCTTTTGCACAATTTTAATGACTTCAGGTGAAACAAGATCCTCGTCCAATTGATTCAGAAAAGGTGTTCTTGTGTTTTGCTCAAGACACATGGTGATCAGTACATGGCTGTAATGGTTTCAAACATTGGGTTTTTAGCAAAGGAGATTTATAGATTTTTACTTCCCTTTCTTTCAATTTTGGCACAGAACAATTACTTAAAATGGTACTCTTCGAGGATGAATAAAGAAGAAACAATTTATCCCACCCTGTGACTTCATTTGGTATTGAACATTACCAGTTTATGACTCAACCAATAGTCACGATAATACACGAGTAAACACTCATACTAATAATAATGATAAACAAATACTCATTGGTTCAAAACCTATCTGGAGCACAGCGCCCATTTGCTAAATCCAAATATTTACATTTCTTTAACATTTTCTTTTGATATTTTATAGTCACATGCATTATCATGATTATGGGGTGGTTTCTCACAACTGGCATTTTTAACTTAGGTACATTTGTACGAGGCTTGGAGACAACAGCAACCTATGATCCAAAGAATAAGGAGTTTGTGATCAACTCCCCGAACTTGACCTCCATCAAGTTCTGGCCAGGGGCATGTGAGTATCGTCAGAATCAGTATTGATGAAATCAGAATCGTGTTGATGGATTCAAAATCAGTATTGATGAAATCAGTCAGTATTTTGAGTCTATGATTAGATTTTCACCTGAAGTTCTTATGATTTTAGCCAATTTTGTGTCTGAAAGATGAAAGTCTAGCTGTAAGCTATATGAACATGTTTGATAGTTGACATACCCAAAATAAGTGTCCCAGCTTTAAGATCTGCAACACTATCCTCCATCATCCTTCACCAATGTATGTATGGTATTGGTCCTGTATATGGGAGTTCTCTCATTCACATCTGGTGGGACGGTGGGGTAGCCTAGTGGTTAAAGCGTTCGCTCGTCACGCTGAAGAACCGGGTTCGATTCCCACATAGGTACTATATGTGAAGCCCATTTATGGTGTCCCCAACTGTGATATTGCTGAAATATTGCTAAAAGGGGTGTAAAACCACACTCACATACTCACTCACATCTGGTACACTCACTCACTCACATCTGGTATACTCACATACTCACTCACATCTGGTACTTGTATGAAGTCCGCAGCTAGGCTGGAAATAGGCACCATATCAAGCACACTCCCGGCGCAGTGATGACTTAGCATAACATCACTGCCACAGGCTAATTTGCATATCACGTGACCGGACTTTTTCTCTTGTTTGTAAACAAACGCGCATATTCATAATAAGAAGAGACTGGCCTTATGCAAGTTTTTCGGCGCGCTCTTCACAATGTTTTACATTGTTACATATATATTCTTCCACAAATGCGACAGTAAGGTTTATGACAGTACACATTTAGATATCAAACTGGCTACATCGTTTGCTCTCCGTCGGCTTCGATGACAACACGTGAAGCCGTACAACCTATGTAAATGAAGGATCGCTACGAAAATCGAAATAGTGTCACATGTTTTTGGATATTTTCTCAGTGAAACTAAACCATTCTATCAAAGATGTTTAATTAGATGTGTATGCTCATCAAAATTAAAAGAGTTAAGAAATATGTACATTATATTGAATGGACGGTGCAAGATGTGACGAATTGTCACATCTTTCTGGCCTGTGGCAGAGGTACTATGCTGGCTGTCCGCATGGAACTCTGGGAAGGAGAGTGCATATCAAGGAGCATGTTACCTTCAGTGTGTGACTCTGACTACAATTGTTCAACAGGCCAGATGGATTGTGACCGCTAATGGTTCAGTGTGATTGTCCTCACTATCAAGTGTTATTGAAGAAAACAATACATACTACTCAAAAAAATGGTTTTGTTGGACCACTGTCAAATAAAATCAATTGGTTGATGAGAGAGGTTACTAGACTGAGGACTAGTGTTAGTGTCTAACAGTGTATTATGCATTCTGTTCCAGTGGGCAAGACATCTAATTACTGTGTAGTGATGGCCCAGCTTCTCACACAGGGTCAGAACTGTGGGATACAGGCATTTATTGTGCCACTTCGTCGCCTTGACAACCACCAGACACTGCCAGGTAACAAGGACTCGTTATTTTGTACTGTAACGAAATTTATGTGATATATTATGTTATCTCACACTGTAACCATTTATTTTATCTCACACTGCAACAATTTATGTTATCTCACACTGTAACAATTTAGGTTATAATTCATGTTATCTCACTGTAACTGTTTATTTTGTCTAACACTGTAACAATTTATGATATCTCTTGCTGTGCATAAGTTACATTTTCTTTCAATCCTAGCGTGGAACACTCCTAAAACATAGTTTCTAGCTTCAGAAACACCTTACCCAAACACATCCATGGTCACTGACACTAGGTTACACATCAGTGCAATCTCCTGTGACCTGACTGTATGTCCCCCACCTCCTGATGTACCTTGCACCCTCATTCTCTTTCTCATTGCACAGCACCGGTGAAGTTCCGGGTTAATTGGTCATCAGCAACCCATTCTTGTCATAAGAGGCGACTGACAGGATCGGTAGGTCAGACTCACTGACTTGGTTGACACATGTCATCATATCTCAATTGGGTAAATTGATGTTCATGCTGTTGATCACTGGATTCTCTGATCCAGACTCGGTTATTGACAGACTGCCACGATATAGCTGGAATATTGCTACATTAAACAACAAACCAAGCAACCAACCAACTCATTGCACAGGTGTGAGGACATGCTAGATTCCACGTATTAGTTCACAGTACAACAGTGACCAAACTGCTACTGGAAATACTACTGGGGGCGTTGGGGAAGCCTCATGGTTAAAGTGTCTGCTCAATACACTGAAGACCCAGGTTCGATTCCCCACGATTCTCTCTCTCTCTCTCTCTCTCTCTCTCTCCTTCCCCTCTCTCTCTCTCTCTCTCTCTCTCTCTCTCTCTCTCTCTCTCTCTCTCTCTCTCTCTCTCTCTCTCTCTCTCTCTCTCTCTCTCTCTCTCTCTCACTCACTCACTGTTACTAATACTGCTACTGCTGGTGACAATATGTATATATAAAAACACTAGACTTGTCATTAACAAACTGAGACTCTTCAACTGACACAGTGTGTGTACATTATTGATCCACCACCACCATTTACTGATGTGAGTGTTGTTTCACCAGGTGTGACTGTGGGAGACATTGGCACCAAGTTTGGCTATGAGAGTATAGACAATGGCTTTCTGAAGTTCAATCATGTCCGAATTCCAAGGATGAATATGCTTATGAGATATGCAAAGGTAAAACATTGTGAAGCCATTATTTGAGGTCCATGGCTAGCCATGGCTGGCATATTGCTTAAGGTAGCCAAAAATTACCAGTACACACTCACAAGAAATATTTTTCGCTGTTCAAAGTAAAAGAGATGCCCAGTAACACCACACAATCTTGTTACTGCTTATATTATTTTTCTCATTTATCAAACTATAAACATTATGTAATTGAACAACACTGACTCTGTCAAGTGTTCTGAGGGAGCTGAATTATACAGTTTGATTGATACCAAACACATGTATTTATATATTCTTATGTTACATCACATACTAAATGGGTGGGGGCGGTCGGGTAGGCTAGTGGTTTAAGCGTTTGCTCGTCACGTCGAAGACCCGGGTTCGATTCCCCACATGTGTATGATGTGTGAAACACATTTCTGGTCTCCCCCATCGTTATATTGCTGGAATATTGCTAAAAGTGGCGTAAAACTAAACTCACTCACTCAGTAATAAGTGGGCGTGATGTTACCGGGTGGAATATGGCGAACTAGTTTTGTGTTCATGTCTGATGGGTTTGGGTTGCCAGGTGCTGGAAGATGGGACCTTCATTAAGCCAGACAACGAGAAGCTCGTTTATGGGTCCATGGTCTTCATACGTTCTGTCATCACAAACGATTGTGCACGCAGCCTTGGTCAAGCCTGCACCATCGCCATCCGCTACAGCGCTGTCCGCAGACAAACAGAAGTTAGCCCAAAGTGAGAATGAAAATATAAAATGATACTTCCACACCAAAATGTTAGCAAAGTGTAAATGAAGAAGTTGTCATCTTTTCATGCGTGTTCACATTGAATTTTGGACTACACTTGTCCCATCAGTGCTTTGTCGTTAAAGCATTCCTTGTTGTCTCTTTGAGACCAGCATATGCTTTCTTACAAGGGTACTATTGTTAGCACTGGTTATTGTTCACAATATGCAGATTGATCATCAGATCATCAATCAATAATCAATGTTAATCAGTTTTATGAATCAGGAAAATGTGTCAGTTGTTTTTGTTTGTTTTAACAAAGGTAACAACAAGAAACATACTTTTTCAATTTTAATTTGATGTTTTATTTTTGTGAATATTGATTAGTCTCCTTCGCTCTCTGATGCAAGTGAGATATCTTTCTCTCTCTCTCTGTGTCTATCTCTCCTCTCTCTCTCTCTCTCTCTCTCTTTCTCTCTCTCTCTCTCTCTCTCTCTCTCTCTCTCTCTCTCTCCTCTCTCTCTCTCTCTCTCTCTCTCTCTCTCTCTCTCTCTCTCTCTCTCTCTCTCTCTCTCTCTCTCTCTCTCTCTCTCTCTCTCTCTTTCTCTCATTTTTTCTATCTCTGTTACTCTTCTCTTTCTCTTTCTCTCATCTTTCTCTTTCTCTCTCTCTCCTCTTTCTCTCTCTTTCTCTCAGATTGTTCAAAAATCATGTGTATAGATTTTAAAGGTACAGGTTTAGAAAGTGGAATCATACTACAGCTTACAACAGCATCCAATCATTCTCAGATTAGTCCTGTGTTACTAAGGCCTTTGTGTTACCATGGTTACAGGGGTATTTCCATTTACATGACTACAGAAGTCTATGCATTATCATGGTTCTAAATGGGTTTGTGTTGCCATGGTGCAGATATTTGTATTTAAAATGGTAACAGATGTATTTGTCAGTCAAGCTGAAAGGTTGCTGTTGTTGCAGAGGTGAGGAGGCGCAGGTCCTAGACTACCAGACCCAGCAGTACCGGGTATTTCCTTGCCTGGCTACATCCTATGCATTGTGGTTTGCTGGGAGGTACATGGTGGACGTGTACCTGCGGGTCACGCAGCAGATTGAGAAAGGTGCCCTGGAGGAACTGCCACAGGTGGGATGGAGGATGATCAAGTCAAATCATGGCTGGCTATCAATATACTTCATGGAAATCTGAACTTGTGACTTTAAAATCTATTGAGATGTGTTTTGAACAATCATTATGGCTATCGATAAAGTTCATGGAAATCGATAATAGTTTACAGAATATTGATCGGTTATTGATAAATTTCGAGAAGTAAACTTTGAGCAAATATGCCAAAACAAGACCAAAAGAAATATTTCACATCACTGGCAAGCGGTGATACATTTATTCATGGATGACCAACAAAAACAGTGTCCTGAACATACTTTAGAAGCAACCTTTGAATATAGACACGTTCGTTCATGATCAGAAGACCACGGTTCAATTCCTCACATGGGTACAATGTGTGAAGCCCATTTCTGGTGTTCCCCGCCATAATATATATTGCTGGAATATTGGTAAAAGTGGTGTTAAACTCACTCACTCACTGAATAGAGACATAACTTTGTCTATCGTGTTTAAAGTAAACCTATTTTTCATCTCAATAGTTTAAGTATGAGATTTTTGATGATACAATTTTCATATCGATAATAATTGAAAATTCTTCCTGTGAACTCTATTTCCGATTATCGATCATTTTAGCCAGCCTTAGTAATGTGCTCATCATAAGCAGCTATCAGGATGAGTGAACTTGGTTGTCGCTGTATCCCTCTTGTGTAGGTCAGTCCTGATGGTGTGTATCACTGGATTGTCTGGTCTAAGCATCCATCAGAATGTTAGAATATTGCTGAGTGTGGCATTCAATGAACAAACAACCAAATGGAAATTCATTAAATAGAGCAACAGTTCTTTTTACAACTGGGTCTTTATTCCAAATATGTTGTCTGTATGCCTTCAGGCCATGCTGAGGACATACTTCTGTTATTTTGATTCCTGTGATTGGATATGCTATTCTAATTGCTATGTCATCCTTGCAAATAATGCAGGAAACACAAATGATTTTTGTTTTCACATAGTTACTATACAGTATGATGACTAAAGCATGGAAATGGCCCCTTGATCAAGTGTTTACAGTTCTTAAGAAATAATAAACTATTATTTAAGAACTTCAAAAACAATTTTATTTTGAAGTGCATAAAGAATATATACATGATGCATCAAGTGGCTATATTTGAACAACAAACAATGAAATCTAGAATTGGCCACCTTTTGATATCAGGTTTGTGAAAGTGTAAATTGGTCTTGATGACAAACTGAAATCTTATTCAGCTTATGTGATTTTTTAATGATTCATTTTCAATATCTTCCATCCATAGCTCCATGGCCTTTCGTCAGGTCTCAAAGCCTTCAGCAGTTGGGCAACGTCTAGGATGATGGAGGAGTGTCGTATGTCGTGCGGTGGCCATGGTTACCTCAACGCTAGCGGCTTCTCCAAAATCTATGTCGATATAACTCCAGCTTGCACCTATGAAGGGGAGAATGTAGTTATGATGCTTCAGAGTGCAAGGTAATAATATCAGTGGTCTGTCAGGGAACTCTCATGGACAGATGTTTAGTGTCAAGAAGCTTCAGCATGGAAGGTAGTAATATCCATGGTCTGTCGGGGAACTCATGGACAATTGTTTAGTGTCAAGACGCTTCAGCATGGAAGGTAGTAATATCCATGGTCTGTCGGGGAACACTCATGGACAATTGTTTAGTGTCAAGAAGCTTCAGCATGGAAGGTAGTAATATCCATGGTCTGTCGGGGAACACTCATGGACATTTGTTCAGTGTCAAATAGCTTTTAGCATGGAAGGTAGTAACATCCATGGTCTGTCAGGGAACTCTCATGGACATTTGTTTAGGGTCATGAAGCTTCGGCAAGCAAGGTAGTAATATCCATGGTCTGTCAGGGAAGTCTCATGGAAATTGTTTAGTGTCAAGAAGCTTCAGCATGGAAGGTAGTAATATCCATGGTCTGTCAGGGAGGTCTCATGGACAATTGTTTAGGGTCATGAAGCTTCAGCATGGAAGGTAGTAATATCCATGGTCTGTCAGGGAGGTCTCATGGACAATTGTTTAGGGTCATGAAGCTTCGGCAAGCAAGGTAGTAATATCCTAGGTCTGTCAGGGAGGTCTCATGGAAATTGTTTAGGGTCATGAAGCTGCGGCAAGCTAGATCTGCAAAGGACAAAATCATTATCAATAACTTTAGTTCAAGCCTAAATCAGATTTGTTGGAAGGAAAGTGAGTTTGATAGTGTCCTTGGTAAGGAGAGTTGTTTATAAATGCATTCATATTTCAGGTTCCTGTTGAAATGTTTTGCTCAAGCCAAGTCTGGGGCCAAGCTGCCTGGCCTAGTCTCCTGCCTCAACAGACCCTTACGTGGCTCCAGTTCCATTGACAGTCGGCTGGAGCTCGCAGCACTGTTTGATGCCTATGAACACAGAGCTGTCCGGTAGGTCCACTACCAGTTCAAGAATCTTTGTACTGTTTGTAACAATGGATATAACAAATGTGGAATGTTTGTAACAATGGATATAACAAATGTGGACTGTGTAACAATGGATATAACAAATGTGGACTGTTTGTAACAATAAATATAACAAATGTGGACTGTTTGTAACAATAAATGTAACAAATGTTGAATGTTTGTAACAATAGACATTACAAATGTTGACTGTTTGTAACAATGGATTTAACAAATGTGGACTTTCTAACAATAGATATAACAAATGTGGACTGTTTGTAACAATGGATATAACAAATGTGGACTGTTTGTAACAATGGATCTAACAAATGTGGACTGTTTGTAACAATAGATATAACAAATGTGGACTGTTTGTAACAATGGATATAACAAATGTGGACTGTTTGTAACAAATTGGACTGTTTGTAACAATAGATATAACAAATGTGGACTGTTTGTAACAATGGATATAACAAATGTGGACTGTTATGGATATAACAAATGTAGACTGTTGGTAACTGTTATGGACTGTTGTTTGTAACAATAGATATAACAAATGTGGACTGTTTGTAAAATGTGTTATAACAAATCTGTTTGTAACAATGGATATAACAAATGTGGAAACAATAGATATAACAAATGTGGACTGTTTTGTAACAATAGATATAACAAAAATGTGACTGTTTGTAACTGTTTGGATATAACAAATGTGGACTGTTTTTATAGATATAACTGTTTGTAACAATAGATATAACAAATGTGGACTGTTTGTAACAATAGATATAACAAATGTGGACTGTTTGTAACAATAGATATAACAAATGTGGACTGTTTGTAACAATAGATATAACAAATGTGAGACTGTTTGTAACAATAGATATAACAAATGTAGACTGTTTGTAACAATAGATATAACAAATGTGGACTGTTTGTAACAATAGATATTACAAAAATGTGGACTGTTGATTGTAACAATAGATATAACAAATGTAGACTGTTGTTGAAATGTTCACAATGATTAAGCGTTGTTTGTAATAAAGATGTTGTCACTGTCTGATTGTCTTTTGTCACTGTTCCTTGTCAGCATCTGTTGAAATGTTATCTTTGTCACTGTTATCTTTTGTCACTGTCTGTTGTCACTGTCTGTTGTCCATTGTCATTGTCATTGTCCGTCATCATTGTCTGTTGTTTTTTGTCAGTCTGAAGCCTGTTGTCTGTCATTGTCTGTTGTCACTGTTGTCTTTGTCACTGTCTGTTGTCACTGTCTGAGGTCTGTTGTCACTGTTATCTTTTGCCACTGACTGAAGTCCGTTGTCACTGTTATCTTTTGTCACTGTCTGAAGTCAGTTGTCCATTGTCACTGTCTGTTGTCTCTGTCTGAGGTCTGTTGTCACTGTTGTCTTTATCACTGTCTGTTGTCACTGTCTGAAGTCTGTTGCCCATTGTGATTGTGTGTTGTCTCTGTCTGTTGTCTGTTGTCTCTGTCTGTTGTCACTGTCGGTTGTCTCTCTCGTCACTGTGTGCTGCCACTGTTACGGTGTGTGGTCCTTATTTAACTGTATGTTGTCAGACTTATCACAGAGGCTGCAGGTCGAGTGCAGGGATTGGTCACATCAGGGAAGACAGGCCAGCAGGCATCCAATCAGGCCTCAGTGCAGCTTGTTGCTGCAGCCAATGTAAGTGCGCATAGATACAGAGAGTCTTCTCCGGTCGCTCAGTAAGGATTCAGTCTGCTAGTCATTACATTAGATGTTTCATGGATGTATAAGATTCACCAGCATACACCCAAACATATCTATTAAGTCCTTTTTACTGTCAAAGCTAAATCCATTTGTTCTGATCTCTTCCTCATATTGTCAAATCTTGTAATAGACAATGTGCAAACAAAATAAATAATTGCATACACACACACACACACATTTTTTTGATGAAAACAGATCCTTTTGTGTATTTAAGGATTTAATAGCTATATATTAAATGAAACACAATTTCTGTACTTTCAAGGGTGACAAAGTGCTGCTTTATTGTTTCATACCGATAATCAGTAAGAATTCTTTGCTTGAAAGATTTTTGCAATTATCAATCTTTTAGCCAACCCTACCATAAAAGGTGATCAGGTGGTCTGATGACTTGACAGATGGCTGTCATTGTTTGCCATTTTTGAGATCAATACTCATGGTGTCAATATGGACAGTGATAGGATTATCTGGCTGGCTTAGAATTGGTCTTCAGTAACCCATGTTAGTCATAAGACGAGACTACCAGGATCGGGTGGTCAGGCTTGCTGACTTGGCTGACACATGTCATTGTATCCCAATTGCGTAGATCGATGCTCTTACTGTTGATCACTGGATTGTCTGGCCCAGACTCGATTATCTTATTTACAGACCGCTGCCATATAGCTGGAATATTGCTGAGTGTGGCGTAAAACTAAACTCACTTAAACACTCACTCACGCCTTCTCCCCTGCTTTCCACAGTCGTAAAGATAAGAATTCCACTTTGAAATCCATTCATCAGCACTCGCCCATTTCCGTAACCTTCAGATGTTTAGTGTCCCACAACAATATATACAAAACATATAAACCTGAGTGTTCAGTTGTGTGGTTATTTGCTGTTGTGTATGTTCCAGGCCTTCTGCCATGCGTTTGTGCTGAAGACATTTATGGACAAAGTATCGACGGGTGTGTCTGACACAGCGGCAAGGGCAGCCCTCAACACACTGTGTCATCTGTATGCTGTGTACGGAATTGTCACCAATTTGGGAGAGTTTATGATCGTGAGTAACAAAGCACTCTTTCAATAATTAAAGCCCATTTTGTCAGTTTAGTAAACAGAAATTGTTGGATGGTTTGCATTTCAACAAAATATTACATGATGTATTTTTCAGTCTGCAGATTGCATTTTAACATTAATTATGAACCACCTAAGACAGCTTTGAAGGAGTATTATCAGTAGAGGACAAAACGTGTACGTGAGACGGTCCCCCGTTACGTGTACAAGTGACTACATGAGAAGGGGTCACTTATTCACGTGACTGCCTGATCACAGACAGGGAAATTCTGCATGTCACACAAAAACGTGTCTAAAAGTGTTATTTGTGAAAATAATTAAACAAAAGTTGCCACAGTAGAAATTAAATAAATAGACTATCGCAGTTCCTTTTGTACCATTTGTGCTGTACATTTTTGTATAGTATGATTAAAACCTTTATCATACAAAACCACAAATTACCTATGCAGTATTCGACATGATGTGAAAGCCTGACATGTTGGTAATGGGGCGGCAGGGTAGCCTAATAGTTAAAGCGTTCGCTCATCACGCCAAAGACCTGGGTTCGATTCTCCACAACATGTGAAGCCCATTTCTGGTGTCCACCGCCGAGATATTGCTAGAATATTTCTAAAAGCGGCATAATACCATACTCACTCACTGTAATGCCCAAAATTAGTGGAACAGGGAGAATGTATACAAAGGGAGATAACTCAGGGACAGACCCTACAGGTTATGCAAACCTAAATATTTTCCCATTGACTTCTATTATAACATTATAAACCATACTTATAGTATTTTTTGTGTAAAGAGGCAGAAAAATACAGTTCCTCGCTCAATGAACTTGAAAATATTTGTCTGTGGCAAAGATGTTAATGTGACTGACGTTGATTCTGTTCAGGACGGCTACGTCAGCAGCAAGCAGGCAACAATGCTGAATCAGCGACTTCTGGACCTCTTGGCTGAGATCAGACCCAATGCAGTGGCCTTCGTAGATGCGTTTGACTTCCCTGATAATGTCCTCCAGAGTGCCCTGGGTCGCTATGACGGCAATGTGTATGAGGCCCTCTTTGAGTATGCAAAGGAGTCTAAACTAAATGAGAAGGACGTAAGTACATACTTGAAATAGGCAGAATGAATAATGTGCTGTAATGTGCAAACTCACATACTGACCTTCTAACTGCAACCCGTGAGGATCAGGGTTAGAATATTGATCTTCAGTAATCCATGCTTGTCGTAAGAGGCGACTTACGGGATCGGGTGGTCAGACTCGCTGACTTGTTTGACATGTCATCGGTTCCCAATTGTGCAGATCGATGTTCATGCTGTTGGTCACTGGTTTGCCTGGTCCAGACTCGATTATTTACAGACCGCCATATAGCTGAAATATAGCTGAGTGCGGCGTAAAACTCAACTTCACTCTAATTGCAGCATTGACAGTACTATTAGTTTGTAGTATCATCTTCAGTTATTTTTGGTGCTCGGAACTGTTGGCAGAATATTGTGTATGCAAGTGTATGTAACTATTTGTGAAAACTTTCCCTCTTATTTCCCTATACATACCCAAGCTAAGTCTCTGACCCTCCAGTGATGCCGTACCAACTGAAATCACCAAATGGCCTTCTCTTTCTGTAGCCCTAGGTTTTGGAACTCATTACCTAAATAAATCAGAAATATTTCTTCCAAGGATACTTTCAAGTCCCTCTTAAAATTTCACCTCTTTGTAACTGTCTATAACTAAAATTGTCTGAAGCACCGCTCATTGTACTGTGCATGATCTATGTTTTAACCCCTTTTATATACCTCCAGTGACGTCACTCTATTGTTCTAGCGAGGCAGTATTTCTTGTCATATCCCGATGCCCCGTCGATTAGGGGGCATTACTTTAATATCATCCCTCTGCCCGGGGATTTTCTGAGGAATAACCCATGACTTTGAATTATTACTTGTTTTGAAGAGTGATATGACTTTGTCTTGCCATCACTGAATGCGATTGCAAAATATGACATTATTGAAAACTTCCAACATGTAGCCCGGATACCCGGTTTTGAACCTGCAACCCTTCACTTACTAGCTTGGCGGTTTTATCCACTAGGCTGCTAAGGATTGCTGTGAAGAGTGAGATTGTTTGTCAGCATGAACCGTGTGTTCCTCACAAGAAGGGTAGTGCGGGCAGCGCACGTGCAGGGCACGGGTAGCTCGTGCAGAGCATGTGCATTGCACGTGCAAGGCGAGGCGTCAGCTGCCAGTCTTGTCCCAGTTGCTTTCAACAGTAAATACCAAATATTGAAATTATATCTAAAGTATATCTTCAGTCGGTTTATAAGTTGGATAAAGCATGACCCTCGGGCATTACGAAAAAGTAAGGATGTTTTCCCTCGAGGAATGCCCTCGGGAAAACATCCTTACTTCTTTGTAATGCCCGCGGGTCATACTTTATCCTATACTTAACCTTATAATATCACCACTGAACACCTTTGAGAAAATGTTTGATGTGAAGGGGTAGAGGATAGCACATTCAGTACGTTATGTGTATTTTTCAGGTCGCAGATGCATACCACAAGCACATGAAGCCTTTCATGGATGAGATGAAGGCCAGAGCCCCACGTTTGACAGCTAACTTGTAAAGACTGACAGAGGAACAAGGTAGTCCTACAGGTTCAGTGTTCTGTGCAGGAGCCTTCAGGTTTGTGTTGGGTATAGTGGCCAACACGGTGCCCATGACTTTCGGGACATCTATGGGATGTTTCTGTGCTGTAACCTTTATCATCTGTGTCAGCACTGTTTCCATGGATACTGCAACTTATCAAATTTTAGCCAAAAATAAGAAAAAGGAAACTAAAGCTGACTTTATACGATTTTGCTGTATTTGATTGTTTTTATAGATTTCTGATGATTTTTTTTCCATAAGTGTACTTTATCTGGTTTATGAGGAATATTTTGAACCTTATAATAGGCCAGTATCTACTCAAGATTGTTTTAACACTACCAGTTTCTGTTTGTGATAAGTATTTTCTTGGTAATACAAACTGTCACCTTATCTTTACACCATAATGTTGATAGTTTTATGACATGAAAAACATATCAATTAACAGATGTTAAAGACACCTGAATATTTCATTTTACTATATTTAATCTATCATGCCACGACAGAGTAGGTATAATGGGACAGAAGCAGGGACCTGATCCACAAAGCGTTAGTGGGTGGTGGGGTAGCATAGTGGTTAAAGCGTTCGCTTGTCACACTGAAGGCCCGGGTTCGATTTCCCACATGGGTACAATGTGTGAAGCCCATTTCTGGTGTCCCCCGACGTGATATTGCTGGATTATTGCTAAAGGCGCTGTAAAACTAAACTCACTCACTCTCACACAAAGCGTTAAACACTATGATAAACGTAAATCTATGATGAACTATACAGTTACAACAGCTCTTAGCGCTACATACGCTTTGTGGATTGGCGCCCTTGTGTTCTTTAATTTGTTTTTGAGAGGTATATTTTCAAAACAAGAAGCATATTTGCAAAATATTACTTACAAGGGGCCACCAGTATGTTAAGTGGACCTATTCAACCACTTACTAGTGTAGTTCGACTGTGTTTAATTTCATATTACATTCAGTAATTCAGCTTAGTCTTTAGTGTGTTAAAAGGAGCCAGTTGATGAAATTGAACACACAATATGTACATAAAGATCTTGAATATATAGTGTTTATTTTTGCATACTTGTACCACACAGGCTGAGCCAGTGAGCTCCCCTGACCAACTTCTTGACAAATCTGTAAAAAGTATTTTTACAAATTCTCCATACTAAACCCAAATTTAACTTTGTGTGGGGTCTTTTAATGGCATTTAGAAGTGATACACAAAAGGAAGGGAATTCTCTATTATGAGGAACACAACGGTTGGAGTATATCCTTACTCCTTCATCAGGTGAGCGTTCGGAGTATATCCTTACTACATCAGGTGAATGTTCGAAGTACATGTATATCCTTACTCCTTCATCAGGTGAGCGTTCGGAGTATATCCTTACTCCATCAGGTGAGCGTTCGGAGTATATCCTTACTCCTTCATCAGGTGAGCGTTCGGAGTATATCCTTACTCCTTCATCAGGTGAGCGTTCGGAGTATATCCTTACTACATCAGGTGAATGTTCGAAGTACATGTATATCCTTACTCCTTCAGCAGGTGAACATTTCACCTGCTGAAGGATATATTCCAAATGTTGTGTTCCTCATAATAAAGAAGTTTGACATCCATAAAACTCTCTTCCCTAACTGTGTATGGTTTTAATAAGCAGCTTGTTTACATATTACATTGTTGCTTATTTAATTTAATACAAACTTACTTTGGACTGGTACTTACCATACTATGGGTTAATGGAACCAGGTAGCAATACTTTTCTATTTTGTATGTATGTGGCTTATATTGTTTATAATCATAACATACAATAAACCTCTCAACCTTAATCACACGCTAATTTAATGAGTACCTTAAACACGTATAATACACAGATGTTTCTAACCACAGATTGATGCCAAATATGAACATATTAACATGTAAATATTTTGATGGAGTTAGCCAGAAATTATGTAAGTTATTCTTGAAATAACAGATCTATTTACTATTTTAAACATTACTGAGAAAACCACTTCAGGTCCTCTCAGCCTGAGGTGTTACCTAAATAAATATATCATGAAATGGTATTTCATCAGATCCTGCAGCTTCAAGTTTGAACATTATGATTTTTAGAAACTCTTGTTTTTTTAAAGCAACACAGTACTTATTTGGGTATCTTCCCATTATGACTACTCCCATTTTGTCTACTCTTGAACATATACATGTAATGGAGCTCCCCTACACTTATGTACTGTACCTGTATAGCTGTCTACTCCCAGTATGTCTACTCTCTGAAACAAACCTATTAGTTCCACTCCCAGGGACAACCCATATTTGAATCATCAGAAGCTATGTGAATCAGGGATCTTGTGATCATTCATTGTTTGTTATAATTTATTTGTTAAAGGTCACATGCAACGCAAAATACAACTTTGCAGATTCTGATACCTTTCAGTATGGACTTACAGTAACAAATTATCAATAATGCAAATTCAACTTATAAAAATAATGCGATGAAAAACCCCATGCGAAATCAGAGTTCAAACGATTCAATAATTTCACCCCAGTGCTGGGTTGAAAGTGGTTTCAACAGCTGTGCTGCGCTGCACCAATAGCGCATGCGCAGTGATTAGGTTCGCGCGGCTTGAACCAGGAAGGCGACTCGTAAAAACACAGCAAGTAATGCGTGTAAAGATAATCGCTGTGGGCGAAGTTGGAGAACAAGAGATGTTTCTTGTGATTACAAGCATCTTGGGTCTGCAGTAATAAAAATACACTGGTCCCATACTTGGTTTTTAAGAAAGTGTAGCATTAGAAATACTACGTTCATTGTTAAAAATTGCTCAGCTTGAAAACTGAAATGTTTTAATATACATGTCTATGGAAACATAGAAAAATATGTGGATTGTGATAAGCAGTCTCTGTCACAGACAAAACTCAGTGTCTGATTTATTGACACCCATGTGTCTGCCGGTCTGTCTGCTAATGACAATATGCAATACACAACTTCAATCATTGACCACATGCAGTTTGAACTTAACACATATCAGGCTATACACCATAAACAAAATACATGTACATTGATTTATGGGTCATGCACCGGAGTTCTGTCTCTGTCACATTATGTAATTACACAGACAGGCAGGTGTGATACTTGTACACATGACATGTTATTATGTCTGTGGGTTGCAAACAAAACTGTCCATTTTTCTCGGATGACTGGATCGGACGGAAACCGGTGCAATCTCTGATTGTCAGTTTCAAAAGATTGTCAGTTTCAAACTCTGATTGTCACTCTTGCTTGACAACGGTATATGAATTCATACTGAAACATCGCTTCATATACAATAAAAGAAGTTGTGATCCATAAAGAATCTTACTTTCTTATTACTCACCATACTTCTAAAATGCCAATCAAACAGATCATCACTATATACACACAATGAGCCCTCAGCGTATCAGCAAATGAACCAGCCAATGAAAGACTTTGTTACACTTGAGTGCACACCCACCCGCTCTGACTGGGTTCAGTCTCCCGGGTGCTTCGCTTCGAGGGCAGTAAACCCAAGTACAAAATATTGCACTTTTGATTCGCGATTGTCCGCTTATAATTTTGTTTATTTGTTTTTTCACAATCAACAATGTATATCAGGGTTCCCACAGGCAGGGCAGGCCAAAATTCCCTGACTTTTCCTTGACTTTCAGAGAAATGCCAAAGTTCCCTGACTTTTCCCTGACCTGTGGCAGCCCTGTATATTATGGCATGAATAAGTGATAATTGTGTTTGTTTTTTGTTGTTGCATGTGACCTTTAGCTAGAACTGGTGGAACAGTCTACCTGATGTAGGGGAGAGAGCTAGTAATTAAAAAACACTTGACTGGAACAGATTGTGTATTGGACGGGTAGTCAAACTGGGAGTAGTCATAATGGGAGTGAACCCTTATTTGATGTATACAATAAAGCATCAAGCAAAATGTTTATAAGGGACACGACTGCTGCCAGATTGTATTTTCTATTGTGATGGTTATGTGAACGCATTCCACTGCTTGCCTGTATGTCATTGTTTTATGACACTTCATATAAACTTGGAGTATCTTAAACCTCATAATTTTATTAAATAATATAAAAATAGACCTTGCATATTTCATACACAGTGCCAAGTCCACACGACAGTTTGAAATAAATGCCAGTGTATGACCAGCAGTGTTCTATGTGAAATGTGATTATTTATTACTGTAATTAAAATATGAAGTATTATCAGCAATAGTTGTTTAATTATTATTCAGAGGCCGATGTGCTTTTTATTTCTGTCCTGTAACTTGTAAGTTATTGTGTTATTTGCACTTTGGTTTGGGTCTTCTGAGACAACTTGTCAATAACATGTAAACAGTCTGGATGTTGAGTATGTCGTCCAAGCACATCATATCTGTCACTAAGCAAAATAACTGAACAAATTAAAATTCAGCTGCTGTTTTATTTTCATAATTGTGAAATAACAAAAGGTTTTTGTTTGTTTTCTCTTGTTGAATGTCTCACCAGGAAATATTGAAGTTATACAACAGCAGCCTGTAATTATAGAGTGTGGACCAGACATTCCAGTGATCAATATTCTGAGCAACGGTCCATGTGATCAGGTTACGATGACATGCAAACATTCGAAATACTGAGCACGATCACTTTAGTCAGTTTTTAGTGCTTTATATTTCTGAGCACGATCACTTTAGTCAGTTTTTATGCATACATTGTTGACAGATATTCTGAACCCAGATTTCCATCTGTCTCACACTCAAAGGCACATAGAAACGCTAATCTTATAAAAAGAAACAGTCAAAATATATTTTAGAAAGAATGCACACAGAAGACAAGCAGTGTTCATTCTAGGCAGCACACTCGCGCATTAATACTTAACATGACACACTGTACAGGTACGGACGGGTGGTGTTGACACATCCATACATGTAATATCTGATATGCATCACAAGTTTGTTCTTGGTTGGCAACTCAAGCAAAACTCAAGTTGGTATTTGGTTTCTCTTGTTGACCTCACCTGGATTGAAAGTTTAAAAAAAAAAGGGAACTCATACTAGTAACTAGTAGTGTTTGACTAAAAAGTTTGACATTTGACATGACCAACAATATTTTCTTAATGACCCACATAACTCAGGGCTGGTGGGCCATGGGCTAACAGTTTAGAAATGCTTGAATGAACACTTGACTTGTAAAGAGTAATTATAGAATGATAACATCTCAAAAACTGATGAGTAAATGTGTACGAGTATTTTTCATGAAATTACAGAAAACCTGGTAAAGTTCATCGAATATTATTTCAGGTAATATATGAGGAAGTAATGGCAAAATGGCCGACAAGACATTGCAGGCTAAGGGCCTTGTAAGAACTTTCATTCATCACACAATGAGCACTCACACCAATGATCACTTAGGACTTGCTTTTCTCCACAAAACATTATCAGGCCATTCTGTATAGGTATTCATTGGATATCTTTCTTTTGTCCGATAAGGATTGAACGGGTGGTAGTTTCTTTCAGACATCCACTGTAATATTTTCTCCCCAGTAGAACCCTTCCTATAAAACCTCCATTCCATGTAAATAGCTTTAACGTTCAAAGTGCTGAAGAATTTCTCTCCACTAATGAGGACTTGGTATTCGTGACCTTCAACATCCATCTTTAAAAAGGCATTCTGAAATTTGGACATCGCTTCTGGTAACAAGTCATCAAGGCGAACTGTTTGTGTAACATCAGGGTTATAAAATCGGACCTTGCTGCCTTGGTGTGAATCAAAGATACCAGTCCCTCCAACATTCGCTTTTGCGCGACTGAACATAACCTCTCTGTAACTGTTGGAAATAGCTGTGAAAAAAATGGAAACTTTTTTGGTGAATCCACCATGTTGAACTGACTTACAAAACCTGAGCACATTCTCCACTAGCGGGTCAGCTGCTACTACCTCATGCCCAGCACGGGCAGCCATAATGGAGAATGTGCCCACGTGAGAACCGATGTCAACAAATCCTAGAGTCCGATCTTCTGCTAAGGTCTCTTGGATTGCCTTTGCCGACTCGGGCTCATACACACCTTGGTAGTACAGATCTCCCGAAACATATTTATCATCCTGAATATCATGGAGATACAGGGGTGTATCACCAGCGTTGGTCTTGAGGCTTATACACTCGAAGCTATCCGTCCAGGCACAGAAGCTATTTAGTTTGATCCAGGAATTCCCATCCCAGCGGAAAACCCGACTTTCAGGTAAACTTTTACTTGTCTCCTCTTCCGGTGAGTTGGAGTATACAATATCCGGATATGGAAAGACTCGACATTCTTGCTTCTTCTTCCACACTTCGTATTTACACATTAACGGACAGCCCACAAATAGCACAATCATCACAACAGTAGAAATGCCTGCTATCTTCTTCCAGTGGATTGTGACTGGACGGGCCATAGTTCAACAGCATTATCCTCTAGAAAGGAATTTGTGTCATAAGGTTTTAGTGCTCGCTGGATACATCAAATCTCGTTTCAGGTTTTAATGTCTAATGTCACTGTGGATGGATTACAATGTGGCTGGCATCAAGGCATTCTTTCACCTGTGGCAACTACCTGGAGGTAAAGAAAAGAAAATGATATTTATTAAACATCTACAATAATGGTGGCCTGTATGATATTCTATTGCAAACAAAGAAACACTAATCTGCCAGAATTTCCATCTGGAAGAGTTGCCAATCTATGCATGTTCTGAGAAACTGAAGAAATAGTTACCGGTACCAGATCGATCTCAAAACATTTCATGTCATGTTACATATATCTGAATTCTCTAAAAAAGGTTTTATTAGTCTGCCAGAATTTCCATCCCAGAATTGCTAACAATGGGATCCCTAATAAAATCTGTTATGCTATCCAATTTATATGTACTGCCGAGACCTGTATTCTGTCACTTAATAATAAACTCAGGTCTTCCAGCGATGGCAATGAGCCTTTAACTCTACAAACAGCCCATCGCCTCGTCCCCATGTGAAGTTACGGTGCTGAATATCTAAAGATGTCCCTGATCAAGCAGAGTACAACACAACAGTTTCTCATGATAAGAGAGGGTTGCATAGAGGGGTTGTATGCACGGCCTGGGTACAGTCTGTGGCTGGTAAAGCTATCATCATTATGTCTTGTTTATTATAACAATACATTTTCTTAAAACCATAAGTCTATTCAAAATTTATTTTCCAGTGGTTCACTTTAAATAATGTAGATCTATGACTCTTTTTATCTCTTAGTAACCACCAATTAAAAAAACTCAGACAAATCAGTGGAATTATATTGCTTTGCTTTCCCTTATTTCATTGGGCATCAATGTGTATACCATTCTCTTCCCACAGAGGTTACTTGTCATATCTTCCTACGAACCTCTGTTCTAATACGTAATGGCATATTTCCTGGTTCTCGTAAAATCCCCTTTAGCGGCAAAAGAGATCGCAAGCACGAATTATCTCCCTTCTTTCATCCAATCAGAACACGTGCTACATCGACTTAGGGATTCAACTTGGATCTAACACAAGCAAATGTAGGGGCCACAAATATCCCCATCTGGGGACTCTGTCTTGATGTTACACACAAGACGTTTACAATACTTCAAGCTTGTCCAGTTTGTCAGCAGAGGGCGATTTTGAGGACGCCACTGATCCGCTTTCGCGTAATTATTTTGACTCCGAGTTCTGTCTAGAAGAAACAAGCTGCGCATCGCGCGCAGGGGAAAGGGCTTAGTTTTTCTCAAAAGCATTTTAATGGAAATTCCACTTCGAGGGCCTTTTTTTGGAATGACTCACTTTTGAAACAACGTCGCTGATAGCACAACTAAAATCTGATTGTCTCCAATCTACAGAGTGTGAAACGCTCTACACCATGAAAGGGCCGTATTAGGAACAGAGGTTACGTAGGAAGATAAGTGACAGGAGTAACCTCTGTGGGAAGAAAGAATGCAATGTATACATGAAATCAGATTAATTGTTTGCAGAGGTTGTTTGCCTCTTGATGAAGTCCACACTGGAACGTGGGGCAAGCAGCGAGGACGTGCGCGAGATAATCTTTGCTCCATGTAATAAATGGCCTCTGAGTCTACCCTTCAGTTGACCGCAAAATATTCTCCGAAATATATGATATATTTAACATATATATATGGTTCCATATAAAATGGTTCCGCCAAACTGTCGCTTATATAGTATGTGACGTATCGGATATTAGAAAAAGCAAATATCGAAAACGCCCCCAACATTCCCTCATCATGCACATAGCCGAGGGCCACAAAACGAGTCCAGACTGGCCGAGAGCCGCGATGCGGTCCAAGACTGTATTGGACCGCATCGCGGCTCTCGGCTAGTTCTTGACGTGTCTTTCTCAATGACAATGCTTACTGGCTGGCGAACACGGTATTCACAAAATTACTCCGCGCCGTTCGTTAGATTAATGAAACAGAACTGATTATGATACATAATTAGCTCTTCACCGATGTGTCCAGCCCGTTCACTGCTGCCGATCAGTGTTTTTTTATATAATGCGTCGGAAGGGAATCGCTGACAGTATAAATAGATGTTTTCTCAAAACTAACTGAAACAGTTATCGCCATTTAGAATTTCTCATGCCATTCGTGAAATAACATACCATGGTGCAACGTGTTTTCAGGGGTAATAACGCAAAAAAGATGACCATGTAAATTATTGCGTATCAGTAGATTATCACAACTGTAATTCCGTAATTAAATATCATTTCACCTTTCATAAATTTATTGTCAGAATGTTCTGTCATCCGTTGGTTTCCAATGCAGTGACCATTTCGTGTCTGTCCGCCAGCGCAGAGCTAGCTCAGATACACAGCGTTCACGCTTAGTCATCGTAGCTAGCGCGAAGCGCGAGAGAAGTGATGTACCATGTTTTCGGGTTACTCGTTATAGCGCGGGTCACGACCTTGGTATGAAGCCCAGGATGCATTCTTCTCCCAAGAAGTCAACAAATACAACGTGGCATTTTAATAAAAGTAAGTCAAGCAAACTGGTCATTTTTTCTTGATTATTTGAAGTGAGTTTTTTTGTAAAAATGTTAAAATAAACATATTTACAGGTAAAGTTATTCCATCATGTGCACACTCATTCTTGTTGTCTGTCATGGCGAGGGACAATAAACATGATAAAACATGTTTGTCTTGAAAAAGTTTACTAAATGACCATTGAAACTCGTGGAAATGGGTGAAAATGAACTGTGCAACACACATACCACACAACCCCACCGTCGTTCTCTCAAGATATGTTGGCCAGACCGCCTTTCGTCAACCCACTCGTGCCCTAAAACGTGAGATCCGTGTTATCAGTCGTAATTTACTTCAACAAGACACATAAGAGGACACAGCTAACTATAAGATTTACTTACTCAGTGATGCGTTATATTCCCATGCTCTGCGGGTTGGAACGGTGCTGGTATTGGCAAGTTGTTGCGTGAAAAGCTCTCGTTCTCTTGAAGTTGACGCTTGTCCAGAGCTGATATGCTGAGGCATACACAGTTTTATCTCAAAGTTGTATCCAGCACTGTCCGTACTCACAACCAGACCGTAACAAATCAATGAAACTGTCTGCAGTTGAGCGAGAGCAGCATCTCTGTCGAGTTGGGGAGGCATCCATATGCGGCAGCCAGCGGCGAGTTGAGCTTGCCGAGACTGGTGGCAAAGTGTCTGTCACGAGGCATTCGTAATTACTCGTCATTCCGGCAAGCCGGATGGCGTCTTATAGGTCACGGACAGAGGCGTGAGTAGTTACGAATGATGCTACCGAATGGCAGCCTTCACCACTGGGTGGTGACACGCTACTTTTGAAAATCCGAGAACGGAAAACGGGCGGTCGGAACCAGGCTGAGGCTGTGTTAACGTGACCTGACCTCATGTGCATCTCACCAGCTGTCACGCCAACTTCTTAAAAATTAAGTAATTTTCAAATGTTCTTAATGTGACGAAAACATATAGCCAGAGACCATTATATACCGGCTAAATGGTCTCTTGTCTATGCTTGTCATAAGTGGTAGTTATAATAAAAATGCCATAGTAACTATTTCCCTAGTCTAAGTCTATAATGTGGTTTGTGTACGAAGAAGGGTTAACAATACCATAGTGCCAATGTCACAAGTTTTAGTTCATAAATTAATCTAAACTGCACGGTTTCTCGGGAAACCAACCATTTTGTGAAATGTCTTAATATTTGTTGTTTAATACCGTATATGAACACATTTTCAACAACAATAGTTTCCATACCAACCAGATGAGGGGCGGTGGGGTAGCCCTAGCGGTTAAAGCGTTCGCTCGTCACGCCGAAGACCCGGGTTCAATTCCCCACATGGGTACAATGTGTGAAGCCCATTCTGGTGTCCCCGTCGTGATATTGCTGGAATATTGCTAAAGGGCCGCGTAAAATCCATACCTCACTCTCAAAACGAGGATGATCTGCCTAAGTAAACACATTATATTACTTCGATGCACCCTCGTGATGGTTCAGTCATTGTCTCTATTCATCATTGCTTCTTTTAATTAAAATGAAGTTTATTTTCAGCATCTGTCCTGCAGTACATTGTGGGTAAGCTTGACTTGAGTCTGTCACATGTGTGGTGGTCAATGACAAGCGTCAGTGCCAGACAAGCTCAGTCAAGTGTTAAGCTTGGAAAGCGTTCGGAGGTGACTTACATTGGTCAAACTCATTAACTAGATGACCCGTGAAGATCCGGGGTAGAATAGGGTCTTCAGCAACCCATGCTTGCTGTAAAGGCGACTATGCTTGTCGTAAGAGGCGACTAACGGGATCGGGTTGTCAGGCACGCTGACTTGGATTGACACGCATGTCATCGATTCCCAATTGCGCAGATCGATGCTCATGCTGTTGATCACTGGATTGTCTGGTCCAGACTCGATTATTTACAGACCACCGCCATATAGCTGGAATATTGCTGAGTGCGGCGTAAAAACTAAACTCACTCACTCACTCACTCATTAACTAGATGAAATTCCACATGATCGAATCACGCCCGAGGCCACCACGTGGATCACTCAATCGTGTAACGTCACATATCAGCAGGTTCTGATCAATCAAATCATAGAGTGAGTTCACTTTACACCGCTTTGAGCATTATTCCAGCCATATAACGGCGGGGGACACCAGAAATGGGCTTCACACATTGTGCCCATGTGGGGAATCGAACCGGGTCTTCTGACAAGAAGACGCTCTAACAACTAAGGTTACCTCACCGCCCCTCAAATCATAGAGTAGTGAATGAGTTCAGTTTTACGCCGCTTTTAACCCTATTCCGAGCTATATCACGGCGGGGACACCAGAAATGGGCTTTCACATTGTACCCAGGTGGGGAATCGAACCCGGGTCCCCAGCGTGACGAGCGAACGCTTTAACCACTAGGCTACCCACCGCCCCTCTTATCATAGAACACTCGCAACATTTTGCATCGGTCCCGAGCGATATCGGGTTAGAGGAGTCCACTGTAGCATTAAAACGCGAGTGTTGGGGGAGTCAGCCCCTTTGGCAAGAGGTTGACGATACCAACCCAAACATTAACACAACACCTGAGTAAATAAACGGAGGCGTTTATTACACAGCAGTCAGATGATCGGGTTTTTACGTCAGTAATAGTATGGGTAACAATTAATTATTACAACATGTTCACAAAGCAATCAGCTGTCAATGTACATTAATCACAACGTAATACAATAGTTAAATACTCTACACATCACCCCAGTGGGCGTTCCTAGTCACAAAACAGCATAGTGCTCACAACGTAATGTATATAAAGATATCTAGATTTGGCAAAGAGAAGATAAGTAAAGTTACCTGAGTGACTTTACTAGACAGCCACCGAATGATCTGTGACTGTCGCCCGTATCATATACCTATTCCATTTACAGATAAAACTTACCATAACTTGTGAACTTGAGATTATAGTGAATGAGTGGCGAGTTTTAGTTTTACGCCACACTCAGCAATTTTCCAGCTATATGGCGGCGGTCTGTAAATAATCGAGTCTGGACCAGACAATCCAGTGATCAACAGCATGAGCATCGATCTACGCAATTAGTATAAGATGACATGCGTCAACCGAAGACAAGCAAGCCTGACCCTCTATACCGTTAGTCGCCTTTTACGACAAGCATGGGTTACTGAAGATCAATTCTAACCCGCACCTTCACAGGTACTTTGAGATTATATCATTTAGTTTGACCGAGGCGTAGATGGCCAGTTGCGAGTATGCCACGAAGGTTTATGGGCACGATTAGACCATGGGATGCAAGAAGTAAACATATAAAAACAGATGAACGTGCTTTGCCTTGGTTTTATTAGCTTTAGAGATACTGGTCCCGGATTATGTCCGATGCTCACAATCAATTGTGACCCCTTGGCAGTTTTATGATTGTGGAACGTGGTCACTGGTCTGATTTTTCCAGTTTTCAATAACATGTAATATGATAAAATATTGGTAAAACTTTGTCAAAGTTTTTCCGTGTTGATAATAATGTACAACACGCATTTCGACAACTTCTTTGAGAGGCATTTAGAGTGAGTGAGCGAGTTTGGTTTTACGCCGCAATATTCCAGCAATGTCACGACGGGGGACACCAGAAATGGGCTTCACACATAGTACCCATGTGGGGAATCGAACCCGGGTCTTCGGCGTGACGAGCGAACGCTTTAACCACTATGCTACCCCAACCGCCCCAAAAGGAATTTAGATGCTGGATCAATAAGGAAGGATGACAATATATGAATGAACAACTTCTTTAATACGAGTAGAGAGCAACGTTGTGGTGTAGGTTCTAAGACAATTAAAACCATTTTAACAACGTTTCGACCTTAAAAATAATACACGACTCCGAGATCTAGCGTCGGATTGTTTGGAGAGAGATAGCTCGATGCTCTCGTTCCAAGGGTCTAAACAACCCCGGGTCACCTTACAATCAATCCCTGATCACTGGAAATATAATCAAAGGGGAGTGTTGTTTATCTAACCTACATGTCGACAGATAACCATTAATATCTCTCAAAGGTCAAACAAAAATCCACATTTGCTGTTTTACCCCTGTTCGGAAATGGTCTCGTCCGGCACTTTGTACATCACGTGTTTCCCCTGACAACAACAATTCCTGTTGATGATAAACATAATTTACATATTGCGAGTTAAAAAGCAGAATATGCTACTATGTACTAGTTCTGTTTAAAAGTAAAACTTGAAAGAAACGTACTTCTCATGCATTTTAAGATGTTTCTGAGGCCTGGGACCGTGTGTATATCAATACGTTTGTGCACTTACTGTTCGGAAGATATTAACTCAGATATACAGATAACTTGTTGAGTCATTGAGTTATGTACTCGCTTGTGTTCATCTTAATTGGGTATCCTAAGTTTCCTTTGAGTAACCAAATATATTGTACCCACCTCACTCAAACGCAATTAATTGGGTATTTTGCCATTTTCCATTAATTGTAAAAATATATTAAAAGTTTAAATGTTGGTTTACGTGTTTGTTATTTATATTTGATCTGTTATATGAGAAACCATAAGAAAGACTGCAAGTTGCCAAGTCCAGGCTAGCTATTCTCGAAACGTTCGTAGCCCTACGAATTTCTTAAGCCCATTCTTAACACATTGGCTACGATCAAAGTTAAGAATTCTTAGGACTACGAACATTTCGAGAATAAGGGCTAAGGTGCTGAAATAGAAACTCTCAATATACCTCAGTTATTTTATCTATTTCTGTTTGTAAGCATGTAACATCAAATCTATTGAGTATTTACAAAAATTGAAGTGTACTTAATAGGAATTGAGTTTTCACATGTATACCCTCCAAAAAAAGAAACGCATCATGAAAATAGCAATTTCATGTAGCAATGAATTAAAACGTGATTCATTTTACAAAAGGTTTTGCTCTGTTTATGAGTCCTATGGTGTTTATGTTGTGAAACATCACAACAAAACGCACCATCCGAAAAATACCCGTATTTAACAGCATGATTTTCAATTTCGGCGTGTAGTGTCACAGAATACACAATTCACATGCAATGCACGTGAAAATTGGGGATCAGATAGTCTCAATGATGGGTATAAAAGGTTGATCGATGTCTGTCGATTATTCACTGTATTTGGAATATTGTTGACGAACGCAAAATGCCACGTCTAAGTGAAGCCAACCGTCATATCGCCATTGGTTTGCTTGAAGCTGGCCAGTCTCAACGTGCAGCTGCCCGACGCATGAATGTTCACCAAAGCACCATTTCACGGCTCTGGGAGAGATATCGCCGGCAGAATGCGGTAGAAGATGCCCCTCGTAGTGGGCGACCTCGAGAGACCACTGCGGCGCAGGATCGCTACATCCGGGTACATCACCTGCGTCATCGAACAGCTACGGCGACCAGTACCGCTCGACAAATACTCGGATTGAGGCTTTCTGCACCGGCCGTCAGGGTTAGGTTGAGAGAGGCTGGTTTACGTGCCAGAAGACCTTATTTTGGCCCTGTGCTTCGACAACAACATCGTCGACATCGAGTTCAATGGTGCACCAACGTTCCGGCCTGGAACCTACCGAATTGGCGTAGAATCTGGTTCAGTGATGAGTCACGATTTCTATTGGAACGACGCGATGGAAGTATGCGGGTGTACAGACGTCGACGTGAACGTTTCGCCGACGCTTGCGTCCCCAGGTGGACAGATTCGGCCGGGACAGTGTTATGATGTGGGGGTTGAGATCACCTGCCGTAGGAGAAGTGATTTGGTGATGATCAGGGCAACTTGACAGCTCAACGGTACTGTGACGAAATCCTACGCCCACACCTCCTTCCAA